ATTTCCCTGTCATGACGATCAGCTCAATCCGAGCTGGGGCCATCTGACTCTGTGCAAGTGTACAAATGTCAACAGTCTAAAATTTTGTTCCACCTCTGTTGTGGGAAGAACTAAATGTGGAAATATATAATACGAACACTGAGTAGTAAGAAGTGGCCAACTCTATTATTAATTCAATTCATTCGAGTGGTTTGTTTGAAAAAGCAAGAGTCTCAGATACATTGCGAACATACTTATTCCGTTTGCGCACATGCCACTCCTACCACGTCGAAAGCCTTTAAATTATGAACAAATAGTATTTAATACGAAGCACATACATACATTCACTGGAAGATTATTTCTGTGCTCCGTTGTACCATGTTAAAGTTCAAAAAAAAAACAACCAATGGCATTGTAGCTAGAAATGATGACCTTCGCATAACGGTTGGATGTCTCGAGCGAATGTGAACAGTCGATGGTCCATCCGTTGAGTAGTCGGAGTGGGCTGGGCTGTTTTTTATTGGTCACCAATTCCATGGACTTGATCATTCGCAGACATAGGTATTATTTTACAGGCACAGGCAAGAGCAAAGGATTTTTACTGTCGAATAGCTCTCGTCCCGCCCCTGATCGAACTGCACCGCTCCACTACATCTCGCATCACATTCATTATATTTACATGTGTACTACATAACAGAGACCAGAGCAAATATTTAGTGACCGACTGACAATGCCAACAATGGCGCCTGGCGACCGCTGGGCCCATTTGTAGTTTTAAGTTTCATTAATTTACTCTCGCGCCCTCTCTGGACTGGTTAACAGTCACTGTTGGCGAGGTAGAGGTGGCGGCACACTCGTAAAAACAGTCGGCAATGTCAATATTTTAAAGCAGGCTGTTGCTCTGACTCTGGTTCCCAGCTACCAGCAACACGTTGCAGTCCAAAACGAACGCTTGGTCAACCTATAGTCAACTATAGGGTGCCCATGGCTCCTACTGAGATATTACGGGTATCTGATATGAATTTGAAATTCAATTCGATATCACACACGTACATATGTATGTACATTTGGTTGGTTCTCTTTTAGTCCTAAATAGTACATTTATTAGATATTGGTAAACCAGGAACTTTGGCTAACCATACCCCAAAGGCCATGAAGTTTAAAGGGTTGTGAAATAACTTTTAGTATGAAGATACTAGCTAGATCCCTTCACTGTTTATGCTCATGAATACGTTGATGATACTCTCCCCACTCACTCGTCCCCGTACTGTATGGGCTCAGAAATTCTTGTTTTTGCTAGTTGCATACTACTACATTACATCCACAAACACTCAACGTACACTACGAGTACGGGGTAGAATACACTGCGACCAACAACAACAGTCTGGAACAGCCCCCATCTGCGTCCATGCCTGTAGCGACAGTTGCAAAAAGAAAACACAAATAGGCGGGCAGGGCGAGCCACAAAGGAAGGAGGGACGCCACAGACGATGCGATGTCGGTCTGGCCCCCCGCCAGCGCACTTCGCCAGGACCCGGTGCGGCGAGAAGGCAAGTAAAACAATGCAAAGCTAGCCCCGGCCACCGCAAACGTAAACAGCCGTGGTCACTCGATAAAAATCGGAACCACTAGCCCCACCATAAAGCTGGTGAAAACGAGCAAAAGAGCAAAGAAAGCCCCGGCGTAAAATTGCTGTGCCTGGTATTAGTCCGTTTTGGGATAATTTTAATTAACGTCGCACCGCGTTGACATGCCGGAGAGCATACATAAATAATTCATACTCGTACACTGTATAACACCCGCTCTCGAGAGTAGACAGTGCCAACATTTTGATGCTGCAACGGCGGAATAATTTGTTTTCGCTGATAGTACGACAGTGCTCTGACCTCGGACTCCGATCCAAGTTTTTTGAATCGTTAAATGTGCCAAATAAAAGACCAATAGGTATCGTCGTTTTTCCTCTGGATAGCATTCAGGTATGGTTGATATCTTGCTATGGTTGGTGAAAAACAAAAGTCGCTCCCTAAATGGATGCCTTACAAAATAAATAAAATTAAGCAATTGCATTGAGAATATCCCAGATGTTATTGAACAATTGGAGAAGAGAGAGGACCGCTTTGATCCTCGACTACTGTAAGCGACCAGTAAGCATGTCCTCGGAGTAGTTATCAATTATATATTATATTAAAAGTATCAACCAAAGATTTCATTGTTGACTGAACAAAAATTAGATATTCGTACCGACTAAAATTGATAGACTAAATTGTACAAATTTAATGCAAAGCTTTGTGTCTCGATATTTTCTACCTTGAATGATTTTACTTCTCACATGCCCAATCTTGCAAATATTAAATGTAATAATTCAGTTTTGTTAATAACACATCCACACAATCAAAAAAGAAAACCAAGTAAAGAGTTTCAAACGAATCGGATATACTTTTCAAATCTGTGTCCGCTGGTTCGACCGTTTTGTTTTTTTGTGGTTTTCTACACATTTAAACATTTTTTAGGTATGTGATTAATATAAGCAGGCATAAAAAATAAAATATATGTATGTAACGTGTTTTACTCTAAATTTTGAATAGGACGGGTCTCTATCGCTGTATGCTATCGCTCAGAAAAGCATTCCGCAGAAGATAAATGGAAAGATTAAAATTAAATACTTAGGAATTCATCCCGTGCAGTTGTAGTACCTCGAGAAACCTTGAAGAGTGCCTGCATAAAGTTATAGTTTTAGTTATAGTCAAATAATATTACATATTAGTACTCACATTCTTACCTTCATTCTAACCTGTAGTCTGCTGCAAATCACAAAAGATCTCCTCCAAAGGAAATCAGAGTACTATATAGACTTTTGTGTCCATTTCTTTTGCTACCAATAGTTGCTGTTCCTCCCTCGTAGCGATGAGATATTTGCAGTGAAGAAAATATATCTCTGATAAGCGACTGGCCAATAGCAACGCAATCATTGGCGCTTGATCCCCCGTAGAATTAGGCGACGCGTCGCTCGCATTATCTAGCTGCATATGAGGTTATAAGATGCACAAACTCTAATTGTGCCAGAATGGCAACTGGACCAACAGCAACTGCCAGGGACACCCATCCGTGTTGAGGTGGTGCACCTTGTTGCGTAAATAAGCGGATAAATAAAATAAAACCTAATTCCGATAGGGATGACTACTTCTCGGGTACCGGCAGCACGCCTGGTGCCTATGTCCCGACTGCAAAACCAAGTTTCTGTGCTGTCCGTTTTCATGTCCAATCTGCCGGGCAAACACAACATTTTTAGTTTAATTTAATCTAACCTCTAAAAAAACCGTACATGTTTATAAATTTATAACCGACTCGTAAGGTCTTAGTTTTAGCCATACCATATATCCTTAGCCCGAAATTCGTGTGTCCTGTCCCACTGTGCGATCAGATGCTCTTTGGCGATAGCTGTGGGATTTTCTCGAACTACAAAGTCTAAAAAATTCCACTAGATGGCGCAACACTTTTTACAAAACCCGCTACATGAGACGGCAAAACTTTTTACAAAACACGGTAGACTCCGCTAGATGGAGAGCTCGCTATGTTAATTGCTAATAGTAAGTTAAATGTCCATATTAATTTCATGTTAAAGATTTAATGGAAATTTAAAGATTTTCGGTTGTCTAGCAAAAGAAAAACAATTCAGGAAAGCTAACTTCTATAAAAGAAGCCTATATCAACACTATTAAAGATATTCATAATGACCAGGGACCGCGGATAAGAGTTTTATATGCAAATTGTACCTAAATAAAACAATGTAAAAAACTTATATATCAAAATTTGTATTGAAAAAATCAAAAATTACACTTATTTCAGATTTTCTATAATACAAATGAGAATTGACACTATTTTTAATTAATTAAATTTATAAAAAAAACTAAAAGTTGCAAATAAGAGTTATTCCGTAACTTTTATTTTATAAATCAGAAATAAAGATATGTTAAATATCCTTTTTTAACAATATTATTCTTGACCCAAATATTCTTGATCTATGATATCCTTTCCTGATTACCTTTCATTGATACATACATATCGCATGCCCTTTAAAGAGAAATATTAAATATCCTACACCTCCATATCTCCGATTATTTTAACTAGATTAGATATTTGAAAATTATGAAAAATTCTCTATTATGCGTATGTCCTACTGTGCGGCTTTGCGGTCCGATCTTCAGATTCTGAAATCTGGTAGATGGGGGCCTTATTCACGATTCTGCAGGGCGTGGCAAAATTTTAAAACAATCTTGATTCAGTGTGATATCGAGTATATAGATTTCGTGAAACTAGGGATATATTGTTTATTGTACGTTTTTGCAGAAGTCTGTATACAAAATTTGGATGCTCCCGCTCTTTTCTTATACTTTATGGGGTCGGAAACGGTTCCTTCTGGGCGTTACACACATTTTTTCTGTAGCTTTTTGCCATATCGGTATTGTCATCGTTATCGACGAATGTGCTGCGGAAACATTTTTCTGTGCCAACATTCTGGGCTAGCAACATTGGTAAAAGTTTCCGCAACATTCGGAAATTTTGAATACAAATCCGAACTGGCTTTTGCCTTTTTTGTTAAAAAATCTTTTAAAATGATACAATCCCTACTCGCTTCAAAATTACCATCATTGCACATACAAACTCTATTTGCAAAACGCCTAGAACTAAGAGAGGTATGTTCTGTACTGATTTGTAGTCGAGGTCAGCCCAGCTGCCACTCGGGCGAGCCAGAAAGGCTCGTTACAATAAATAAATACGACAGTTTATAAAGTTCGATCATATAGATTTTGCTGAACTAGGGATATATTGTTTATTGTACGTTTTATCCATTAGGTAGCTGAATCACAAGTGTTCAGCTGCGAAGAGAGACAAATTCACATGATATTTTACCTGCTCTCGCACGGCCGGTCAGAAACAGGTAGTTGCGGCTCTGGCTGAGAGCGTCGAGCGACTTCGACAGACTCAGGCAGCGGCCTCAGATCTCTATTCATTTCATTCCTCAGTGAGACACGGTCGCGTGCACAAGTTCCAAGCGGTCGAAGATCCGAAGACTCAAGAGATCCGATCTAAGCCAAGCCAAGAAGGCCAACGAATCAGCAGACATTGGGCCACAGCAGCTCATTAGCATTCAACGGCTGAAAAGATCTATAAATACGCATAGTGAATGCAAAACGGAAACCTGAAAATCAGAATCCCATGACGCCATATTTGTTTTTTGACTTGATTGAGCGCCCGACTCCACTGTGTAAGTGAGTCTCAATCGCAATCTCGAGTGTCTCGTCGCTAGTGAGTGTGTGTTGAGGGTACGCGAGTGTGTGACTGAAGCTTGGGACGCAGCAGACGACGGAGGAGCTGGGCTAGCCATCGAAACTAGTGAATTATTCCAAGTGACACAAAGGCATTACGAATTCTTTGAGCCAAATTTCGGGATCGAGAATAAAATTGAAAATTGAAAAGTCTAGCCGAGCCCAGGGCTGGCCTGTGTGTGTGGCTCTGTCTACACCGCTATGGACGAGTGTGCGTGTGCCCCCGCGTGTGTTGGTGTTTCCCCGATATTGTGTGTCAGTGTCCGTGCTTGTGTGCCCGTGTGGCTGTGTCTGTGAGTGCCCAAGAAATACCCGCTTACATCAGCGAAAAGTTAAGAACGAACACACACACACACACACACAGTCTTGGCTAACACACAGAGCAAAACCAGAAAATCCACATTGTTCGGGTTCGGGTTCGGTCTCCGTCGCCGTCGCCGTCGCCGCGCCTCCGTCACTGCCCCTGCCCCTGCCTGCTACCAGCAGCAAGCAACTCGAAGCTCCACTACGTAGCGATCGAAACGTAAGCCATCCATTCGGTTGTTGGGGCCCTTTGTTCTGGGCACAAGGAATTTTCGAAATCTTCCAAATCTTCTTCTGAGAATGGGAGACTCCACGCCCATTTGCCGTTGCCGCGTGCTCTATTTGGGTAGCGCAGTGCCGCGCCAGAGCAAGGACGGGCTCCAGGGCATTCAGGAGCCGCTGCGCAGTCTCTACCCCTCGGAGGGGGCCGTGGGCGCCAAGGGCATCGACAGCTGGCTGAGCGTCTGGTCGAACGGCATTCTGCTGGAGAACGTGGACGAGAACCTCAAGCAGATCACGCGCTTCTTCCCAATCGAGTCCCTCCACTACTGCGCAGCCGTGCGACAGGTGCTCATTCCGGAGCGCGGTAACGCTCATCCGGAGCCGAAGTTCCTGCCACTGGATTCGCCCTTCGCCCGCATGCCACGGGCCCAGCATCCGCCCATCTTCGCGGCAATCCTGCGCCGCACCACCGGAATCAAGGTGCTCGAGTGCCACGTGTTCATCTGCAAAAGGGAGGCTGCGGCCAACGCTCTAGTCAGGTGCTGCTTCCACGCCTATGCCGATAACTCGTACGCCCGCCAGCTGGAGACGGGCAGCACGACGGGTGGAGGTAGCAGCAGCGTCTACGGCACACTAAAGAGTGCCGCCGGCAGCAAATCCAACGGCGACCTGGCCAGCGTCGGACTGGCCAATGGAAGCGGACATGGCAGCCATCATCTGGCCCTCGCCGCCCAGGGCGGCTGGAGGTCCCGAGCCGGCAGCACAACGACGCTAAACAGCCTGGGGCGCGCATCCAACGGTCATGGCCCGAACGGCATGAACGGCGGCAGCACTGGCAGTGCCGCGGAGGGCTACACGTCCGTCAAGAACTGTGAGTATCTACATACATCGCATATTATGTATCTGTGCAACAAGTTTGTTGCAAAAGTCTTTTGTCAAGTCCGCTTGCGTCATTCGCATACAGTTACGCGGGGCTGGCCTGGTACAGTTACCCGCTGATGACGCGCCAGCTAATTATGTATTGGCCTGAGTCGACGGCCTGGCCTCTACACATCCCACCTTCAGGGTGATCTCGGTGCTGGTGCAGCAATCGACAGGCTGGTCAACACAGCCAACGCCATCGCAGAGATGAGCCTCACCTTGAATGTTGTTGGTACTAGCGGTAACACGTACTGGTAGTCACCAGAAACGTGTCTCATGGGCACTCGGACACACCTTTCACGCTGTTGGAAAATAGAAATTGTTGGACAGTGATGGTAGTACTTGGGTGCAGTCCAGGCATTCCGTATCGACGTTCGGTTGCTGGAGAGCCGGATCGGACATTCGTCTCCGGCAAGAGCCATCCCAGAGACGAAAACAGAAACAGAGGCTGCGACTGAGACTGAGACTGAACCTGGCCGCGATGGATGGTGAAACGATGACGCGAACGACAATAGCTCTGGTGACGTCTTCAAAGTCTGCCAACAGAGAGAAACACTTATCCGCTGTTTTGCTGCGTTCCAAACACTTTCCACTCATTTAAATTTCAACGATGGCGACCAGACGGACAGACAGACAGACTGGCGGACGGACAGGCCAAGCCGGGATGAGACAGGTAAAAACTCACCGGTTTACGACTCAGTTGTTTCTCTGTCGCCCCAGCTATGGCAAAGTTATGATAATTACCATGTAAATTGCTGAAACTGAGGAAAGCAGCCCTGCCTCGTGTCTGTTTCCTATCACATCTCTGACTGCCGCGAATGCAAACAAGCATGATCGCGATCTCTAGCTTGGCATTCGAATTAGCCGAATTTCGCTTTCGACTTTGACTTGGCTAGTACCAAATCCCACTCCCTAGTCACTAATTCCCATGTATACATTATACATGCCCGTCAAAGCGGCAGTGTGTTTGCATATAGAAAGCTGAAAATATGAAAAACATTATCGGTCTGCCTTAAGTCAATCCACCAGATAACCAGAAAACAAAGTATTTTCGTTTTCATTGAAGAGTAAATTAATCCATTCACTTAATAATGAATTAATGACGAAAATAAGTAATGCCATTATCCCCTGTGCTCTATGAGTGCCGGGGATAAAAAGGTAGTTGCTTCGAGTCGAGGAAAGTACGCGTGCATTTATATATACTTTAAGAGCCATTAGCTAAACTGGATTTTGTTTAATTGGCGGAAGTACATATACTCAAAACGCACATTTCCCTCTTTTCATTGTAATTAGAGTATTTATAACATTGCTTAAATCCGAATCGACCATCGTTAGCTCTGCCAGCTTACGCATTCGAATCGATATACTCGTATATCGATGTCTACTCGTACGACCAGTCCGCAGAGTGAGGGAAGCGATTATGGGCGTGACTTCACACACATGCTAATTCCCCGGACTTTCGCATCTTCATCAGAACCGAATCAAGTGACTTGCAGCAAGCGGTCCGCTAATTAATGAAAGCCCATTCCTCCGCTGGAATTTTATTACACCAAGACGTTTGTTTGCTTTGTTTGGTTCTCACAGCCTCTTGGCCACTCTCTGCCACTCTTGGCCAGTTTCTGTTGCCACGGGGAAGGGGACACCGACACCTCCGGCCTTTCTTCGCCATGGACGTGGACGTGGACGTGGATGCGGCCCCCTCGAGAACGTGGACGCGACATGATGTATTGCCGGTGCGGCAAGTTGAGTTTTTGGTTGTTGGGAACTGTGGTCGCGTGCAGATTAGCGGTCGCCGACAGAGGTGCCGCCAACGCAGCTGCGGAGGAGCAGCGGAGAATGGAATTGCGATGGTTGGCAGGGGCATGGCATGGCGCATGGGGCAGTGGCACATGCATATGCGCTCAGCGAGTTTACGTAAATCAAGATGAGCTCGTGAGAAAATTTTCGGCTAATGCTCCCTTTTTCTTATGAGTAGCTCCTATTTGGGAGCCATTCGCTGCGAGCGGTGGGAAGGTAGCGGCAGCCAAACCAATGTATATATATGTATGTATACTGGAAGTCGCGAGGGGTCGACAAAACACGTCAATGTGTGAGTTTCTGAGTGAAACTTTAGCCGAGAAATAATCAAATCTACCGTGGAGCACGCTCATCTTCATCTCCGTCTACGACAATCCTACGAGTAAGACTACATATATGCAGCGGCGTGTGTGTTAGTGTGCGATTTTCTATTCATTAACATTTTTAATTTGCCGCTGGCTGTCGCTGTCGAGATCTTTGAGACTGGAACGAGGTCGGTTCTCTTCGGGTCGGATCAGATCGGATTGAGGTGGGAATGTCAGGTAATTGCGTTTTGCTTTCATTAGAGCGACACTCACAGTGGATCGTGTTAATTAGCCAGACCAATTCCAATGGCTTTCAATGGCAAGAAAGCGTGCTGAGTGCATTCGGAGAGTGTGTATCGCAACTTCCCCTGCTTCCCCAATCAGATGCAATCTGGCAAGCCCATTCTCAATCATTTCATTTCATTTGACGAAAGACCCGTGGTCACATATGGCTGGCAGTACAGCAAGTCAGCAAATACGAGTATCAACCAGAAAACAAGTTTGCTGCTGCTTGCCACAAGTCAGGCTCCAGTTCGACAGTCCAATCTGTAGACCTAGAAAACATTTCAGAGGCTCGTATCATCTGCCAAAACTTGGTCGTTCGTGTTTTTTGTGCTTTTTTTGGGAAATTAGAGCAGTTTTTCCTTTCCTGGGTGGCGCTGATGGGATTCCTCCCACGGATTCTTGTATGAACTGCACTTCCGTTTTCCAGAAAGACCACTGTGGCAGAATGTGCAAGAAACCGTTCATTAGGTTTGAAAGTGTCGCTGTCTTCATCGTCTTGGGAATGCCTGACCACTTGACCATGACAAGAGTATTGTGCTCGTACATTTTTGAATGCAACCTGCCGCTGTAGCTGCCACTGCCGCAGCCTCTGTTGCTAGTCAAGTTTTAGACTCCAGTTCCAGCCAGAGACCGGCTTCCGCTCGCGATGCAATATTTCTGCGCGGCTATTACGATCAGCGTCTGCATCCATCTGGCAAACGATCTCTGCGCTGGTTGCTGCCACTGCTACTGTTGCATTATTATTATGCAAAGTGGCTAGAAAAAGAGACGGGGATGGGGAAGGGGATGGAGAAAATGGTTGTACATAGAGCCAGAGGGAGCGGGGCAGCAAAAAAAAGACGGGACACATTAACCGAAATCCAGTTGCAGTTGAATGACTCGGTTGCATGCAACAGCCGGCCCGCTTGGCCACTTTGCAACATTGTCTTGCGGGTAGTTGTATTTTTTCCGAGGTGACTTTGATCGTAACTCGATTATAAAAATCTGACTACGCGATCCTTCAGATTTACCTGTAATCTCGGCACACTCACGGCTCCTTCTCCATCCGTACATATCGTAGTTCATGTGAATGTTTGATCATGTTTGACCCACTTGCAGTTGCCATCTGAAGTCGTGGTTTCTCTCGGAAGCTCTCTCCCTCTCTTCCTCTCCATCTGTGAAGGCATTGTCGTTGACAATTGAGGTACGAGTCCGTACGATATCTATACAAGTTTATGAACTAGTATGTACATATGTATGTACAATGTGCAGGTGTGTGTATATACATATGCCGAATAAGTAGCTCATGCACGCCACTTTGCATAATTATTTTAATTTGGATGAAATGGCTTGCACTTACAGCCGCTCTTTTTAATGCGATCATAAGAAAAGTTGGCGGAAGATACCTCGTCTCGAAAGTGACCTCTCACGGCATAAGCACGAGATACATTCGAGTTATTCAAACGAAAGTACTCGTATTCATTCATTCAGTCATTCAGGCATTCAGGCGTTCAGGGATAGACTGTATTCCGATGTTCCGTTTTCATTTTATTGTTTTCGAGGTACTCCTCGCACTGCAGATACAATACTGATATCCACCAGAGTGCGGTGCTGTTAGTCATTCGTCTGGCATTCCACGCTGGCATGTTCGGCCTAGATTTCGCTCTGCAGCTGCGACTTTGGGTTCGAGCCCACGATCTCCAAAGGCAATAATGGAAAATGGTAGGAGAACTCGGCTTGCTCGCCGCTGCCGCTGCCGCTGCACCACCGAAAGGCGAAGCGGCTGCTGCTGTTGCCACTCCTCTTCCGCCCGAGTGGCTGGAATTTGAGTGGCTCGGCTAAATGCCAGCCAGTGTGTTTTGGCGAACTTTGGATACGTGATATTTCGACTTTATTTCAAGTTGCCTTTTCCATCCATCGGCGGCTGCTTCTCTGGCAGGCACCGAATCTGCCTTGCCTCAGCTCGAGTGCACCTTCCCCTCCCCCTTTCCCAGCGCAGTGCAACGTGGAAATACGATTTTCACGCACGCATGCCCACAGGCCGCTCTCCCCTGTCTCCATGTGCTGTGGACGTAAGTGAGAGTCTCAATTTTACTTTTAGCTGCAGCTACTTCTACCGCCATCGATTATGACATAAGTCCGACTGGGGGATAGGCACTAGCAAGGTTGTTGAAACATTTTCGCGTAATGGCCCCGAACAAAACAGGAGCGCGCGAAATGGGAAATGATTAAAGATCGACTCCCCGGACTCCACGGGCTGTAAAAGTAATTAACTTTTCGCAGTCTTACTTAGATATATAAGTATCGGCGCTTCCTTCGAATCGGAGCCAATGCAGCAAGCGGGAATTGGAAATCCGCCGGACTTCCGCAGCCACTTACGCAGATTACATTCCCTGCGCGTAAGAGCAACAGAGTAATGGTTCCACATATGTTGCCTCGTACAGCTCCGCAGCTGGGGGTCAATATACCTCCGGCCGAGTGGATTTCTTAGGGCGTATGAGGATGAGGCAATCAAGCCACTGAGTAGAATACGAGTAGCCAACGAAAAGCCAGAAAAGCGGAAAGCACACAGCAGAGAAACAGAAAAACGGTGGACGCAAACAAAATTATGGCATGGCTTGTACTTGTACAAAGGCAGCCACGGAAGAGACGAAATACGCTCGCAAGGTGACTCGTCGGTTTGTCGTTTGCCGAACAGAGTGGGTCTCTGGGAGTGGGTCTGGACTGGAGCTGGCACTGGCACTGGCACTGAATGGCAGTGTCCGAATTGTGCTGGGAAGCGGGGGGCTTGGGGTGTACGACAGACAGCTGCAGGTGTAGCCACGTTCAAGTTATTAAATTACCGTTATTTATTACAAAACCGTTGCCGCCGTGGCCCAAATGCGATGCAGAACCGCGACAACTGCGGCCTCTGTGTACGTACATACATACGAGTATATACATATATATGTAAGTAAATGTGTCTGTTTCTGTGTGAGTGTACCGCAGTACCCGAGCGGCCAAGAAATACCACAGTTGAATCGAATCGAACCGAACCGAGCACGGGCGGCGATCGCAGTCGACCAGTCGGCAATTTGAATGCTTCTGCCGCTGCGGCGCTCTATGGTATGGTCTTGGCCTGTTTCCGTCCACTTGGATTAGACGCGCTCAGCTAATTTCCAGTATTTTGGCTGATTTGTATTCCAATGCTTTGCACAGAGGTCCAACACTCCACCCCACCCCACCCCAACCTCTTCTCTGGGTTTGGCTAATGAATCAGCAATTTGCCTTGAGCGGCAGCTCGAAAGGCGACAAGTGCCCCGTGCCCCGTGCCCAAGGTCTCGCGCCCTTGTTGAATCCCTCAACGAATATCAATGGCCAAGTATCGGCCATGAAGGTCGAGAGAAGTCTTACAAAGCTCATTTTCATTAGCACTTTGCCTGACAGAGGCATAAGTTTACTGAAGCTTCACGTCGATCACAAGCTGTGACATTAGCAATCACTTAGGACTTATGTATATCAGAAAATAATCTTTAATTTTAAGATAGTCAAATCAATAAGTCGTTAAAAATAAAGGTATAAATTACAACCCGGGCTTTGGGTAATAACTTTAACAAAATAACTTTATTTGGCTGACCGTTCCGTGCTCTTCTAGACCTTTATTAAAGCAACGCATTTGGTATTCTTGCAGTTTACGGGAGCAGCGCTGACCTGAACGTGACCGGGGACGACGGCGATGCTTCGCTGTACAACGGGGATGAGAACCACAAGGTGTGGAGTGGGTCCCAGGATCAGCTGGACAGCATCGGGGTGCCCGTTGAGAGTCCGTACGAGATGTTCACAGGAAACACCTCCACCCTGGGCAGGCCGCTGCGGGCCCGCCAGATTAGTGCCCCCATCGATGTACCTCCGCCCCCCGTCAAGGAGGAGCGCAAGCAGAAGCGCGACAAGAAGTCGTCCAAGTCCAGCGGGAGCCAAAGCCTGTCGGGCACCCTCATCAGACCGAAGCCCATGCACCCTGCCGCCATGCATCGCTCTGGCCTTCAGAGCTCTGCCGGTCCCGGCAGCGTCATCTACGGGCCCGTCTCCGGACACGGACACGGACTCGGGCCGCACTCTGCCCGCTATCACACCATCAGTCATCGGGGTTTCCCCCCCGGTCCACCGCCACCCAGTCACCTGGCCCACCATCCGCCGCAGCTTACGCATCAACACCATATGATGCACCATGCGGCACACCAACACATGGGCGGCATGCCACCCCTTCAAATCCCTGTCATGCTGCCCCAGCAGTACGCAACACTGCAACCATCGCGCTCGACCAGCAAAAAGAAGAAGAAGGACAAGAAGAACGGTGGAGGCGGAGTTCCCGTGGGGATGCCCATAGTGCCCCCCATATATGCCTACCACCAGCAGCAGGCCATGGGTGGCGTCCCGCCCCCGCAGATGTCGCAGTCGATGATTGGGGAGCCGCGTCCGCTGGGAATGTCCAGTCGAAAAATGGCGGCGTCGATGGGCAACGGGCTGGATGACTCTGGCAACTCGGGTGCCGAGTCCCCGTCGCCAGGAGGCACAGGAATTTACAAGGTAAGTCAGCCTCTAAGGCCGTCCTTCGTGGGCTCTCATCAGAGGGCAACGTGGCGGTTACCCACTCCTCGATGGGTCTCTTACATGCTGTGATTCAAGTAAGTCTTTCGTTGCAGCGCAAGGGGCACCTGAACGAGCGGGCCTTTAGCTATTCCATCCGCCAGGAGCACCGCAGTCGCAGCCACGGATCGCTGGCCAGCCTGCAGTTCAACCCACCGGACATGAAAAAGGAGCGCGAGATCGCGCAGATGGTGGCGGGCCTGGATCTGAACGATGGCGAGCGACAGATGGGACCGAGCACTCTGCAACGCAAACAGGCCGCTATGACGATGACGAACGGCGGAGGACAACATCCGCATCCCCACGCGCACCCCCCACATCCACATCAACATCCGCATCCACATCCGCATCCGCATGCCATATACGGGCCCCTGGGTCCCTCCAGTAGCTTCGGCAAGCCACGAAGATAGGAGTTGGGCGGATCTGTTGCAATACGAGTACGAGTACGAGTACTTCTGGATCGCACTAGGCCGAAGTGCATAGGATTAAACAACGTTTAGCGATGCTGGTCAAATTAGAAAGGGAACCAATCGAAGCTGCGGGCTGACCTCGACCTCGGTCCCCCTCTACAGCAAACACAAGAAGCGGTCAGGTCATCATACGGCAGACATACGAGTAGAGACAGGAGGCAACGGACCAGCGAGGGCGAGGTCCTGAGAATTCCAACATTGAATCCAATTTAATCAATGAATATGTGTGCCTTATTAGGTTTATACTATAAGTAAATCCGTTAGCGGATGTATCCATGAATACATGAAACAGCGTACTTTGTACTTTAACCATCATAATACATAGTGTAGAATAATATAACACCACTGCTTGCCCACTGCAAGCTCCGGCCGAACGAACTAATGAACAGATAACTTCCGACTGGCGTCAAAGGCGATCGATCACAAATGTACAATATTCTATCGAGTGGAGAGTAACTCCCGCATTTCGTTCTGTTCACTTTAGTATCGTAAAATAGGGTCAGGAAATAGAAGAACAGAACTATCCATATACACACATATATTCGTATACATTTCAATATGTACAATAAATATAATAAATTGTTAACGGAAGCACGAAGAACAATAGAGATCTTTCCTCCTGGTGGCGATCATCTTGTGGCTAAGCTGGCTCTGTCCTGTCACACCCAACAGTCCATTGGGATGCGGGAATGCAACGTCGCTCAACTTGGATTGATTGGCACCGAGCTTCGAGGCTGAAGCGGAGCCGGAGGCGGCTCGAAGCTGGAAGCAATCATGGCACATGGACTGGCCTCCCACAGCAAACGAAGAGTGCTGTCCCGACTTGGGCTTGGGGTTGGGCCTAGACACTGTCAGTCTCTCGCCCCAGCCAAAGTTGTACAACCATCATGCATATGCCTTCTGCATGCAAATGCGGCACAGCGCTCGATTTGCATACGAATGCGGTGCGACTTGGAAATGATTATTTTGTGGAATGTTGCCAGTGGACAGGTACGCAGCCGTCGAATAGAAGCGCATAGAATCGGCCCAGCATAAAAACGCCACAATTCAACCATATCCGTGGAAACAGAGACGCTCCATCCGAGGGGTCCCAAGGAGTTTTGACAGTTTTGAGATTGTCGCGTGATTTTCATTTTTACTACAATGAGGACAGATGAAATATGTGAATAAGAGATGAGAGATGGCAGATGGGAGAATTCAGCTCAGGCTGTCCAGCCCACGCTTTCACTTCCAGTTTCACTGTCGACCCCGAGGCTGGGCGCAGTAACCAAGACAAAGTGCTCAGGTGCAAAGCGGTCCGACGTTTTCATAATGCGAATTGGGAGGGGAGGGAGCAAAAGATTGGTTTATATCGGGCACAGTTGAAGCCTGTGATCCTCCCCAATGGTCAGCAGGTGTACTCGTAATATGAATTTCAGAAGACAATTACATAAATCAAAATCTACAGATCGAGTGCCCGTCCAAGGGAGCTTCTGTGTCTGTCTGCTGCTCTATCTTTGGTGGTGTCTGTCTCTGTGCAATTTATGGGTCTGGTCTGTCCCCGTGCACGCATTGCGCAATACCCGAACACATGAATCTCGAACCAAGAAACGCGTATGCCATATACCGCTCAGGGCGGGCTCGTCTGAGTGTGATACCCTGGACGCGCCTGGTCTCTCTGTATGTCAGCGGCACACAGGCTTTATGGAAATTCCACCTTTTATGAAACGAGAAAATGCAGCATTCCGTTTCCAGTTTTACTGGTAGCCAAAGACAACATGGCTAACTGGCCAGGCAGGCAAATTGCCAAACGCGGGCCGCTAACATTTCCCACCAAAGTCCAGTCCCGTCCCATGTCCAACACCCCGAATAAGCTTCAAGGAAATAAAGGATGCTGCGAAACTTGGCCACTGACGTGCAATATTAGGAGTGAAGCCCTTCATTCTTCGCACAATTAAACTGGTAATCGGTCTCAGTTGATCTGTACTCGATTTGAGGGTAAATCGAAATGGCCTCATATTTTACACAAGGAAAGAGTTTTGAGATATGCACACTGGGCGTATCTCACATATACGGTCTAGTGCAGTCTACAGCACAGTCAAGAAAAAGCAAAAACCATTTTACTCCTATTCTTCGAAGAGGAGCTGGAGAACACCTGCAACTCTACGAGTACGAATGTGTCCAAAAAATGGACCCATTGCAAATACATTGAGTACGTCCCAAAAGCCGTTTGTAAGTTTGAGAGGGTCTTGTGGATTTCGTCTCTCGCTTCTGGTGCTTTTCGAGCTCTCCGCTTGTTGGGCTTTTGCAGACTCAGATCCAACCAACTCTTCGCCTTTCAGCCCCTGAGACTGGTTGTCGACCATTGCCAACTTACTCGTACTCGAATCGATCTGTGTTTGTGTGAGTACGTGTGTGTTGTGTGTGTGTGTGTGTGTAGTGGAATGGAATGGAGTGGAAGCCGAAGTCGCCTAGACTGCAGCAAGCACTGGGCTTGGGTTTGGATTGCGGTTTGTTTATTGATCAACCCGTAGATACTTTTCTGTATAGCTGTTAATTTGGTCTTTTGTGTAGACCTGTGTTGGTGTTTCTCTCTATGTGTAGAGACGAACTGTTCGATTGAATCTGTGGAATGCGGACAATCCGGTCGCCGAGTGGAATTCTTTACACAGTCACATAGCGAAACTGTTCGGAGTGGCCGATAAGAAGGGGGGACGGAGACCAGCACTTGACACTCCAGTCTTGACCAACGGAGACTGGATTAGCTCGGACTGGGTGGCTTACATTCAATCGCACCTCTTCTTAATGGAATCAAACCTTCATGTCATGATATTTCTGCTCGAAAACACGACTCCGCATTTTGGTTAAAAGTCATGACATAGCGACATGATTTACGAAAATTAAATCTTTTGGGCATTTTACATATTTGTTAATAAATTTAAAATTTTCTTGTAGACATTAAGCTAGATAGATCTAATTTGAACTTTTTCGGTCTGGTATATACTGAATATATGTACTAAATACGCACATTTGAAGCAATATATTGATCTAGTTATTTGCTCGTATTGTACTTAGTCTTGGGCATATTGGACGAAACATCAATTTTTCTTCTATACTGGACTAATTTTAGAAACTGTGGAAAAGAGTTCTGGTTAATAGTTTTAGATGAATTCATTTAGTATAAGGCTCAACGAGATGTATGTCCATTCCGATTATAACATAATAAAATATATAATTAAATTTTTATTGGAGAAGGATTACATTCTAAATTGTAGCGCTGGGATGTAGCATGAAACAAATTAAATTTAATTAATTATCCTGCTTTCAAAATTCTGGGTTACGGGTTATCAGGCCCATTAGCCCATATTATAAGAACATATTAACAACAACAAAAATGTATACCTACTCATACTATATGCATACATATGTGAGATGCTTGTAGGTCGCTCGTTAATATACACCGAGACCAGCACCAACTGATAGCGATGTGCATCTTTATTATCATTTCTAAAGCAATTTATATACTTGTGAATGAATGCCTATGTAGGTACGATTGAAGCAAATTGATTGTCATTTCCATTCGGAGACTTTGAATGGAGCGCGACTCGAATTTTCTTATTTTAAATCTATGTAGTTTTATATTTAGCCAAATTCCAGCACCTTAAAATGGATGGAGATTCTAGCTTAGCCGAGCGCCAACATCCACGGTCAGATTTTCATTCAACCTAATTTTAGTTTCGCCAAAGAGCAAAAACAGCAGCAAGCGAGATTTCTTTTCCGAAACGTGGCCAGTGCTGCATAACGTAACTCGTGCGTTACCCTAAAAGTATGCACCACACTTGTGCCCTCGTGCTAGTCTCATGAATGGCCGCTAGGTGCGTCACTCTCCAATTTCCGGCTGTTATTTCTTAAGTTTTCCTTTATTCCTATCTATGCCTATAACTATGTGTGTATGTATGTTTCTGTCTCTAACTCTGGTCTGTTCGACCCTTTTTACCACCATTTCTCAGAGACTATTAGAGCAAATCGAAAGATCCCTGGAATACACAATTTGAAAGATACGGTAGAAATGACTACCAGCGTTTCGACTGGGAGGTTCCTCTCCAACTATTGACTCAAGTTAGATTGTTTGAGATTGATTAGTTGAGATTATTTGCCAAGTTATTCTCTTGACTGTGCAGTCATGGTATTGACTATTTTTCGTCTCTAAGCCCTGGAAAATCTAGCTATTGAAAGATTTGCGTTGCCTGCTCCAACTTGTAGTTGCAGGCCCGTCCCAGTTGGAAAAGCTGCGTCAGACTCTCAAAGAGATTGACAGCAAAAAGACTACAGTTCTTTAAGAGGATGAGGCACCTGAGGCAAGGCAGCCATTTGGGGATCACAGACTGCAATCAATCCATTGTACACCTTGGAGTGGTCTCCCGTGAGGCAAGTGCTGCAGATGGAGGCTTCTAGAGAGAAGAGCGAAATACCCAAGTAACATAGAATCTGACACAAACAGCTCGAACGAAACTATCATCGGCAACTGAGCTTTCTCTTATGTCTGGGGTCACTTTGTTTATGTTTTAATGTTTTTATTAGCACAATTTTGTTATCGCCCGCATTATCATTTCCCATAAGGTATACAAGTCCATAAACACACATTTTTTTATGTAAATGTGGGCGTGGGCACATTCTAATTGAAGCAAAATGTTCGAATACGGGTAATATTATCAGATGTGCAATATGTTCCCATTTGGTGTGAATACAATTGAATTACAGAGCCAGCAACAGCAGATATGTTACTTTTCAATCCGGTTTGAAGAAGTCTCTAATTCCGCATACAAATTTGAAAGGGGAAATTCATCCTTTATTATAATAATTCGAAACATGCTGCAGACCCCATTGTCAGCGTTTACTTTTATATCTTAATGTATCATAACATAACTAACGTCTGAACGGGCTCCAATAAAATCTTAAAAGGGAGGAAGGAACCCTTAAAAGGGTCAGGATATCCGAAGCAGAAGATGCACGATTGGAAAATTCTGTTGCATCTAGATAGTTGGATAGCTTCCATATAAATCTATTCGGCACTAATATTAAAACTTCAAAAAAAAAATGTTTGCATAAATGTAGATCCTGGTCTGCACGTTTTTCACTTCGTCAAATTAACTTCTTCCTTCAGAACAGCAGCACGCGGTGCTTGAGGGTTGATTTAATCAATCACGTCAATCACATGTCAGCCCTCACAAGGCTAATTCGATTGAGCTGTACTTATATTGTGGGCTGTACCTTTGCGGCCAGCATGGCTGCGCAATAATAACAACAGGAAGGGGCGCTTCCCAGATAACAGATTTTCTATAAAAAGAAGATGTTTCTGGAGCAGTGAACCAGTCTTGTAAGGGCGAAGCCGAGAATGGGACACCGCGGAATGGGATGCGCGCATTTTGCCACCTTGGCGATGCCCCTCTGGGCCTTAACATTTTATCTGCTGGTGGTGCTGCCAGTACCGTCCCAGACAGCCAGCGTGGAGGTCGGAAAGGAGGAACGGCGACTGCAAGACCTCGATCCCAAGATGGGATCAGAGGCGGGAAATACGGACGGACTCTCGTTGGCACGCTTCGGCAGCAGACGCCACCAGAGATCCACTGGGTTCGGGCACAGAGTTCCAATAATCTCCCGGCCTGTAATACCCATCGAACTGGACTTGCTGATGGACAACGAGGACGATCGGACGATGTCAAAACGCTTCGACGACTATGGTCATATGCGGTTCGGAAAGCGGGGCGGCGACGACCAGTTTGATGATTACGGTCACATGCGCTTTGGTCGGTAAACGCAACTACAACTTTTGGCTTTTGTAAATACTATCTTAAATAATTATATGCCCATTACTATTACTTATGCTACTACATTAACTATAGTAAATACAATATACGAGTAATAAATATGCGCATTCCCAAAATGGACTCACTCACCTACAGTTTCAGTTTATTTCTTAGTAAAATAATATACAATATATATACATAATCAAATACAATAGAAACCATAAACGACCAGGAATGTGCCCGTTCCCAGATAGCTTCACAACCACGGACATCCTGAATAGAAACAGATCAAATCTGGTTTTCACTGATCTCTAAAGAATAATATTATATTTGAGAGGATACAATTATAAGTAACTTGTACTTGCACTCTATGGGACAAATATTCCAGCTATTTCCATACTGAGCCATACGACCTTATTCGGCTGCTATATCTTCTCACTAGGAAGAATCTATTTGATATTATCATTTTCTATGATTGAGGGATTTTAGAGATTAAAATTGAGATTTGATTTTAGAGGGCGGTAAAGGGCATGTCAAAAATTGTCTCCCTGGGATATCACAGGAGTCTTTAAAGCTCGTTTTGCTCTACTTCTTATAGGTTCCGAACGACGATTATTTATGTAAGAAAGAGTGGGCCAGCCGGCCTATTGAGGGGGCAGCGGGGATAAGCAACAGCAGCATAGGAACAGCTGATGAGCAGCAACAGCAGTAGTAACAGCAGCAGATCAACAGCTGACAGAGAAGAAGAAAGAGTCGTAAGGAGAGAATCGCAGAATACTACTCTCTCGCTCGCGTCTAAGCTTGCTGCATAGGGCCCGGCAATTTGGCCCGTCAACCCTTGCATTTTTAGTCTTGAGCTAATCGTCGCAGCTATATTACATATGCAAATAAATTGTGAATTATATACAACCTCTCGAATTTCATTAAATTCAAAATTTCAACAGTTATTAAAAACGCTTAATAGCTTAACAATATCAATAAACTATTTCTAAATAATATCGTACATATATGCTTTATGGAATCGGAAACTCTTTTTTCTGGCTGCTATATATGTACATCTACACGAATTGAATCTGATTCCTGATTTATCAGGAATGCCAGTCGCATTGTTCAATCTGGTCCCCTTAAGAATCCTTTGTTTGTTCCCGTGATTTTGTTATTCCTTGAGAGTGTACGTGGTAGCAATTTCAACTGTTTCCACCCATTATCGAACTGTCAGCCATCTGATATTTTCCCCACACCCAGTCGAACTGATAAGTTCGTCCATGCTTTGGAGACCACAAATTGCTGGAAGTGCTCAGTAATCAAAGCGTTCCCGGAGCGGTAACGTGTGTTCGAAGAAGCATAGAGCGCAGAACCCAAAAAACCCACACCAGAGATAAGATTTTAATTAAAGCCAAATAAATAAACACGAACAAGATGTTTATCGGTTCAATTGCTGCTTGTCCAGAAACGAATTAAATATGTTAAAGACATTTTACCCCTGTTGCGTTTTGCTAATCGCCATCGCCGTCCACACTCTGGAAGCTAAAACTGTCCTCGTGGAGGAACTTACAAAATGGACATTGAGGAACGCGACCTCTTGTAAGTACCTCTTTGTAGTCTAATGAGTGCGAGTACGCGAAATTGATGAAAGTATCACCTGCCGCTGTGATGTGATTGAATCATCATGGACGGCGCGAGTAGTGCACGGGCCGTGGCCTCCCCAGGAGTGTTTGCACTTGTGATAAGATTAAAATGCCATCGTCTACGTTGAGTCTCTGGTAGAACCTGCGCTAATTAATTGTTTATAAATATTTCTTACGGCTGGCTGTGTGATTTTGATGCAATTTGAGATGCGACAATTCTTCGCCTTCGCTTCGATCTAAATAACCGCTCTATTTTCAGCACTGAAGATCGACGTGGCCCGGGTGCCGAGTGGTGTGTATACGGCGCTGAAGGAAACATACGGGGACCTGCTGGAAAAGGAAAACAATGTGGCGCTCAGCTGGATAGCCAACCAAACTTGGATTTACAGCACCACCTTCGACAGTAAGTAACTGATTTCTTCTTCATTAGCCGACTCTGACCGATCGATATATAGGCGTCGAATTGGGCAGCGACAGTTTGGTGAATCTCACGCTCCACGGAGTCGACACCGTGTCCAAGTTGTGGCTGAACGGTGAGCTGATCGGTGAAACGGACAACATGTTCATCCGTTACTCGTTCGCCATCGGGCACTTGCTGCTGCCCAGTCCCAGCCAGAATACCCTGGAAATCGAGCTGCTTTCGCCCCTTCAGGAGGCCCGCATTCGATTCCAAAAACTGGAAGAATCGGGCACTGCCAGTGCTCCCCCCAGCTGTCCAGTGGCGCTGGGCTATGTCGAGTGCCATCGAAACATGCTCCGCAAAATGCAAATGAGCTTCGGCGGCGAGTGGAACCCAGTAGCCCTGTCGTCTGGAATATGGAAGCCAGTGACCATCGAGTACTACACGGTGGGAATCCTGCGCGACGTCGATGTGGCCATCAACCGCAATGACACACACTGGACGATGGATTGTCGGGCCTTTGTCAGCTCACCTGCGCTGCAGAACTTCAACGCTAAGCTCGTGGTGTATGCCAGGTATTCAGAGCTTAATAAAAATATTATATCGGAAAATTAAATATCCATGACAATGACCTTTTAGTGAGCTCTTGGACGAACCACTTGTAATGGATCAGCAAGAGGTAAACTACGCCTCCCCCGTTCTCGAGTTCAAAATACACATTCCCCTGGTACGTTACACGCAAGCCTATTCATTCACGAGATAAAGAGTCGTTCGGTATATCCCGGTTCTTCTTCCCATTCTCCCCAGGACCGCGTCACCCTGTGGTGGCCAAATGGCTATGGCAAGCAACGTCTCTACCCCGTGCTGTTTTCACTGAAGTGCTTCTCCAGCGAAGTCCCCAACCTGAGCTCGCGCACCGAGTCCCAGAAACTATTGAAGATTGGATTTCGCACCATTGAGCTGGTGGAGGACGTGGACAGTGAGTAGGACTACTTTTCCTCACTCTATGGTCATAACCATATCATCCCTTCTCCTCGCCTTTGTGTAGGGATTGGTAGAACCTTCTTTTTTCGTGTGAACGGCCATCCGATTTTCATGAAGGGTGCCAATTATGTACCGGCCAATACATTGCCAGAACTATCAGCAGAGGCGGATACGGGTGAGTAAGTGCTTATCATTGCACAGATGCAGAAGATGGCTAATCATAAAATGCACTTTACAGTGCAGCACTTGCTGAAATCGGCCCACGATGTCCACATGAACATGATCCGAGTCTGGGGGGGCGGTCTCTACGAGTCGGAAACATTCTACAACTTGGCAGACTACTACGGCCTCCTGGTATGGCAGGACATGACATTTTCCAAGGCAGCCTACCCCCTAACCGATGATTTTGTGGCTTCTGTCTGCCTGGAAACAATGCAAAATGCGCAGAGGCTCTCGTACCACCCCAGTCTCGCGATGATTGTGACTAACAACGAGATTGAGCTCTTCCTGGTGAAGAATCGCTCGGAGTTCGGTGAAAATGCGACGCGCCTTGAGAAGGACTATCAGGCCCTATTCATGGGCACTCTCAAGCACGAGCTGAATATAATTTCACGCAACGATTTCAATCCGCGCCCTGGCCCTTTAATCTCCACGCCCTCGCTGGGTATTGAAGAGTCTGGCAAGGAGCTGGCCATAGATCCTCAAACTCCTAATTTCGGCGATAGTAAGCCAACTCTGTTCCAAGCTTTGATATTATTTATCACAAATTTGTTTGTTCCAAGTCCACTTTTGGGGAGACGAAAAGGACGGCTTTGACCCGGAAATCTACCCACACGGTCGGTTCGTATCCGAGTTCGGATATGCCAGTCTGCCCACGCTCTCCACCTGGCAGCGAGCGCTGGGCAATGGCTCAGATGAGTCCAACGAAAGCATAGCTGCGCTCATTCGAAGTCACCACCACGATCCCAAGGGATTCATACCGATACTTAAGCTGATTGCCCTCCAACTGCCTTTTATGCTCCACAACTGGGATGAGAATATTCAGGAATTCATATACTTCAGCCAGGTCTCCCAGGCAATGACCGCCAAGACGGCAGTCGACCTCTTCCGCACCCTGCGCATTGAGAACCAGACAATGGGTGCACTAATGTGGCAGTTAAATGACGTGTGGGTGGCACCCACCTGGTCTTGCATCGACTTCTATGGAAACTTTAAGATAGTCTACTACTGGGCCAAGGACTTTTTGGCTCCCACGAGGGTGATTGCCCTGTACGATAAGAATACGGATAGCCTCAACGTGACGCTCACAAGGGAGGACTACATGGAGCATGCTGACACGCGCTTGTACCACGTCAAAATCAACACCTATCTCTGGACAGACTTCATTGCTAAAAAGACTATAGCCCGTGCCTTCGCTCTGGTGAGTGTAACCGTAACCAGCAACTGGCTCCAGCAGTAGACCTATCGAATATATCCGCAGGGTTCAAATGAGCTGGAAGCGCGCCCAATACCTCTGGACACTTTTCTGTACGAAAACCACTCGAAGGAAGAAATCTTTCTGGAGATCGTCTTGGAAGATAACAACGGTGTGACAATGGCACGAAATTACTTCTACCCGGTGCCTATAAAGAACGTTAAGGGCATCAAAGATCCGGAATTAGCGGTGGGTGCGAATGCCATATTCCTATCGTATTGCTATCATGTCTTCACTTACCCCTGACAGCTGGAAGTGGTGGGTCCTGACTGCAGCACGGCCAAGCAACCGTATGCCAACAGTTTCAGCCTACGCATCACAGTGAAGTATCCAGCTCTGCTTGTGTACTTGGAAGTCTCCCATCCAGACTATTTTAAGGAGAGACACCAGTTCTCGACAAATGGCTTTACGCAGACAGAGCCCAGAAAAACAGTGCACCTGGAGTTTGAAAACTCTTCGGAGTGCCTGAGGCTGACAACCGAGCACATTAAAGTGCAAACGATGAATCAATATTTAATCTGAGTAAAACTCTCACCATAAATTATAAATCTAACAAAATATAAGAAGTGGGTGGATTCCAGTCTTTACCTTCATTCTTTTTATATTAATTATCAATGTCATTGGAAAGCCCGATACTGCCTGTCTTCATTGAAAGTTCTGGGCGAAATTTCGTTGAGCTAGCTCAATATTTTCATATATTAAAGGGGTTTCCGTATTTTATTTTCAGTCTTTAACAAGAAGCTGAAATGAAACGCCAAAGACGGCAGAATAAACTAATAAAAAAAAAATGTATAAATAAAATGTATATGAGCTCTAAATTGGAAAATAGCGCCAGTGTGATTTCATTTTAGTTTTCAACCCTGTTTGAATTCGAGACTGGGATGGATATTGTCCCGTTTCCTGAGAGTATGGCGGGAATTCTTTGAAGCCCTGCGAGGTGTACCCATCATGCTGGCTTTTACCAATTAACTATGTCTATGTATTTTCGAGCAAGAATTATATATAGTAACTTTTCCGCTTCCCAAACACCGATGTTTGGATCTATCGATGATTTCCCACCTCTACTGTTTTTGATTTTCAAATGAAACTCTGGCGCACTTGATGTTTTCCAAATTCCAATCGATTTTAGTATCGTTTGTTCTGCAGTTTTAATACGAAGTGCAGCAATCTGTCGAAAACTTGTTATACTCGATAAGAAGTATCCTCACAGAGAGAGATATAGAGCGGAAGCGGCATACATACATACTTAGAGGGAAAAAACTAAGTTTTTGGATTAAATTTACTCGTCGGAATAGCGCGTGAAGTTTTATAAAAGGATATGCACGAAACTTTTCTCCCTTTTTCGGCAAACTAACTTACATCAAGTATCCATGGGTTTTCCTCTTGTCTTTCAGTATCCTCTATCATTGTAGGGCATCCAATCGATTTGCTAAACGTCGCAGGGCTATCACGTTTCTGCGAAAAGGGAAAGGATAAGGGGACATGTTGGGGACCATCATAAAAACCAAGCAATGCTTCAAAGCCCCACAATTGTTACAACCAATTTCCGGGAGGAAAGGAACAGGAATTTTTCGAGAGTGTTTTCGTTTTCTTTCATCAGGCTCTATGGGAGCTTCTTCGTACGTTGACAGCATGTCAGCATGGATGATACATTCGAGTCGCATATGACTGTAGCTTTTTTTGTGTTTGAATGAGTTTTACTTTGTGCGAATATAAATATTAATAAAAATATAAAATATAACTAGATTTATACAAAAAGGGATAATAAAAATACCTTCATACAAGCAATTCAACCAGAACTGGACAAAAAAAAAACAAATGGAAAACAAATGTTTAGATACGATTGAATTTGATTATGGAGTCCCGATGAAAGTAATGGGGATTGAACTGGGGAAGGCGAAGCTGGTATGCATATATGTATATTTAGACCTCTTTGATTATTGTATTTTGAACCATAGATGTGATTATTATTTTAAAAAACAATCATACTCGCCTATAATATTGTTATTTTCAAAATAAAACGACGATTAGTTCAGCTTATCGCACAAAAATACCGATACTTTTTTTCAAACTAGCACTGTGCTTCGATAATGGTCGTATGAGACTACTAAACTAACAACACTATAACTATACTATACATATAGATGTAGTTCAGCAATGTCAGTTCATACAACGAATATGTTGATGGCTCGCCCCGCTTCATCATTTTTTTGCGCTTTGTTTTGTGTCTGTTTTCTCTTGAGGATCCAGCGTGTTTAAATGTATGGTATGTCACACGTATTTTCAAATTCTGTGTGTATAAGCTTTAGATTGCTATCATTTTTTGACTATTTCATTTTCGCTTTCCGGGCTCACATACCATTAAACTTGGTATTTTTTGAGTATTATGACACTTTTTGAAGAAGCTTGTCCCAGAATATCAGACACTGTTTGTTATTTTGTAAATACACATACATCATAATTCACTTCACAGTCGAAGAATGGGCCCTTAGGGTATTCAAGGTGCGGCGTGCCACTTCATTCATTCTTTGCACTCTCATCAGAAAACGAGATGAGATAAATGATTTATTGTTTGGTGCGCAAGTATGACACTATACAGATTGATAGACCCATTCCATACCAATCTACATATATTTCATTAATGTCTATAATCATTGATGATATTTATGTACATAATTTTCTCAGCGCAAATCACTTTTTTATTTGTAATTATTATACTATGTACATTGTTATACTAGGAAACAAGCCCCCTGTGCAGTCGCTTCGCTCGTGCGCCATCCCTTGCCAAAATAAAAGTTCGGACGACGACGACCTACGTCTATATTTTGTACTAATAAATATATTTAATGATATATGTATAATTAGAAGCTGAGGTATAAAATGGGTAACTGAAAATCGAAGCCCGCTCGATAGAGAACAATCAACAGATTTTTGTTCCCACGAATATCGGTATCTCGTAGTCGAGGCACTATAGTGTTCGTTGCTGTTCTCTTTCGATCTTTCTCTCTCGAGCCGGACGAAGAACAGCTGATGTGTGCAGAAGAGCATGACACTGAAATTAATTTCATTATCGATATGTGTTCTCGCGCTCCCACTCTCACTTCCCCATGGAACGACAGACGATCAGTCGGCTGCCAGTCGCCATCGCCATCGCCATTTGCCGTTAGAGTGCGATTGGAAAAGCAACTTCGCGCTTTGTGGATTCGGTTTGCCGTTGGTTCGTGTGCGCTCCGAGAGGGTGGCTACATACATATAGGTTTCTGATACAATTTATTGGAGAGGCGAAGCTACTTTAGTATACTTTAAAATAGCCCCAAGTAAATTAGGCCGAATACTAACTGCCTGATGAAGTGTCGGCCTGGGAGTGGACGCCACGACGGAGGCGTTCTGTTGGTTATTGGACTATGGTGTGGATTTCTTTTTTGTGGCATCCATGGCGATTCAGTTGAAGTAATCGAGCTGGGCAGCAAGTGGAGTATAACTAACCAGAATGGATGTGAGTACAGCACAATTCCATCGAAGGAACCTATTCGTAAAAATCGTAAAAATAAGATAGACCGTAAATAATAAATGAAATTATGTGCGATTAGTTGATGGTGATAGTGTCCATAATCAGATGTGCTAGGAGCAGATAGCTTCAGCTGTTTGTTTACAAACCATCAAAAAAGCGCTTATCGAGGCGCCATTTCGGCTTGTGAACGAGACGGCGGTTATTGTTCCGGTCCTCAATCAATATATATCTTTACAGCCCTGTCCATTGCTAACCAAAGCCTGCCCTCCGGCATATACAGTGCCTTTGGAGCCCAGGTTCTAGAGTCCTACAATGACATCAATCTACGCTGGCTGGCCTACGACAACTGGACGTACACAAATAAGTTTCAGTGTAAGCCAAGGTTCCCATACCCTAATAACGTCTCCATAAAATGATAAAAGATTCGCTTTTAAATTTTCACAGTCGACATTCATCACTACCAGCGGGGCCACATTAACCTGACGTTCCACGGGATTGACACCATAGCCGAGATTCGTCTGAACCATCAGCTTTTGGGACGCACGGACAACATGTTTGTGCGCTACTCGTACGACGTCAGCTCCATCCTCCAGCAGGAGAATATCCTGGAGGTAGAGATAGTGTCCCCCGTGTGGACGGCGCTGGCCAAGGCGCAGGCTCTGGACGCCGCGCAGCGCTCTGTTCCGCCTGCCTGTCCCCATGAGCGCTACCACGGAGAGTGCCACATGAATATGCTCCGAAAGATGCAATCAAGTTTTTCCTGGGACTGGGGTCTGGCCGCACCATCGATGGGCCTCTGGAAGAACGTTCAGCTCGAGATCTACGAGGTGGCAGTCATACGCGACATCGACGTAGACATCAGCCGCACCGCCAACGGCTCGCACTGGAATATGCACATCCGCTGCTACTTGGATGCGGTGGGCAGGCAGAACTTCTACGGCACCCTGATACTCTATGCAGTGTAAGCGGCTTTGTTACAACTCTGTTTCAATTTTGCTCGGATCAACTCATTAGAACTTGCTTGCAGCGAGCTATTGGACCATCCGGTTGTAGTTGACACATACAACTCGAAACCCATCAGCTACTTGACACCAATAATTGAGTTCGATCAGTCCGTGCCAACTGTGAGTAGCCCCGTAATTGCGTCGCCCGGCAATAATGCCGGTGACTACATACATATCTGTGTCTATATCTGGGTCAAGTGCAATTGTCGACCCGCAGGAGAAAGTCGCAACCTGGTGGCCCAATGGCTATGGTGACCAAAAGCTTTATCCGCTTCACTTCACGCTCAAGGCCTGGCTGGGGTCTAAGGGACCAGAAGTGCGCTCGAAAACCAAATCGCAGAAGTCGCTCCGCGTAGGCTTCCGCACGCTTGAATTGTTAGAGGTGCCAGCGCCAGACGGACTCGGCAACACCTTTCTCTTCCGGGTCAACGGATTAGAAATATTCATGAAGGGCAGCAACTACATACCATCCCACATCCTGCCTGAAAATCAAACAAATGACCGAAGTGAGTCCATATAGTATCGTATTTACATACCTTAGTAGCCCCTAACAAAATCTTCCAAAGTTGAGCATTTACTGAAGTCTGCTAAGGAGGCGCATATGAACATGCTGCGCGTGTGGGGCGGCGGGGTTTACGAGTCGGACTATTTCTACAACCTCGCCGACAGCCTTGGCCTGCTCATTTGGCAGGATATGATGTTCGCCTGCGCCATGTACCCGGTGGGAGAGGAGTATCTGTCCTCGGTGCGGGAGGAGGTTCGCCAGAATGCCAAGCGCCTATCGCACCATCCCAGCATTGCAATTTTTGTCACCAACAACGAGAACGAAGCCGCACTTGTGAACGACTGGTACCACACATTATACGACGAGGAGCGTTTTAAAGCTGAGTACCGAGAACTCTACGTGGCCAACGTCATCCACGAGCTAAAGCTTGTCTCCCACAAGTCGCGCCCTCAGCCACTGGTTTCCTCGCCGTCGAATGGAAAGGCCAGCGCGATGGACAATTACATTTCAGAAAACCCCCAGGACGACTACTATGGCGACGGTAAAAAATGTCACGCATACGCTATCTACGTAAGAATTCTTTCTTATTCTTTCTTTCTCTATCGACAGTGCACTTTTACGACTACCTGAAGGACGGCTGGGATCCAGGGATCTATCCTACCCCGCGGTTTGCCAGCGAGTATGGCTTCCAGAGCTTTCCCAGCTTCTATTCTTGGCAACGCAGTAAGAATGATGACGACGACCTCGCCGCTTTGATGAATCACCGACAGCATCACCCTCTGGGCAGCTATCCGATCAAAAGCCTGGTGGAGCGTCATCTGCCACTGCCTCTCCCGGAGGCCGAAAACTATGCTGAGGCACTCATCTACTTCAGCCAGATTTCCCAGGCCATGGCCACCAAGGTGGAGACGGAACTGTATCGCAGCCTACGGGACACAGCTCACAACACCATGGGCGCTCTCTACTGGCAGCTGAACGATGTCTGGGTGGCGCCTTCTTGGTCCGGTATTGATTTCTATGGCAATTGGAAGGTTAGCTTGCATCAGCAGTCCAGAGTATCCGTTCCGCAATGATCAAAGGCGCAAACAACCCTTCTTCCAGCTTTTGCATTACTGGGCGCGCGACTTTCTGGCCCCCATCGCTATCGTTGCACAGTACGACAAGACCGAAGATTCGCTCAACATCATCCTGATTTGCGATGAGCCGCAGGTGGACACTGAGGGGCTGACCGTTGTGGCCAACAAATATCTGTGGTCGCAGCTGCTTCCGCGCGATTCCATCAATTGGACGGTCACCCTCCGACCTAACGGCGTACAGTATGACAAGGTCATCCCCATCAAGGATTTGCTTGTTGAGGAGTTCAATACTCGCAATGCCTTCCTGGAACTGCAGCTGCGTCGTCGCCAGGAGGTGCTCTCCCGCACCTACTTCTTCCCCAGCAACATCGCCGCCGCTGTCGGGCTCGAGGATCCCGGCCTAGAGGTGAGTATTCCATGAGCTCTTAGCTAATGAGGATGCCATTGGCTTAACTCTCCTATGCTTCTGCAGTACGATATTGCGTCTAAGACCTGTCTCACCACTGGAAACGTCATCCGGAACAGCCTGAGTATTAGCATCCAGGTGAAGCGGCCCGCGGTCTTCGTATACCTCGAGCTGTTGAAGCCCTACCAGTATTTGTTCTCTGAGAACGGCTACATGCAAACCACGCCCGTGCACGTGGTCTATCTTACCTTCGATGCCACGTCCTGTGTTCGACTACGCAAATCAGAAATCAAGGTTTTGACCGTAAACGACTTCATGCCTTAGATCAAGAGCATATACATACGTAGGTGCCCCTCTTCTTTTACAGGTTTAATATAACACATATAAATAACTTAAACAATGAACAAATCAATAAATAGCATTTAATATACGTGTGTGACCAGCCGGCACACTCGTAGTCGAGCGCTAAGCACCCACAACCCAAACGGGAATCCACTGAAGCGTCCTTGCGCTCCTCCTGCTTCCCCATCACTTATCTGTCGAAGCTGGGCATCTGGACGCGGGGCGGCGTGTAGCCTTCCGGATATGGCACCAATTGGTTGTTCAGCACTCGCGCATTGCGCCACGTCTTCACCTTGTCCTCGGCTGTGTCTGGCACACGGACACCCTCGATGAGCGTCACGGCGGGTCCGTCAACTACGCTGTGGGTACTCTGGCCGATGGGATTGCGGTGGGGACTCGCATTGTAGACTGCCGCTGACACTGGCCTGCGATTGGGCGTGGCTGTAGGCGTGGCCACGCCTGCACTTGCTGTGACGACTACGGAATGCGGCATGTAGCTCACAAATTTGGACTTCTGCGGCAAGGCGTTGTAGTTGTGCTTCGTAATGATATTCTGGGGGCGGTAACTCTGCGGCGACCCACTACTGGCATAGGAGCGCGTGTCCCTGTCCCTGGAAAAGTATTGTGCTGGCTCAGAGGCAGCATACTGCATGTCCTGCGGGAAGCTCACGACCGACCCCTGCGCCTGACGCTGCACTCGGGGCAGGGCCTCCGCCGCGTCGGCAAATAAATACTGCTGCCACTGACGGTCCGCCGCAAACGAAAAGTTTCTGCGAGGACTCTGCTGCGCCTGGACATATACTGGCTGCCAACTTGAATCTGTCCCCAGCTGGCGGCCTCGGCGGGAGTCGCCCTGCACTGCGTGCTGTTCCAGAATCTTGCTCTGTGCCTTGGCTAACTGCAGCTGAATGAGCTTCGCTTGGCGCTGCTCCGCCTCAGTCCTGCGCTGGCGATAGGTCTCCATCTGCTGGGCCAGCTCGCTCTGCTTGATCAGGGCGGGACTATGCTCGAAGGTAAGCTGGCGTCCACTGGCATTGCTCTTCGGCTGTATTACTGGCCGCTTGACGTCCGAGCTGCGCACGAAGAAGGAGCCGGACGCCTCTTCGGCACGAGCCTTGCGACTGTTTTTTCCGACCAGGATCTCCACATCATCGCCCTTACTCGACTTGACGCTGACGACTCGCACTTTGGATGGGTCCAGGTTCCGACCGAAGCGCAACTCCGTCCGGATCAGGGCGGGCTTTCCGGTCACGCTTGTGGTTCCAGCGGCATTTTCGTTGCTGACGTGGGCGTAGGCCATGGAAAGGCACACAGTTAAACAGCCCATCAGAGCCACAGCACTCCATGCTGAAGAGCTTGTCCCCATCATTTTCAGGTCAGTGCTCTGTTATATAGAAATAAATTTTGGAAAATTAGTATTATATAATTGAGTGTGTTTTTTGCCAACTTATTATATCCGGTAGCCGCAAATCAAAAAAGTCTCTTGTATCTTATTAAACGAATAGCTCATATCGATCATATATGTTATGATATATTTTTACATAAGCATATAACAGCTGCGTGGGTCTCGTCAAGTGCATTTACCGACTACATATATATTCTAGATCGAATATGATCGAATAACAAACCCGAGGGCTTTTCCATATTGTTTATACTACTCCTCTGATATGAAATCAACAAGTAATTGAAAAATATCTTAAGTTTATTATTCTGTTTTTCCCCTTTATTTATTTGTATAGTTTCTATTATTTATACCATTGTTAAGTGGAACACCAATTGTATTATATTTGAAATTTCAATTCCTACAGTTCTCACTGGCTTATAGTAAGGCTTACAAGGGCTAAACACTCAAAGACACTCATAATGTTACAATAATGCAATCGAATCTAAGTTTATGACAGTACCCTATTGTACAGACAGTAACTTGTTGGGTAGCTTGTTGGGTCGGTTCCCACCGATCCCTCCGTCCCCGGTACTTGTAAATGTGTTTCCCCGAGCTAATGAGCCGTTCGGCATGCGTGCTCCACTCTGTGGCGAAGTGATCTCCTCCAACACCTGCTCGGATTCCGCTCCCCATTGCCGGCAGTTCAAGTACTCGTAATTTAATTATCGACAAGCGGCGCGATTGCGGCTGCGGCCACAACGGTGGATGCTCGACTGCATCGCTGGCTACGGAGCTACGGAGCTTGTTGCACTCGCGTGTTTGTATTGGGTGCGTTGGGCTCAGAAAGCGAAACATCAATTAAAAACTGCAACTTTCGATTGCAGCTGCGGCATGAGGAAATTATTAAAAGTCGTCAAGTCGCCGGCATCGGGGCTCGGCCAACGACATTTTCGACGTTGACAAGCCCTTGCCCTTCCCTACTACGACGAGAATCGCGAACATAACAAATACTTCGTTGGGCAGGCCTTATAATTAGTTTAAAGATACCTCATGCAAGTATATATACGAGCATAACACTACTACCATAGAGTGAGCATTTAGATAATAGTAAACTTTGATCTTCCTAAATGGGATAAAAGACTATTTCCCATAAATATACCAGATAGATTTGTAACTTTAGACTGCGTATTTGAACACCCTCTGCAAAAGTACACGAACTGGGACTCAACCCCTAAATTGACCGTCGAGTGGCTCGATCTAAACGATCGGGGTGTTTGTGCGACCACTGTGCAACGTTTATCTGCTGATTATCCAATTTTGTGATTGGTGCAGGCCATCAATACGAGTATTACGCATTAAGCCACTAATGAGGGAAAATTTGCCGACAAAATGCGAAGAAGAAACAATTAAGTAAATTGTAAATTGCAATTTCAATATAAACGCGCGCAACAAAGTTCACGGCACGACAACGACTCTGATTGGGATTGGAATTGGGATTGGCGGAGGCTGAAGCTCTGGGTGGCTAAGTATGGGGCTGTGCGCCGGCCCAAAACGCTCCGCACGGAGCGACTTTCACTTTCAACTCGATGCGGCCGACTGCGCCGAATCGCGGCTGCTCCCCAGTGAACCCGCTCCGGCAGCGGGGACCCGAAGTCTAGTCTTTGCTTTTGCTTTTTGCTTTTCCATTCGCTTTTGTTGTTGTTACGTTACGAAGTCGGACTGTAACAGCAACAAAATAAAAAAAAAATAAAAAAACTAGTTTTGCTTTTTGCACTGATGCAGCAGCAGCGTAGCAGCAACAACATGAGTCAATGTTTGCCATTGAGCGCTTGGTCTCTTTTCCGCTCCTCTTTCTTGGGGCCTTTCGCGTTGGTCAGCGTTTTTAGGCCGCTGGCCGGCAACTGCACTGACGTAGGCATCGTCATCGCAGTCGGCATCGCTGCGCACGCTTCAATGTCACGACTGTTTTGTTCGCTTTTTCGGCAGCTCTTGCTCATCGGCTCCCTCGGTCTCTCGGCTCATCGGCAGTTACGTCACTCGGTGGGTTGGTGGGAGGCGATTAATGGGACGATGGCAGTTGACCATTTTGAGATCGAGTGTTGAAATGCAGGCTGCAATTATAATCCGATCTTCCGTGATTTGATTCGTTATCCAAAGAGTTCGCCCCACGCGTGCTTCGGTCACCTTTCTTTCCCGCCATGCCTATTGCATACAAACAGCGGAGTGACAGGCGCCGCACACCTAATAAGAGGGCGAATTTCTCGTCCGATGTGGCAACATTCACTCGAAATCTCTTTGTAAATAGCGACTTTTCCCTCCGCACTTCCGCAGCCATTTTGTGGCAGCGAGGGTAGAATCTGTGGCCCCAGAAGGGCAACTCTCACTTATCTGGCGGCAGCAGGCGGATCCCTTCCATTAACTTCTTCGGCCTCTTGTAAGATTGTCAATCAACTTCAACAACGCGTCGCAGCGTCGAGGAGTGGGATCTGACAACAAAGGCTGTATTGAAATTACTGTTACGCCCTCAAATTGCTCTCTACCTCCACCCCCCGCTCCAGAGCAGTGCATTGAATGCATTCAAATCAGGGGTATTGAAGTGGGTCTCGGTAGGTGCTGTCATTGGTAGTCGGGCCGATTCCGATTCCGATTCCGAAACCGTGGCCGAGCAGCAATTGAACGGTCGCTGGCTCCGACGCTTATTGTTATCAACGATTGCTGTAATTTCTGCTGCTGCTGTCTCTGCTGCTGCTGCTACTGCTGTCATGTGCGAAATGCAAATGTGGCGAAGCTAATGCGGTTTGGTGCTGCTGCTGCTGCTGTCGACACTGTATTAATTTCACTTTTACTTTTCGTGATTAACATTTCCCACCCAAAAGTGAGAAACTTTACATGATTTTTTCCTGCTGTTTGCCTCTCCCCACCCTCCTTCTCCCCATTCACATGCACATTCGTACTTTCCGAGCCCCCTCCCCCCGCCACCCCGCCGGTGGCCGTTGCTGCAATGAAATGTGAAATTTCATAGATCGTAAAGTTTAGAGATGCTGTGCTCTTGCTCTTGGCCTCTGCCTATCCGGATTATGGTTTTTGCCAGCATCTTTTTGTTTCTTGTTTTTGTTTTTAATTACATATGCGGTTACTCAGCACAGCACTGTGACTTATGATGATGCCCTCTGCTGCTTAGGATAGGTCCGAGCTCTCCCCCCGGTGCCATGTGCCGGGTGTCGCAATTGAAAGTGAAACTCTTCTTACTTTCGGTACGCAGTGCGAAGTGCGAAGTGCGGCATCTATCTGTCTGCGGCAGATTTGTAGGTTTGACGTCACTCGACGTCACCCAGCACAAAGCCGTGCCGCCGCTCTTGTTTTCTCTTCATCTTCATGTTCATCTTAGTCTAGGCCCACGCACGGTCCAAAGAGTGGATGGATGGAGAATGGAGAGCACTCGACGGCACTCGCTCGGCACGGCACCCAAAGTTTCGAAGAGAGTTCCATCAAAATTCAAAGGGGGAATTGAGGTAGGTCGGCTTGCATCCGAAATAGCGAGGCAACAACTACTGTTGGCGTCTACTTGCTTATCTATTCAAAAATAAAGCCGCTAGAACTCATTCATAAATGGATTCCTACAGCAAACCTAGCAAAGACTAGGGTCCGCAGATAGGCGCCCGAGTGATCCGCAGATTCCCATCAGAAAATGTTACGCATACGACGCTTTGGCCGGTAAACTTACATTTGTGTCTTGTCGCTTCGGATCGGGGATATTCCAATATACTAGTGTTCACCTCTAAGCGTGGGCTCCTAGACGCCACTGCTGCTACTCGTTTCCTGGGATACGACGACGACGGCTCTGCTGAAGTGTGCGACAGATCACGGCGCGAACCGAAATACAACTGACGGCACATGAAAAACTTTTGCTTGCAAGTAAAAAAGCAGCGAGCTGGAAAACGACAGAAAAGTAAAAATTATTATGTATACACATGTATGTTTGGAGGCCGACAGCGACGCTGGCGAGGCAGCAGCCGCAGTAACAGCTAAGGCTGAACCACTGATGCCAACGCCACCACCACCAACAGACTTGCCAGCACTCACACTCACAATCAGCTGGAGCTGGCCAAGAGACTGGGCCGAGACGAGGCGAGACGAAGACAGGCTATCTCTCTAGCCAAAGCAAAATTGCTGTCGAGCCCAGAAACAGAGGCGGAGAGAGAAGGCGGAGAGGCGGAGAAACATTGGCTGAGACTGCAAACAAAGCCGGAGCATGCCAAAATAAAAGCCGCAGTCGAAGTGAGCGACCAATTGCGCAATTGCCACAAACCCAACAACGACATGGCCCACAGCAGAGCTCCAGATCCAGCTCCAGCTCCAATGCTCCAAAGTTGATGGTGAGGTTGGTGCGTGTATTTCTCTGGCTTCGCTTTTTGGCAATTCGAAAAGAGGATGAACACATCCTGTCACTCAATCACGACATGTTCCCGGCAGTGAGCTGCGATCTACAATTGCTTGTAATCTGCACTTGCTCCGATCTCATGGTCCATCCGCCGCCTAAGAACATCTGTATTCCCAACCGGCCATTTGTGTCTTCTTAGCTGATTATCATCATCATTGTATCCATCATGATTATATCCAATTAGAATATGCAACAAAACAATCCCTATTTAGAAGCTTGCTTGTACTCCTGGGCCATTCGCCGAGATCTTACAGCAGCAACAGAAACAATTTCTTGTAAAAAGAATCGAGACAAAGTAAACACGAATTAATATTCAAAGGTAATATTATTGTAGAAAGAAATTAAAAATTTCCGTGGAACCAAATACAATATCATATGGCTGCTAGGGAAACGCCCCAGAACTAATATTAATTTGCTTTGGTTTCTTACGTTGGGTGATTTTTGAAAGGAAACAAATACATTATAAATAAAGTTAAAGATATCATCAAACTAGCATTGCACAAAATATGGGGGGCAATTTTCACAGTCCAATTTGTCCATGGTCAATTTTTTAGGGTAATATGAAGACGAGACATATGTATTAATATTTCCGAATTAATCTTTACGCAATTTTTATTAGACTGATCTGCAATGAATTATAAATACGCCTCTTAGTTAAACATAAACTAACATGAAAAAGAACATGTTTTCATGGTCTATTCGGTATGTCGTAAGGAGTCAAAACCCTCCCTACGGATTTGCCATAACAATTTAGGGGGTCGAAAGTCTGCGTCTGCGTCTACGCCTGGGCCAGCCCTAGGTCGCCTCCATTCGGAGCATAGTCAGGCAGAAGATGCCTCAGATGAGTGCGCCGATGCCGGCCAGTAAAATAATTGCCATGTGCGCGCTCGTTAACGAAAGTGCCCAGAAATAGGTGTGTTGGACATACTCGTATACTGTATATTTTACACTCCCGTGCAGAGAAGAATGCTGGGTGCACGTGTGTGTGCCATGCCTGAGATACAAATCTGAGGCAGTCGCATCATCGCTCACACAAAACCGAAGTAAGGCTCGAGTTTTATTGGCAATTTTCGCAATTTTCATAGCACTCTGTTCGTCAGCGCTGGTTGTGTTGGGGCTCGGAATAAAAAGCTTTTTAATTAACAGAAATTTCACTTTTTCACTTAACGTGTAATACTCGTAGAATGAGGCATGGATCATGATGAAAAATGGTAGACAGCAAGAGAAAGACCACATTAGATGGGATGGAAATCCAAGCGGCTGCCAGAGGCCAACTTGTCATTAGGGAGATTAGAGCGCTTGGAGCCCTGCTCTGATGATTGTGCGGCCATTTGTTTGTCCAGCTCCACTTCCACGACCTGGCCCTGGTCCTGCTGGTGCGAGTCGCGCACAAAGTACACTCCATTGACTCCGAAGCGGATGCAGTTGAAGCGATACTCGAAGAACTGGCTGACCAGCACCTTGAACACCACCGAGATGCAGACCTGCACATTGCCCTCGCCGTAGGCCCGTATGTCGTAGAGCCGTAGGCAGCTGAACAGCGGCAGCGGCAGCAGCAGCGGGATGCAGTAGTCCGGAGGATTGCGGGCCGAGAAGCCAAAGTTGGCCACAGACCGCTGGTTCACTTCGATGCTCAGGCGGAGGCCCAGCTCTTCCCGGCTGTACTCGATGGCCGTACACACGCGCTGGTTGAAGGACTCCCCGAACCCGAAGACCAGGCCCAGGCAGCACCGGCAGGTGAACTCCGCGCAGGAGCAGGGCTGCCAGAGCTGCGGCAGCTCCACAAGGTTTCCGCTTACCTGCCCCGCCTGGCGCTTGTCGCCCCGCAGGAAGGACATGTATCGCAGCGGCTCCAGCTGCTGACCATTGAAGGGGTTGTAGAGCAAGAAGCGTTGCCGGTGCTCCACTGGGACCGGTAGCTCCGTAGGGGCCGGCAACAGCCTCGGTACGGACATCGGCATCGGGTAGTAGAACTGAGCCTTAGTCCCGTGCACGGCCAGAGCTACCACGGCTGCCAGAAGGTAAACCATTCCAAGGAAATCTCGCAGGTGTAAATTCATGTCGTCCGGCTGTTTCTAGGCTGTGCTCCACTTAACGGCGGGTTTGTCCAGTGGGAATGTTTTTGTGATGGGTTTTTCTGGGCGCGTGCTCCACGGCACAATTGTCCAAACAGAATGACTCTTTTGTTTGCCCCCAGTAGAGCACTATTCCAGTGTTCTGGCTGTTTTCGCCCGCCCGTTAAATGGCTCGGAAAATATTTATTGAGTTGCATTAGCTAGCTTCTCTACAACACTGCGACATGGCCCAAATCGAAAATAGCCGGAAAATGTGTCAATGCCAGATCACGTCGATCGATAGTGTTGTCTCGCAGGCCCATTAATGAACTCTGAGCACTTTTTCCCGCTGATAAGCCAGGGCACAATTTGCATTTTAACGATCTTAAGGCGTTACGTGGAGCGCACAAGATTGTAACAGAAAATTGCACACTTGACACTCTAAAGTGTGTCAAAATTACAGCACAGCTCAATTTGCGCAAACCTGCGGCAACATCAGCCGTCAGCCGTCAACCATCAGCCATCAGCCATCTGCCTTAAGCTGCAGTTACATCCAGAGCCACTGCCAGAGGCAGAGCCAGAGACACAGCAGCAGTTATCATTGGGCCAAACGTAACGTAACGAACTCGGCTCAAACAAAGAAAGACAATTTGTTTGCGTTATTGCAAGTTCGGCAGGCGGGGGGCAGGCAAACGCCCTGAAAAGGTTTACAAGTCATATTCCGCCTTTCCACATGCCGCCATCCATCAAAGGTGTTGGTCCATGGTCCCATGGCAAACGGCAAACGGCAATCAAAGAGGGCAATGGAAGGTAAAGTGTGAGTTGGTTTTCCCAATGATTTGTGGATTTCTGTTTAAGATTTCATATAGGAAACTTCGTATTTTATTGCAGCTGGTGTTGGTGTGGCATACGTTCGAAGGTGAAAGACACATGTGGTTGGAAAAATGTTAAATATACAGGCATAATCGTAATATTTTCCGACTAACGCAATAATGCGGGCAATCGAGGCTTCCATCATGGTCGAAACATGCGGCAACGACTCTTTAGGAGAACCGATTAGAGAATATTTTCTGTCACCATGAAGGTTCATTTTCATTGACACTCGGATTACATATTTTTAATGATTTGATTTCAATTTTCAAAAATTATTTAACTATTTGTTTTTTTTTGTCAAAATAATGCTTGTGTAGATAGACACTTTGTTATTAGATCCACTAGAGACTATATACATACATACCTTCCTTCCGCATTATAGATCGAATCATTCATTGCATGAACCGTTTAGGGTCTTATTCTCGGATTATACTTCCTACTAGGCTTGATTGGTACATATATAAGGGAATATTTCATGCACTTTTTATTATATTAGGGAGTATTATAAAACGGGATAAAGTATGATAGTACCAGTTTGTTCCGGCAATGCTAATATTGTATTGTCTGCTTACAAATTTAACAAACAGCCAACATTACAGGAGGAAATCAAAAGATTTCATAATGGTACATATAATCAATTTCATCAATCTATTAAATTAAATTTTTAAAGGTAAATCCATACAGAAATGTATACACTTCCATACACAGAACTTTGTTTTTATAAAAACACTCAAATAAATGTAAATATGTATTACATTTTGGCGATGGTTCGAGATATATTTTGTATATATATATATCTAATCAAATAAGCTTGGAAAGCAGAATTTTAATTGAATGAAATAGGGTATAAAGATGTCCATACTCGTAGCGGATACCTGTTGAGCAGCGTTTTAGTGCTTTGACTTGATTTTTGAAGCCTCATTTAAGAAAAAAAAAAATGCAATAAAAAGGTAAGTAATGAAGTAATTAAAATTAGCATATCTTGTAGGAAATTGATTTATCAATCGGATAAAATTATGTGTTCAGGTATGGAAGTCCTAGCTATTAATATCAAATCGAATATCAAAATCGAGGAATACGATTTCCTTGCTTTGCAGTAGCGCAGTTCAGGTGAAAGATATTCGGGGTTTTTAAATTCTCAGGAAAGATAGCATCCATGCTATCTACAAGAAGAATTTACAGCCTTTAATATTTTCCACCATTTACCTCAAGTAGTTGAACTATTTAAATAAAGGGGGCTTAAGTGGGCTATGTTCGTTTTTGTTATCAGTATATATTTCGGTATATTTCTGAGGGTCAGACCGTATATTTTAACGATAAGTCCGCGGTCACACTGGTAATAATGTTTAACTTCTGTTAATTTTTTGTTGACCTTCTTTGTTTAAACCTTGCTGTAGTCAAAATACAATAAATGGGAGTAATTAAAAATAACCAATCTTGTAGAAAATGTATTCATCAATGGCCTAAAATTATATGGGAAGAGCTAAAGGTTTTAGTTAGTCAGCATTATTCAACGGAATATCAAAATTGAGCAATAGTAACGATTTTTCTCTTACGTCCCATTAGGTTTTTTTATTTGACCTTCTTCGCCAAAGCCTTTTTTAGACTAAATTCAACAAAAACAAGAGTTTAAAATAAGCCAGTCAAGTAAAAAATTGATTCATTAATCGGTTAAAATTATGTGGGCATGGCTAAATGTTCAATATACCTAGTAATATTCCACGGAATATCAAAAACAAGGAATATGCATAATATAAGTTGAGTTCGTCAGTATATTTAGGGTTTATTTTTAAAATGATACTGTATATTTCGGTATAATTCTGATGGTCCGACGGTATATTTCAACGATAAATGCTCGGTTACACTGATCCCAAGTAACATTTTAAGAAAAATTTATTAAATATTTCGTGGCGTCATGTCTATGTCCAAGACCACAAACACCTACAACCGACAGAACTGGGAAGACGCCGAATTCTGTTAATGGACATCGGACTGAACAAATTCAAAACAAATCGCTCGCGTTAAAACGTTTCACACAGTCCGCACCATCGTCCATCGTTAGCCACCTGCACAATGGGCGAGTTCTTCAAGTCGCTGAACTTCAGCTACTTTAACACCAGCGACGGCAACACAGCTGCCAACGGGGCTGCAGGAGGAGCTGCAGCAGCCACAAACAGTGGCAGAGTGGACAACGAATACGTCGGCCAGCTCGTCGAAATTGGGGGCCACAAGCTGCGCATCAAGTGCGTCATAGCCGAAGGTAAGAGGAGTGGGAACAGTCACCCTGGCCCCTGGCTGATCAGATGCAGCAAGGAGAGCCCACAAAAAATCAATAGGAAGTGAAGCCAACGCTCCGAGTGGTGGCTTGAAGGCAACAGATGAGCGCGATGCAACGCAAGGGGCGTTCTCTTTGTTTACGCTTTCTGCTTTTGGCTTTTCCTCGAAAAAGTCGCCTTGTCGGGTCGTAAATGCGGTGGCAATGCGTGTCTTTTTTTTAGGCGTTGCGCTGGCACCTGGCGCTGGCGTCGCGACGCAGCTTTTTCACATTTACTCGTTCCGTACTCATTCGCGTACCTTCAACGTTCCCTGACCTATGAATCACTCAAGCACAGACATGCGATCACAAGCCAAAGTTGTCTGCGCGGCTCTCTTCTTATATAAGAGCATTTCTCACCAGCATTCAGAGCGGCAGAACGTTTAGTAGATATAGCACTTGGAAAAGGAAGTAAGTAAGTAGTATGTAGGCTTGATCCCTCCCCTTTTGGCTAGACACACGACGCGGGGTCAGTGTCCATCGCAGAGCGTGTTCACTGTAAATGAAATTAAAATGCCTTATTATCAGAGCTGTGTTATCAACTTCCTCACCCGCTCGTCTCTCCTCTCACCACTTTCAGGCGGCTACGCGTTCGTGTATGTCGCACAAGATGTGCAAACTGGCACCGAATACGCCCTCAAGCGCTTGATTGGGGCCGACCAGCAGGCCTGCACTGCCATCGCCAGCGAAATTGACGTCCACAAGCAGCTCTCGGGCAATGCGAACATTGTGGCCTTCGTCGGATCCAGCTACGTAGCCCCGGCACCACAGCAGCCCCAGCAAGGCGTTCAGTATCTGCTGCTGACGGAACTCTGCAAGGGTAAGGGAAGGGATTGATATTTCTCGGATTGCTGTCTTATATTTCCCGTTGGATTTGCTTGCAGGCGGCTCTCTGGTGGACTGTTTCAAGGTGGACAATGGGGCCATTGACCCGCCAGTCGTGCTGCGAATTTTCTATCAAATGGCACGGGCCGTTGCATACATGCACGCACAGGAGCCGCCCATTGCCCACCGGGACATAAAGGTAAGCAACCCAATCCGCGCTGATATCTCCACCCCTTTATCTTTTTGGCTTGCAGATCGAAAACTTCCTGATCGGTAACGACAAGCAGATCAAGCTGTGCGACTTTGGCTCTGCAACCAGAGAAATACTCTCCCCCACATTCGAATGGAGTGCTCACCAGCGTAACATGCTGGAGGACCAGCTGAACACTGTGACGACGCCAATGTACCGCGCACCCGAAATGCTGGACACCTGGTCGAACAATCCGATAGGCACCAAGGCAGATGTCTGGGCCCTGGGATGTATTCTCTACTTCCTGTGCTATCGAAGACACCCGTACGAGGATGGGGGCAAACTGCGCATCATTAATGCCAACTACATACTGCCGCCCGAGCCACGATATCAGTGCTTCCGTGATATCATCAAGGGCTGCTTCAAAGTCAATCCCGTTGAGCGTCTGGACATCTCCATGGTACTCGAGCGTCTGGCGGCCATAGCGGAGACAAACAACTGGTCCCTGAAAGGGCCCCTAGACCTGCGGGGGATCCCAATCACGTCATCGCCGTCCGAAAGTCCGGCACGAAGTACACCCACACAATCAGAATTTTATTCCGTTGCACCGCCTGCCGCTGCAGCGCAAGTTGCGCCCGTCGCAGCCGCGACTGCTTCAATCAATGGACAAGGAAGTTTGCTGTCATCGCTTCGCGGAGGAGCTGGAACGCTGTTCAAGAACCTAAAAGACACCTCCACTAAGGTCATGCAGACAATGCAGCAGTCCATAGCACGTAATGATCTCGATATCAGCCACATTACATCGAGGATTCTGGTCATGCCCTGCCCATCGGATGGCTTCGAGTCGGCGTACAAGACGAACAACATCGAAGACGTCCGCCTATCCCTTGAGAGTCGCTTCGCCCCTCAGAAGATTAGTATTTACAACTTTGGACAGCGCACTGTTCCGAGACTCCCACCCCCTGTGCGAACGGTGGAAGCAGGCTCCGTATATGGTTGCCCCCAGGCACATGCTCCCAACCTGCAGGTGTGTAAAACAATTAGCTTTTTAAATCATTGCTACATTTGCGACGAGTACATGCTCTTGCCTCTCTATTCCGTCATTCCTGTAGGGTCTGTTTACTGTGTCCGCGGACATTTACAACTTCCTCAACGCAGATCCAAAGTCGGTTGTGGTCGTGCAAACTGGCGACTCGGGAGGATGCACAGCTGCCACCGTGATCTGTGCACTGCTCATGTATGCGGACCTTCTTCACGAGCCAGAGGACGCTGTGCAGGTGTTTGCGGTCAAGCGACACACCATCAATCTGCGTCCTTCGGAATTTCGTTTTCTGTATTACTTTGGCGACATCCTACGCCCGACTCCACTTCTGCCTCACTACAAGAACACCAATCTGGTGGCGCTCACCTGCCAGCCCGTTCCACGAATGACCAAGGCACGGGACGGCTGCCGAATCTACATGGAGATCTACTGCAACGAGAAGATGATGCTCAGCACACTGCAGGACTACGACAAGATGCGGTAAGGCAGCGAGAGAGCCAGTCACATTGACGAAGTGACGAAGCTTACATTTTGTATCTTCTGCAGTCTGCACCTGGCCGGCCCTGGAAAAATTGTGCTGCCCATTAATCTGACCGTATGCGGCGAAGTGACAATAGTATTATACCACGCTCGGAATGCACTAAAGGGGATGGTGCGGCCCCAGGGCCTGAAGATCTGTCAGTTTCAAATCCACACGGGCTTCATTCCCGAGCCGGAGACCTTGATAACGTTCAGGAGTCACGACCTTGACGACTTGCCAGATCCCGAGCAGGTGACGCCGAACTTTTGCGTCTCGCTATCGCTGGCTGTGACAGAGTCGGAGAGCCCGCCCAGCCACAAGCCCCCATGGATACCAGCCAAGCCAAAACGATCGGCGCACACCTTGTTCAGTTCAGACCTGGAATACGCCGAGATGCTGGACAATTTCGGTAAGCTTGATCGATCGGTCTGGACTGACCGTCCTGGAATACCATCTACAACATGGCTTCATTTTAGTGACAAAGCCAACCACGCGTCCGTTGCCGCCACCGGCGAGGAAACCAGAGCGGTCCAGCTCTCCGCTTGTATTGCCCGACGTCACCGAAATAGCTCATGATACTCCCGCTGCTGTGCCGGAGCCCTCGCCGCCAATCGATTTGCTTAATCTAAACCAGCAGCCGAGTGACGCACCAGCAGCAGATCCCCTAGCAAGCGCCATGCCCAGCACTGATGCCAGCTTTGACCTGCTGGGGGCCTTCGGCGATGATGACTCTACTGGCATTGGGTCGGCTTCAGTACCAGACATCCTTCCTCCACCGCCGCAGGCCCAAATGCCAAAAATCAACGCTGACCTGTTCGACATCTTCGGCGCAGCAGACCAAAACAGTACTCCTAGCCTAAAGCCCTCGACTAGTGCAGGACTTCCACCCTTTGTGGGATCTGTTCCGACTTTTACAAGCCAACCAGCTCCTGCCAGAAAGAATCCGTCGCCCACACAGTCCCAAAAGCCTTCAGACCCCTTTGCGGACATTGCTAACCTAGCTTCAGGTCTCAACATAAACTTCAATCCGCGTACACTAAGTGGACAATCGCCGGTGGGCAGCAGTCCCCAGCCGACGCAGTTCTCGAGCCCCACGCACAAGCCTTTGGCCCAATCCCAGCAGCAAGCCCAGCCCCAGACCCAGCCGCAACCGCAACCAGCATTTGTGAAGACGCCGCCACAGCCACAGCCCACATTTGTAAAGACTCCACCACAGCAGACCACACCTGCTCAAGGACGTGCGGACTATAGTCGCGCACACTTCGATTCACCAAAAGGACCGCAGCAGGCGACAGGTGGAGGGGTTAAGGGCTCTGATATTTTTGCAGACATCCTGGGTCAGCAGGGATACTCGTTTGGCAGCAAAATGAGTCACGGTCCACGGTCAATCAATGAAATGCGCAAAGAAGAGCTCGTCAAGGACATGGACCCCAAGAAAGTTCTCATAATGGAATGGGTAAGGTCAAATGCAATGCATACCAATGGTCATAGTCACTATGTAAATACTTAAAATGCTTACAGACTGATGGTAAAAAGAACAACATTCGAGCTCTTCTCAGCTCTATGCATTCGGTGCTGTGGGAGAACGCCAAATGGCAGCGGTGTGAAATGTCTACCATGGTGACACCTGCCGAGGTGAAGAAGGCCTATCGTCGTGCTTGTTTGGCCGTGCATCCTGACAAGGTGAGTGCTGAAATTTGCCAAAAAGAATTATAAATGTACTCTGCAACATGCGAATCTTTCAGCATAATGGCACAGAGAACGAGGAGATTGCCAAGCTCATTTTTATGGAACTGAACAATGCGTGGACAGATTTTGAAAACGATGCCACGCAGCAGAATATGTTCAATGCGTAAAACGCGTCCCAAATCTATAGATATGCCGATCTTTTTAGCTTAGTTCTAATTATGCTACCAATAGCTGAAAATAGTGTAAAGCCATTTTAGAGTGTAAGCCTAAGTATGTAAAGTGAGAGTACGAGTATTTGCCTATGCCGTCAAAGGTGTAGGCATTTTAGCTAGCCCAAACGAGACCCCTATGAAATGTTTAACTATTTATGGACAATTTACTTAATTTGTACACCTATCAAGCCATGCCATGCCTATACATTCCCCAAACACCCCAAGCTCCATGCTGATTCTAGGTAAATTGAAGCCAAGCCCTAATTTGAATTCTCTCCTAGAACGTATGTACATACACGTATGTACCTATATATTCCCCTGAAAATATTCTCGCTTCAAAAATCGAACACTAAGGTGATTACTGACTGTCCCTGTAGCCCCTTTAGCCAATATGTGATTACAATACATGCGCCTAAATCCTATATCCTATCCGATTGTATTCTGAGATGTTAAGAAGTTACATATGTACATATAAAATTTTCTGAAATGTACAAGCTGTATTTGAAAAAGTTAGTGTTGACATGGATTCATGGCAATCCTCCAAGTGTACATATATATATATACATATATATATATATAGATTATGTTATTTAGAAGCGAATTTTCGTTTCAGCATTTACGATTTGTCCTCAAGATAATAAATTCTCTATATTCGTTTCCTTGTGAAATGCAACTGTTACATTCCGATTTCCCTAATTTGACTCGGGTTTTTTGACCCGTTTACCGGCCACGAAGACCTCTACTATATTGCGATCGTTGCCAGTGTAAATGAATTTCTCCACAAGCTCATTGACATTAAGCGGACGCACTGGTTCCTCCACGACGCTGACATCCACCAGCAGGGCATCAAATTCCTTTCCCAGCATAAAGTTACCCGTCAGGTGGTCAAGAGAGAGGGCCTTGGCGCCACCAAGTGTGGCCAGGTAGAATGCCTGCTTGTACTTCAGTTGAACATACTTCGGGTCGGGATTTTTGGCTTCGCCCGTGCCGCGAATGTTTTGCTTCTTGAAAAACTCCAAGTGCTTAGACACATCCAAGGCGCGAAGCAAGGCATCCTGGATGGAAACAGAGTTCCCACCCGACACGTCTGTTCCCAGTCCGACAGTTACGCCGGCGCTGATTAGGCGCTGGACGTCGCACAGCCCGGAGTTTAACATCGTATTCGATGCGGGGCAATGAGCAATTGATGTGGCGCGTTGCTTCAGGAGTGCAATTTCCTCGTCCTCGAGGTGTACACCGTGCGCCATCACCGTCTGTGGGATATAAAGATGAATTAGTAGACGACAGTAATCCAAGCTACAGTCTCGCCGTCAACTTACCTTTTTGGTTAGTAGGCCAGCCTCGTCGTAGGCCCCGGCATAACTAGTTTTGAAAATCCCTTTCACGACTTCCACCTCTGCAAGGTTTTCACTGATATGACTCTGAACATGGACGTCCAGACGCTTGGCAATGTCGCCCAACTCCTTCAACAGCTCCTTGCTGCAGCTGAGTGCAAATCGCGGCGTTATCGTGGGAAGCACAAGGGGGCTTTTGAGGCCCTGCAACTCCGAAACGAATGTTTCCGTCGCCTTTGCCGACTCCTCCGTCGTCTCCCTGTGAATGAGGTGTTTGAGATGGCCAAATCGATACCTGTGACGGCTACACGCTGTACTCACACATAGTAGTCGGGGCTGTTGCAATTGGAGCATACTTTACCGATCAGTGCCCGCTGGCCTTGGCGAACAGCCTCCCGTGCCAGTATCAGTGTGGATTCAAGGTTGTTGGTGGCGAAATAGGAGGCTAGGGTGGTTCCACAGCGTATCGTTGCTTCCTATATGGGGTATCGTATCACATTATCAGCACTGCAAGCGCTACAATCAAGTGTTTGTCGGATGGATGGGCAATCAACGATCAGCGGGAACCCGCGATCGTCAGTATACGATGGGAGTGTGCGACCGAACTGATAAGCAACAAAAACTATGGTTGCGGCAATTTTAATTGATGCTTACGACAACGCTCTTGTAGACTTTAAGGGCGTAGCTCTGGTCGGAAAACTTCGCCTCCAGAGGGAAGGTGTACGTGTTGAGCCAGTCCAGCAGTGGCATGTCCAGTCCCAGGCCATACTGCGCGTATTGCGGAGCGTGTATGTGGCAGTCTACAAATCCTGGCATCAAAAACTGGTTCTCCGACAGACGCACCTCGGCCAGCTCCGCGGGGCTAAACTTGTTGCTGGACAGCCAAGAGTCATAGTCGTTGCCCACTCCGATAATCTGAGGAACACCAAACACTTCTTAGCTCGAACTTTTTATATCATATATCCCATATAACCATACCTTTCCATCTTCAGCCACGGCCAAGAATCCATTTTCAAAAGACTCAAACTCATCAAAAGACTTGGTATGCACAATCGTTCCACGGTAAATTCTCATGACGGCAGTTTATTATCAACGTGTTCAAGAAAGCGCGAGGAAAACCTGGCAGGCAAGTATTTAAATTGGACCACAGTGCACGCGTTTCTGGGCGAACGCCGAGATCTTTACAATGTATTGCAAATCTAGATAAATCGTGACATAAATAACGTTTTTCTTTGTTTGAAGAGCCTTATTAAATCAAAAATCAGCCATTATTTTATGCTTTTACCCTTGGATAGATTCGCCTGGTTTATTTTGTTATATTATTTTGTTCTTGATTTATTGTACCTATATATAAATCTACCTTGCGCTTCTCAACTGCCTACCAGGGCTGCTGATATTTTTAAAATTTAAATAATAATAAATATGCAATATGGTATGTATTACTTTTATTATCAAGTGGCTGAAGCTACACCAAAAGCGAAACCAGTTACGTGCGGATCCCGGACAGAAACAAAAGTAGTCATTACAGGAATGTCATCGACCAATTCATTAGAAGAATGGGGAGAATTATCTCCCAAGAGGACACAAGTTGAAGTAAGGAGCCAACAGGGGATCGAAGGATCGTAGCCAGTGCAGTTTAATTTGCTCCTTCTGGCTATAATAATGATCCGATCTGATTCGGATTATAAAGTCTGGGTGTGGGAATTCGGTTTGGTTTTCTCGTATCTTTAAAATTGAGGATGTCGCAGATTTTCGTCTTTTGTGGGACGGAAGAAGTCGTGGAAAAATTTTAAAACAAGCTTGCTTGTTATGGGCGCCATACATACGTTATGGGCGCATCCGGACTTGGGAACGCTGCAGGCACATGCCTCTGTAAACGTCTTTAAACGTTCCAATTTAAAAAAAATGTTTTGCTAATTTGGATTCCGACATAAAGAGACGAAAGAATTCCGCTGCATGTGCATATACGGTATCAAATGATCTTTACAGTGGGGGCATTGGAAATGACAACAAAACGCATTTCCTTTGGGTCGCACCACTGGCAATAATTTACAATATTTAAGCTGCTTGACCCGACAGGAGGTTTTCCTTGACTTTATTAAAAGTATTCCAGTTTTTATACAAAATTGCAGTCGTCATTAATAAATATTATTTCTTCAGGGCACCCATGCGGGTGGCATCCTGACTGGGATAGGGCACTTGACCAGGTGGCGGAGGAATCGAGATCGAGTCGAGATTCACACCAGAGGTAGATGTGGCCGTTGCGCTTGTGCCGCTGTTTGTGTTGCTGTAGGGCGCCGCATAGGTTGGTTGTCCGTACATCTGGTACGCGGAGGCCGGCACCAAGTTTGAGGGTAACTGATGGAGCTTCATGCCAGCGGGCATGACATTTATCTGCTCCTGTCGCAGATTAAAGTAGTCATTTGGCTTGGCGCTGGGTGGCGGAATGCCTGCCACCTCAAAGCGTCTGTCCGTCTTGGCCGCAGTTCCTTGCTTGGCCTGGGAGTGGGCCCACTTGATGCTTACCTTTCGGCCATGGATCACCAGCTTGTTGAAGGAGCGCTCAGCTGCCAGCTCGGCGGCGCTTCGTTTGGTGTACTGCACGAAGGCGCATTGCTGTCGCGGCACCAGTGCAATCGACCGAATCTCGCCGTACTGGTAAAACTGGTCGCGCAGTTCCGGCTCCGTGATTTCCTCGGGAAGATTGCCTACATACAGGGTAGTTATGTTGCGGTCCTCTGGAGGCTCGAGCGTTGGCAGCGAGGCTGCTCGCTTCATGATCTTTTCGGCCACTGGATCGTTGCGTCCATAGTAGCGATCTTTAATGTTTTGTTCGCAGAGTGGGTCGTCGGGCTCGTTCGGCTTGTCGTGACGGTATGGACACTCCTCGCCACGCTTGCACTCACCCTTTACCCAGAAAGAGCAGATGTGAGGTCTGTTCCGCTTATAGTAGGGTGCAGTCCGTGCCAATTTGGACAGCATCTCATTGGCCGCCAGAGAGCGGCCGACGGCGCCAGCCGCCTCAGTGCCATCGCCATCCTGAAGCTGAGCATCGATGTTCTGTATGTAGTACTCCTTGTTAACGTCACTTTGGGGCATGGTGTCAGCCACCTTGAGGGCAGCGTCGCGCACTTGAATTGGCAGTCCGTACTCCAGGTCCAGCAGGCATGTCTGACAAACATTTTTTAGGCGCGCACACGTCTGGCAAATCTCCGTTTTCTTGAAGCGCATTCGGGCTCCTGGACACCAGCGGAATATGGTAAACGGACGCGTGCAAATCTTGCATTCCTTGCCAAATCGCTCTTTTATCATGCGCACGTACGGATTGTCCCCCAGGCAGGTTTGGCACAGAATCGGAAATTCGGCGTCTTCCCAGTTCTGTCGGTTGTAGGTGTTTGTGGTCTTGGACATAGACATGACGCCACGAAATATTTAATAAATTTTTCTTAAAAAGTTACTTGGTACCAGTGTGACCGAGGATTTATCGTTAAAATATACCGTCCGACCATCAGAATTATACCAAAATATACAGTATGATTTTAAAAATAAACCCTAAATATACTGACGAATGCAATACAACAAAGCTTAGCCCGCTTAAGCCACCTCTATTTAAATAGTTCAACTACTTGAAGTAAACGACGGAAAATATTAACGATTGTAAACTCTTCTTGATTATTCATACCACCTTTCCTCTGAACATAAACAAAAACATTATATTTTGATAACATATTTCGAAATACGTATTTTTTTGTTTGTTTTATTTCAACTGTAATTATTTTCAAAGAGGGAGCAGATCACTTTTGATTTGATTCGAAGGTATTAATTAAGCTCTTTTTGCCGGATTTACCACTTTTCTAAGTTGAGTTCAAGCACAGTTAGCAAAGGATAATGTCACACGGCCATTATACCATTTTACCATGAATATCACGAGCCGTGACATCGATATTATAATATCGACTATCACTGGCAAGCAACTATCGTATTGCAGCTGTGCATCCTCGTTTGTTTACATATTCATATCAATAAATAATTTCGTTAACAAAATGGCAAATGTAAAGAGGTACAGGAGAACTTCAAAGTCATCCGATGACGGAGCGGAGGAGAACGATGACTATGTACCGTATGTGCCTGTCAAAGAGCGGAAAAAGCAGCACATGATGAAGCTCGGTCGCGTCGTCCAACTGGCATCCGAAACGGCACAGACCAAGTCGTCCAGCGAGAATGAGAACGACGACGACTCACAAGGCGCCCACGACGCCGAGACCTATGGACGGAAATACAACATCAGCCTCCTGGACCAGCATACGGAACTGAAAAAGATAGCAGAGGCAAAAAAACTAAGCGCTGTGGAGAAACAGCTGCGCGAGGAGGCAAAGATCATGGAGAGCATTGCCCAGCAGAAGGCCCTGATGGGAGTAGCGGAACTGGCGAAGGGCATACAGTACGAGGATCCTATAAAGACATCTTGGCGTCCGCCGCGCTACATAGAAGCCATGTCTGAGGAGGAGCGACAAGCAATCCAAAAGCACCTGAGGATCCTCGTAGAGGGCGAGAATCCCAGCCCCCCCATACGGAGTTTCCGCGAGATGAAGTTTCCGAAGGGCATACTTGATGGCCTTGCCGCTAAGGGCATTAAGACACCCACTCCGATCCAAGTCCAAGGCTTGCCCACCGTCCTCGCTGGGCGGGATCTCATAGGAATTGCTTTCACTGGCTCCGGCAAGACACTGGTATTTGTGCTGCCCATCCTCATGTTTGCGCTTGAGCAGGAGTATAGTCTGCCCTTTGAACGCAATGAAGGCCCATACGGACTGATCATATGCCCGTCGCGGGAGCTGGCCAAGCAGACGCACGAGATCATTCAACACTACAGTAAACACCTTCAAGCGTGTGGCATGCCTGAGGTGCGATCCTGTCTGGCCATGGGAGGGCTGCCAGTTAGCGAGGCTCTGGATGTGATATCCCGAGGCGTCCACATTGTGGTGGCGACGCCCGGACGACTTATGGATATGCTGGATAAAAAGATCCTCACGCTGGACATGTGCCGATATCTGTGCATGGACGAGGCTGACCGGATGATTGACATGGGCTTCGAGGAGGATGTCCGCACAATTTTCTCCTTCTTCAAGGGCCAGCGCCAGACCCTCTTGTTCTCGGCTACTATGCCGAAAAAGATTCAGAATTTTGCCCGGTCTGCGCTTGTGAAGCCGGTAACCATAAATGTTGGGCGAGCGGGAGCCGCTTCTATGAACGTCACCCAACAGGTGGAATATGTAAAGCAGGAGGCAAAAGTTGTCTACTTGCTCGACTGCCTACAGAAGACTGCGCCACCCGTGCTGATATTTGCCGAGAAGAAGCAGGACGTGGACTGCATACACGAGTATTTGCTGCTGAAGGGAGTCGAGGCGGTGGCCATACACGGCGGAAAGGACCAGGAAGAGCGCTCTCGAGCTGTCGACGCCTACCGCGTGGGAAAGAAAGACGTGCTTGTGGCCACAGACGTCGCCTCGAAGGGTCTGGATTTTCCCAATGTGCAACATGTCATTAACTACGACATGCCAGATGATATTGAAAACTACGTGCATCGCATTGGTCGAACGGGTCGTTCGAACACCAAGGGATTGGCTACCACTCTTATCAACAAGATTACCGAGCAATCTGTACTTCTAGATCTGAAACACCTTCTTCTTGAGGGCAAGCAGGAGGTGCCCGATTTTCTCGACGAATTAGCGCCAGAGGCCGAGCACCAACATCTGGACCTGGGCGATTCACATGGTTGCAGCTACTGTGGCGGTCTTGGGCATCGCATCACCGAGTGCCCCAAGCTGGAGGCCGTTCAGAACAAGCAGGCCTCCAACATCGGTCGAAGGGACTACCTATCGAACACTGCTGCCGATTACTAGACATTATTCTTAGACTACTTTGACGAATGGATTGAAATAAAGCTGGGAATTCCTATGCTTACGTTTAGGTGAAGCACTGCCCGACTTTTGACTTTATTTCAAAGAATTCTCAAATTTTGTTTTCAATCTCTGTCTGTTTACAGCTTAAGTGCGGGTAATTTTCACTTGTACTTATCAGTCGCTGCTCACCTTATCAACGATCTACGGCGGCACAACAGTGGCAGCGAGCAAGGCAAGCTAGCGGCTGAGACAATCGGCGCGATTGCGACTCGGCTTTGAGTGCGGACGGGCCCGGCCCAGCCCAGACTTTATAAAAGCGAAGACGAGCTTTGCCTTTCGTTCAGTGTCTCGATCGGCCGTTTGTCGCTCGCACCTCGCACGTCGCTCCAAGTTCGGTGATAATTCTGTGCTCAGTCGCACATTAAGTCTTGGTTGGGGCAGTTCGTATTGACCTAAGTAAGTGTTTACTTGTTTGCTTTGATTTTCTGAGCGTTCGATAGCAACTTTTCGGTAGTATCAAAGGATAACTACAAACGGACTAGCAGTTAATATACATAGCATATACTAGTCCCAAGAGACTCTTGACAGGGCTGCTTAATTGAGCTCAATTGATGGCTGATTACATAAATGCAGTTTATAGAATAAAACAATTGCTTGCTGCCTTAGAAAATGTGTTGACCTCATCTAATTAAATTGGATGCTGATTTTGCTTATCAACGTTTTTTGTTTTGAAAAATATAACATGATCCCCAGCTCAGACCTTTCGGTAGTATAGTATGTATGCACATATGTACATAATTATAGTACACAATACCTACGAGTGTGTTTATATATTGTAAAAATGTTCGCAACGGAAGCGGTCATAGTACTGTTTACTCGTACATCAAGTGTGCTTCAAAATGCGTATTTATTCGAGGTTCTGTGCGGCTCTTTAGCTTCATTGTCGTACCATACAATTGTGTTGAAAGATTAGCATCCCCAGAAGAGCGCTGTTGTTATTGATGGTCCTAATGGGACATACCTTTTGTGCCACCCATTCAACTCTTTATTAATTGTGATTGATAGGTTGGTTTGTTGACGAGACGCTTTTTGTCATATGTACATACATAACTACAATGCTTGTGGATACGTAGAAACGACTTTTTCGGGTACCTGTGCTCATATGTATTTAGGCATTCATGATTGATACCCGAACCACGTTCACTATATTTGATATTCACTCTGTAAGGACAGACATCAAGCGAAACAAATGCGAACTTGAAAACGGCGCAGAAAGTGCCCCAAAAGTCTGATACTTCCAATTAAATATGGACATTTTTCACCTTTTTTTTGTTATTGTGACCCACTTGCAGAGAAAGGGCTTGTTGGGCTTGGTGTTTGGTATCAACGATGATATCACGCTACCTGCCCCAGACGTGTCGTGTCGTCATGGCGCAAAACTAATTACTTGAAAGCAATTTGCAAAACATGCGTGCAGCCTTTTAATTCACAGCTTCGGCAGACGGCCTTTAGATCCGATCAGACATCACAGCATATGTACCTATATACTACATATCTATATGTAAATAGTGGTGGACAAAAGTCGGCGTACTCGATTGACGCCCAACCATTATTAGGAAATAACGAAAACCATTCAAAAACAACTCTTAAGCCACTCTTCATCTCAAGTGGAACTCCTTTGTTGGTCGTAGACTAATCCCTGATACTGTGCAAAATGTGGGAGCTAATTAATGCGTGTGCAAAAATGATATCATAGTACAAGTTGGCAGCTTCTAGGAATTGTTCCCTGACAAGATGCCTTGAATTATGGGAAAATAATGATTTAATTTGAATAGCGAAAATATATGACTTAGTTGGTATGAACAAACGTGTTTTGGGGGAGTTAACATATTAATTAGCTCCTAACTATTCTCCAAATATACATTTCTGCTTATCGGGGCGATCTCTTAAACACTCTTAACAGCTGACGCTAACTCGTTGCTACTCTTACAATTACAGTTTACTTCACACGCTCTTGCCTGGGATCAGCATCAGCGCGGACAATCATCTCTGTTTGAGGTGGTGGAAGCAAACGCGACGAGAAAAACAAAGCATACATATGTACATCCATATACACTCATAACAAAGGCGAATACCCAGACCAGCCACATCGGGGAATACGCGATATACGCGCAACTTGTTATATTTATCGCAACAATAAACAAAGCGGCGCTGCTGTCGCTTCGGCACGAGACAGAGGCGATACCGAAATGGAAACTTCGGGCGCCGCCAGCATGGCAGTCATCTCCAGGTAATGCAAGCGAACAGTTCTCTTGGCTAATAAGCTCCAATAGAACTCTCGACGGAAAATATAAGACAGTTTAATTAGTGCAATAAGTTGTACAGCGGGTTACTCATACGACGCGCGTCAGAGCACTCATCTGGCCTAACCCGTAAGTAGAGGAGTGTACTCTCCATAAGTACTGTCTTACGAGCATATTGCCTATATATGGCAGTTGCGAGCGAGTTTATCATATGGAACGCGTCTGATGAAAAACTTTCGCCGCCATGCGACATTTATGGCCATTTATGGGCATGACTCACCCGTAGGCTGTCGGATGACGATGACTGTTGTATGGTCCTTGAGCGGGGGACCACAACCCGACCAGACGGACTCTGATTCCCTTGACTTTGTACAAACTGATCTGCTTGCTTTCCAGCCTGCTGGTGTTCTTCGCAATCTCCACCACTCTTTGCTCAGCGGGTACGTTCAACGCCCGTCCCGCCTTCCCCGTTCAAACCGGACAAATCCAGCCCTCTGCTGAGAACAGCAAGCAGCCCGGCAGACGCATAATGAATCCAGCCTTTGCCAACGCCGGCCGCACACCTGGCCTGGAGATCTGGCGCATTGAGGTAAGTCAATATATCGTGTATTTGATTTCGCTCTGGCTGGGGCCAGTGCCGGTGCCGGCTGCTCCGAGAAGCGTATAAATAGCTGGAGCTTGTTTCATCTTTTTGGGGGAAAGTTCGCAGCGCAGCGCAGCACCCACGCACGACTGGCTGCGTTGCTCTTGCAGCGGAGTCCGTAGGCTGGTGGGGCTGCCTGTGGCATTCACAAACCGGCGGGTAAAGGCATGCATGGTCCGCTCCCCCTTCTTACCTTCTTCGTTGCCGAACGCACGAAATGTGTGTGCCACATGTTTATAAGTGCTAGATATATCCATCTACACATACATATGTTTGTGTCTAGCTAATGTTCTGTTCATTAACTCAATTTATTAGGTCCGGAATGGCTAGCGCTTTTTGTTTATAATGGGAAACGGTCAAAACATTTATCCCATAAGCAAAATGTTGTCTATATGTAGAACAATTCACTTATACCCATTTCTCCTATCATTATTTATTATTTATTTGACTTTCTTCAGAATTTCGAGCCGGTGGCCTACCCAAAGAATAACTTTGGGAAATTCTACACCGGAGATTCCTTCATTGTGCTGAATGTAAGTATGATATGGTGGGAGAGAACTCTGTGTGTCTCTATGTGTATGAATCACAAGTTTCCCATGAACCATGCACAGCATTTCTTTTGAATCAGTGAATAATGTACATTTGTACATATGTATTCTAGACCATTGAAAGCAAGAAAGATAAGAAACTTTCCTGGGATGTGCACTTCTGGTTAGGCTCCGAAACATCGACCGATGAGGCTGGGGCTGCTGCCATCCTTACCGTCCAACTGGATGACCTTTTGAATGGCGGCCCTGTACAGCATCGCGAGGTGCAGGATCACGAATCGCAGCTGTTCCTGGGATACTTTAAGAATGGTTCGATAAGCTGCCAAAGCCGTTTCACGCAGTCAAATAACAAACCACAATTTCAGGCGTTCGATACGAGCAGGGCGGTGTTGGAACCGGCTTCAAGCACGTAGAGACCAACGCCCAGGGGCAGAAGCGTCTGTTCCAGGTCAAGGGCAAGCGGAACGTGCGTGTGCGACAGGTGAATCTGTCCGTGTCCTCGATGAATCAGGGCGACTGTTTCATCTTGGATGCTGGTAGCGATATCTACGTCTACGTGGGATCGCAGGCCAAGCGCGTTGAGAAGCTGAAGGCCATCAGTGCTGCGAATCAAATCAGAGATCAGGACCACAATGGACGTGCCCGTGTGCAAATAATAGATGACTTCAGCACCGATACAGACAAGCAGCAGTTCTTTGATGTGCTCGGATCTGGCTCGGCCGACCAGGTTCCCGAGGAATCTACCGCAGAGGAGGACAGTGCATTTGAGCGAGCTGACGCTGCCGCCGTGACCCTCTACAAGGTGAGCGATGCCAGCGGCAAATTACAAGTGGATACCGTTGCGCAGAAACCTTTGACTCAGGCCATGCTGGACACACGTGACTGCTTCATTTTGGACACTGGCTCTGGCATTTTCGTGTGGGTTGGCAGAGGCGCCACTCCAAAGGAGAAAACCGACGCCATGGCCAAGGCCCAAGAGTTCCTCCGCACCAAAAAGTATCCTGCCTGGACACAGATCCAGCGCATTGTCGAGGGCGCCGAGTCCGCACCATTCAAACAGTACTTTGCCACCTGGCGCGATGCCGGCATGGCGCACACACGCCTCATTCGATCCGCTCTGGATATCGGCTCAGACGAGTCGCTGGATGTGGACGAGATCGACGCTGTGGTGCACAAACTGAAGAGGAGTGGTGGACGGGCCATTGGTTTTATGCCGGACCACGGACAGAACAGCATTGAGAGCATCACGCAGTACGTCAGCAAACCAAATTCGGGTGAGGTCCTGGTCAACACTGTCCCCTTCGAGGAGAACCTTCCGCTTCTGGGCTTTGGGTCTTATATCCTCACCTATAACTACGAGGCCAACAATGGCGACCAGGGCCCCATCGTTTACGTGTGGCAGGGAGCCAAGGCCAACGCCGCTGTTAAGGAGAGAGCCTTCCAGGACGGCCTCAGTATGGCTGTGGAGAAGAACGCCCTGCTGGTGCTGACCTCACAAAGCCACGAGCCGCGGCACTTCTATAAAATCTTCAAGGGTAAGCTTTTGGCCTCGTACACCGCCTTGCCAGTGACGGCGCAGCTGTTCCGCATCCGAGGCACCGTCGAGAGCGATATCCATGCTAGCGAAGTGCCCGCCGATAGCTCTTCATTGGCCTCTGGGGACGCTTTCGCTCTCGTATCCGCAAAATCGCATAAGATCTTTATTTGGAATGGGCTGGGTGCGTCTAGCTTCGAAAAAAATGCGGCCAATGAACGCTTTGCCCACTACTGGAACGATGCTGACGTGGAGGTGGTCGAAGAGGGTGCAGAGCCCGAGGAATTCTGGGAGGAGCTGAATGGCGAGGGCCAGTACGATCGCAGCCTGGACGACCATGGAGCTCCCCTGCTGGAGCCGCGTCTCTTCCACTGTCGTCTGACCCGCAATGGATTTGTAAAGGTCGAGGAAGTGGCTAAGTACGAACAGGAGGACCTGGACACCGACGATGTCATGTTGCTGGATGCCGGCGATGAAATCTATCTGTGGGTCGGCTCTGGAGCCACCGCCGAGGAGAACAGCAAGATTGTAGACATGGCAAAGGTGTGTTCTAAGCGCACATAGTTGCAACCTTCCTTTTTAATTAATTCTTCCATGCCCATAGCGCTACATCCGTGTGGAGCCCACTGCCCGCACCATCGACACCTTGACCATTGTGCGCGTCGCCCAGGGCCAGGAGCCACGCGCCTTCAAGCGTATGTTCCCGAGCTGGGAGGACAACTACTGGCAGGTTAGTGAGCCGCAGGTTGAGGCTAACTAGTCTCCGCATAAATCCATAATCGTAACAATTTGTAATTGCTTTCATCACTTCGGTGTGCTTTGTGTGCTTGTGCATTGTGCATTGCTTAACCTTAAACACGTCACTAAACATACTAAAAACTTTCGCCAATGTCATCCGTGAGTAGAAGACTAATGCATTAGTCGCATGCTAGCGTTCGTTGAGGTAGACTACATTTTCTGTATAACTAATCGCAATTTATTCTTCGCCCATCTACAGACATTGCCTTCCTACGAGGACGTCAAGCAGCAAGTGCTTGATGCTAACAATGAGGTCTAGGAAACTCGAATGGAATCTCAGCAAAATTTACCAAATACCTTTTTGTTTTTACCCTTTGAAAACGTGTATCGTATGTAACTCTATAAAAAATTGAAAAAATGTACGAAAGTAGCTGGATATATTGCAGCCGATAGATTCCAGCTAATAAGCAAAGAATACTTTATTTAATTGGTTTCCTAATCAGATGCCTATTCGTTGGAGTCATTCCACGTTGTGCCCTCGATCCAATCCAAGAAGGAAGATATCCGCGTGTACACCGACGGGTAACTGCTGCGACAGAACACTCCGTACGACGTTATACCAATGAGATGATAATGAATATTTTGGCGACGACGCCGACCTGGCAGATTCAGCTGCAAGGGACCACCTGAGTCCCCCTGGCAGGTGTCGCGGTTAAGGATGTAATCCTGTGCGCAAATTTGACTGTCCACCACACCATTCGGTGTCTCGGAAATCGGCGGCAGTTCGGCGTTGCACTCAGCATTGGGCACAACGGTCAAGTTCAAATTTGTCAGGCGGTTCGTCATGGGCTTTGCAAAGCTTGTCGAGCCATATCCCATGGCAAACGCAATGGAAGTGGGCAGTTCGGAAAATACCCACAGACGTATGGGTCTCACGTATACGGTCAACCTGTAAGATGTTGCAGATGTGGGTCTCAGTCGGTACTTGTTTGTTGTATGTATAATTACTTACTCCACCTCTCCCTGCAGTTTTAGCAGAGCAATGTCGTTGTAGTACAACTCCTTTGAGTAGTTAGGATGTGAGAAAATTTCCTCTATCTGCATTAGCTGGGGCTCCACTGTTCGCTCATCGGCGACCAGATTCAAGTCCCCGATGCGCACCCACTTCGGGGACGTGCTAAACGAGGTTCGTAAATATAAAGCCAAAGGTTTCGTAAACGGAAACTACGCTCACTCGTATATGGAAGTACAATGGGCGGCGGTCAGCACAAAGTTCTCGCTTATCAAGCTGCCACCACACTTGTACTGGATTTGCCCAGTGTCCGCCTCGAAGCCTACTGCCGCCTGGGAAAACAGATTCGATGGTTCGGGTTTCAGGTTAAGCACCAGTTTATCAGCTCGAGCTCAATCTTTACCATATGGGGGTATTCACCAGGCCTCGCCAGTATGCGTCCATCGAAATCGGCGTCGTTGGCGTCTTCTGCTACAGCGGTATCGTTCGGAAAGATGCGTTCCACATACTCGGAGTATTCTTTGGGGACAAAGCCAATGATTCGTGGAACAACTTGTCTCTGAGGCACTTACTCTGCTCACAGATGCGTCGTCGCCTGTTCTTCTTCTCTTTGAAGCCACCTGGAGGCGGTGGAAAGGGCTGGCCAGGCCTAGGCGGGGGCATGTGATGCCTGCGCTTGGGCTGGGGCAGATTCTCGAACTCTTCAAAATGGAAGTCGCTTATGTGATACCACATCTTATCCTCCAGCTCATTTGACCCCTTTGAGCCAGGGAACAGTATATCTCGCTCAAGGGGAAAATAAATCGCATCTCTGTTCGGAGGTGGGCCTTGGGGCCGTGGCACTCGGTGTGGCGGGGGCGGCGGTGGACCTGGTGGTGGCCGCTGGGCATGACAGCAGAGAACGAACACCGATATCAGGGACAGCGTGGCCGAAAGAAACATTCTCGAAAACCTGCGAGCGCGGCGAATGTCAGAGGCAGACTAACTCGCATCACTCGGTCAGAACAATCCCAAGAAACAATAATCGCCCTACCTTATCAGCGTTGGAGGAGTCTTGGAATCATTAACGAAATCAAATTTATTTTCGGAGAGCATTAAATGTTGATTCTTAAGTTGGAGGGATTAACAATGTGTGCAACACGGGGAGCGTGGACCTGGGTTGTACCCCCGACTTGCTCGTACTGAGCAATGATGGCCCGCTGAATGGCCTCCAGCTCCTGATCATTGCTGTAGCGCAGCACACTCACGGTGGGATCATTTCCGGCGGGCTTAGGCGATGGCACAGGTGCAGGGGTAGCATATGCCATGGCCAGGAGGGTAACGAGCAGGAGCAGCTGAATAAAACATGTAAGGCGTTAGTCGGGAATAAGATTCCCTTTCTAGAACAGTCGGAACTCACGTAAATCGTCTTCATGTTGGCGACTATCTTGAAGTAGACTAAAAAGCGCGCCCTAACCGGCATTTGCTTTTATAGGCAAAGACTCAGACGGCAAAACATATCATTGTGATAATTTGCAGCAATTTGAACTTGAACAACTTTAGCCAAACACGTTTTCAATTTGATTTGCTTAAAATATTAATTTACCCCTCCTAGAGCTCTGATTTTCCGAAATCGCAGAAAACGACCCGTTTTTATCCAAAACTCGGTGTAGTGCTGCCGGTAGACGTTAGATCTGCTGGCGATCACTTCATTTATGCATAAATTCGCCTGGTTTTATTAAACTGGATTCGAAACTGGGTGAGAGCTTCAATCTTTATGGCAGTGTCAAAACAAAAGCGAAAATCGAATATGAAATTTTGTTGTTATAATAAAGAACGCGATCTTTCATGGATAATGATCATTAAAGAAAGTGTCACACTATACCTCTTTAGATCTCTGAATAGTACTGTTATTATAAAGGGTTTGGATTTGAAATACAATTTATGGAAGGAATCATCCTCCGTTTGCGTGTCTCTTTGGTTTATTATATTCTATACCTAATACCTTCCTAACACCTTTGCTTTAACTAAATGTATTAGAGATACCGAAACACACCGAGCACTACTCAGATTAAAAATGAGAGACGATCAACTCTTCCCGTGTCGGAAAAGCAGATACTTGTAGACAGCCTTCACACTCGTATCTGCACAGACAATGGAAAAAATCAAAATATTTCATACCCACAAATACTATTTCCTCATTTTGCATCCATGCAACCCCCAGTGCCTCAGAGAACCGTGGCAGTATACAGTCAATCTATGAACATGTATACAGATATACAAAATTATATATTTTTTACATGATTTCTACACAAATTTGGTCGACAAAAGTATGCTACATTTGAAAAAAAAAAATTGATCTCTCCCTGCCCTATAGAATAGGTTGGTGTTGTATTCTGGGCACACCTATGGTATGTATGTATGTGTGTACGTACATAGATGAATGTGTCCCAAAATGAAATTATAGATACAAATATACATTTCCGTTCTTTTAAAAAAGACAGTTGCCTGATTGAACTTTATACTTTGCCGGTATTTTATATCCATAATGAATATACATATGAATATATCCGTAATGAACCGACCCGATCTCTTAGTCTATAAGATTAGGTTTTACTATATCTCAGCCGCCTCCGCAAACGGACTTCTTACTCTATTACAATAACATTTTTGTATAGCCTTTCAGAGGCATTAAGACTTTGACCAGAGTCCCCATATTCTTGATATCCCATAAATCCATCTGGCCGTCTGTCTCAGTTTTAATTTTAAGAGCGTGATGCTAAATTCTTTTTCAAACACGTACATTATTTTTTAAACTTTGGACATCTGGGTTACATTTATTTGTCCCAATTGTTTACATTTCAATACGACTAGGAGTATATGTATGTGTCGTAAGGAGCTATAGGTTACATTTGATATAAATACCCCATAGACATAGGCATAATCGTATAAGAGTATGGATATATGTATGTATGCATATATCATGTCATTAGTGTTTCGATGCAATATGCAATCTACGATTGCATAAGCCTGCATTTCAGGTCAAGTCGGTCCCCATTTGAAATGCACTCTTCGCGTTGACTGGAGTGGGAAAGCGCTGCCTAAATATCATAGAAGACACCGCCGATTCCCTAATTTGAATAGATTTCCACATTCTGCACCCTCAAAATTTGTATAGTATTTGATCCAATTAAAAATCGACGGTCATATTAACTGGAACATGGAAAATGAAACGAAATTCGGCCGAAGAAATTTCCAAACCACCTGCCCCATTTGAAACCAGAGACACATTTGCTGCAGTATAAATACGGCCCGCGATGCAATTTCAAGACAAAGGTAGCTAGACAGCCACGCAGCACACACTTCCAATCTTCAAGCCTTCTGGTGCGCAGCCCTCAAACACTCGATCAAAATGCGCGCTTTTCTGGTAAGTTCTTAGCACTGTCTACTGCTCAGGTCCACGGACTGATAGTCTAATGTACAACCTGATTCCGCTAGATGTTTTGCTTGGTGGCCATCGTCCGCGGCCAGTACGACTACACGCCCGGATCGCATGCCGGAGATGGCAACGGAGGACTTATTGGAGTGTCCAGCAGTGGTGCTGCCCAGCTCTCCGAGCCCATACTCATTTCCAACGAGTTCAACAAGGAGTTCTTCTCCTACAGCGCCCCAGAGCAGGAGTACGATAATCCGAACGCCAACGAGCAGATTGCCAATTCGCTAAAGAAGAACCTCCGGGTACTCTTCATCAAGGGGCCCGAGAATACGGGTCTCGAGCAGGCAGCACTCCAGTTAGCCACCTCGGCCTCCGACGACCGCACCGCCATCTACGTGCTCAACAAGCAGGCTGACATTGGGGATCTGACCAACAAGCTCAACCAAATCAAAGTGCAGACAAACCACAAGCCAGAGGTGCACTTTGTCAAGTATCGCACTCAGAGCGACGCGGAGAATGCTCAGCGGACTATTCAGGCTCAGTACGACTCGCTGCCTGGCCCCTCTAGCAACCACAATGCTGGCTCCTCAGCCCCGGTCCTGGACTTTGCCTCCAAGGGTGTTGTCGGCGGAATCGTGGGAGGTTCTGTGGTCCCGGGCAATATAAATGCACCATCGACTAGCGCGTATTTGCCACCACCGAACCGAAGGTTTTAGACATAAGAAAGTTTCCTCTAGATGTAGATTATTAATAAAATAAATGTAGATATGTACAAAGAGATTAATTAGCTAAACTATGGATTTTTTACATTTACATATATGCAAAAATATGTAAAAAATCTCTTCGAATTTTTACGGCCTAGAGAATGAACACACTATAGAGGAAATCCTGGTAAGCTGCCCAGCAGTCAGCACAATATTCCTTCCTCATATTTATCACTATCTGCAATATCTCACAGATGCGACTAGGCTAGCCCTAATTATACCCGATACTCAAAATGAGTATTGGGGTATATTAGATTTGTGGTGAAAATGGATGTGTGTAACGTCCAGAAGGAATCGTTTACGACCCCTTAAAGTATATATATTCTTGATCAGCATCAATAGCCGAGTCGATTGAGCCCTGTCTGTCCGTCCGTCCGTTCGTCTGTCCGTCCCTATCAGCGCCTCGTGCTCAAAGACTATAAGAGCTAGAGTAACGAGATTTTATATCCAGACTTCTGTGATATGTCACTGTTACAAGAATATTTCAAAACTTTGCCCCACCCCTTTCCGGCCCCACAATGAACGAAAATCTGTTGCATCTACAATATTGCAGATTCGAGAAAATTCGTGTCGCTTAATATTAACGGCGTCTGCCGGAGGAGAGTCATACTGACTAAGTATAGGGTATAAATGTAGAGTTGCGGTGTCCGCAGCAACTCACAACGTTTCCCCTCGTTTTTAAGTGCGTAGCTTTATTAATGCTACTTAATATAAAAGAATCTACCTTTTTAAAAACTATTTTAAGAACTTTTTATTAAAACTAAAATCAATTACTTACTTACTAAAAATACAATTACTTGTACAGTACAGATAACATCCTCACCACAAAAGGCTGATGATGTGACGGAATGAAATCTTTTCCATTGTGCAAAGTTTTATTGAAATTAAAGCAAACAAAATGTAGATGTATCCCAAAAACGGCTTTCTTCGGTCACAAACAAAAGTTTGGTTGTTTCTGCGTTCGGCTTTGTCTCTCCTTTGGGTTGCAAATGTGATGATGATTTTGTACACTAAATAAATTAAGTAGAAGCTAATTTATGCGGACTGCTCCGCTCCCCACCTCTCAGCGTATAATCAATGGGGATCATCTCCCACGACTTCGGCGCACCTGCGTTCGTGTGTGCGTGATAGGGTCTGTCTAGAGGTATGCATAAAAAATGACTTTCTTTCGGTTTTCCTCGTTCCGAGTCTTTGGCTATTAATATTTTGCATTTATTTAGATTCAGCGATGACAATGGGAAATATTAGACGATTATTCAAATTTGAATACGATGTTGGTGTCCGAGCTGGAAGCTGGAGGCTGGACACTGAAGGCTGGAACTGGGCCCGTGTTAGATAACAGCCCGCATCGCCTATGCGATGCATCTTCGAATATGGATCCGTGATTTGCCAACAGCTAACGAGGCGGGTTACATATTCGCTGCCGCTTCGCCTGGGCGACAATAGATTCGATAATTTTATAGCAGTGCCTAAATATTTGTTTCTTTTCGGGGAAACGAAATGGCATTTCTAATGCGTTGACTCTTTCAAGTTGGAGTCTTATAAAAACATTGCTGTCGGGCGGCCAGGGCATCAGTCGACCTTTGCAGTTCAGACAGTTCGAAGTAAAAATGAAACAGTTTGCAGTTCTATTGGTAAGTTATTGCCTCTAAAAGGTTGCCTTCGCCCCTGCTCATGCTCGTTCCTCTTCATTTCTTTTCAGTGTCTAGCGGCTCTCGCTTCAGCCGCCCCCCAAGGCTACAAGTACCAGCCACAAGGGCCTGCGCTTCCTATCGGCAATCTGCGTCCTCAGACGCCCGTGTCCCCCAGTGGAATATACTCATCTGCTGCCGGCCCTGCCCTGGGGCAAATTACCGTGCAGCCCCAGCAGCCAGCTATCCAAACCGTGCAGACTAGTGCACCCATTCCTGTATCCCAGCCCCAAGTTCAGCAGACAGTGATCAACTCTCTGCCACAGCAGACCGTGTTCAATCCCGTGCCCCAGCAGAACCTGATCCATGCCGTGCAGCAGCCACAGCCACAGCAGCAGCAGCAGATAATCTACCAGCAGCCCCAACAGCTGCCACAAGTCCAGATCCAGCATCAGCCCCAACAGATCGTGCAGACCCAGTACGTTCAGCGTCCGGCTATCGTCACCAAGGACATTTACATTCACTCCGCTCCCGATGAGACCGAGGAGATCCGCCAGGACGAGCCACAGCTCGACAGCCTGCCCATTCGCAAGAACTACCGAATTGTGTTCATCAAGGCGCCGTCGCAGAATCTGAAATACACAGCCGCCGCTCTGAAGCGCGCTCAGTCGAGCAATGAGGAGAAAACCGTCATCTACGTGCTGTCCAAGAAGCCAGATCTCACAGAGATCCAGCAGCAGCTGCAGGTCACTCAGACAGAGTCTAAGGTACACAAGCCCGAGGTCTACTTCATCAAGTACAAGACCCAGGAGGAGGCTCAGCGCGCCCAGCAGGAGATTCAGGCCCAGTACGATGCTTTGGGTGGCGCCACCCATATCTCGGACGAAGGCGTTGCCCCCATCACCACCGTTTCCGGTGGCTCGCTCAACCTGGGACACATTTTGTCCCAGGGACAGGCGCCAAGCATCATCCAGCAGCAGCAGCAGCCGCAGATCCAGACCATCTTGCAGCAGCAGCCCATCCATCAGCAGAATACCTTTGCGCAGCAGACCTCCTCCTTTGCATCCAGCGTGCCGCAAAGGAAGTATGTGCCGGCAAAGAGCTTCAAGTAAGCTGAGTAGCCGCTGACAGCGAATTGGCTGCCGCATATCGTCCATTATTCTCAACAGTCGCCGTCGCCCCATTCTAGCTTATTCTAAATTATTGTCAACGCGATTATCGAGGCAAAATACAGAAATATTTAAAATCAGAAAACCACGCAGTGAGTTGTTACAATCCAAGGTAGTGTCATTGAGACTGAGCTGGTTATGTAATGTTCGATTTTCTTTCTCCTCTACGCAAAATACTCTGAGCCGTGTACGCTCATTTAGTAGCTGCATTGATAATCAAGATTTCATTTCGCTTAATCGTCATTATGTAAGACAAATCATATGCTAATTAATGCGACCGGTTTCTCTGGCTGTTCGCTGCTCTTGGCCGTCGTCCATTGATCATTGGACTAATGGATGTGATAATGTGAAGCCATAGAAGACCGTTTTGATCGCATCTTTTGACAAATTCGTTGGGTGTCTATGGACCATAAATAGTCATATGGGTGCATGGGACAGTCTCCAAAAGCAATAGTTGCGAAATATACCTTCGAATGTTGTCGAAAGATTGACGTATTCATGTATGTATGTATGTGTATTGATCTTAAAATGTACAACATTTGGATACTTATAAGTATGACAGTCATCTTAAACTACGTGTTTTGTATTCCTATGTACGCAGATGGGCAGGCAAATATCTGGTGGGCACAACGCCCGTCAGCCCGCCGACAGGGGCCCCACTGGTACGCTGACTGTCCAGAACTCCAATCACCGATGTGACAGGCGCTACTCCTTCGTCTGACACCTGCGAAGTTCCACCTAGCTGGTCGTATTGAGCTGGAAGATACGTTAAGCAAAGAACCACCAGTGAGAAAAGTATCTATAGTCAGTGAGAGTTTAGCTCTGAACTCCGTTGGAGATGGTGCTATGATGACAAATGCTTCGGCCACTGCCGCCAGCAGGCCTTGGGCTCAAACATGCCAAAGACCATCGAAGAGCAATAAAAGCTCGATGCATATTAATGAGGCTCGCTAGAGTGTCTGGTGCGGTGTTGGTGTGGGTGAGGGAGTTGGTGTTGCCTACCTTGGATGGTGCGCTGCGCATGCGCAGCTTCCTCCTGAGTCTTGTACTTGATGAAGAAGACCTCTGGCTTGCTGGGCTGCTTGGGCGCGACTTCCTCCAGGGCAGCCTGCAGGTCCAGAGGATCGGGCTTCTTGGTCAGCACATAGATGATGGTCTTCTCCTCCACTGGCGCCTGCTTTATACGCAATGCCGCTTTACTGACACTCGGCGTTGGCGCCTTGATGAAAACGATGCGGTAGTGCTTGCGTGGTGGCGCAATCGGCAGGGCAGGCTGGGGATAGTGTTCCTCGGGGTCCTCTGCGGGCGGCACATGAACATAAATATCTTTAGAGACAAGATGCTGTTGCTGCTGCTGCTGTGGTTGCTGGTACTGATGCTGATGGGACTGCTGGTTGTACGCAAAGTTTCCATTCAGCTGCGTTTGCTGCGGCAGCACCGACTGTTGCTGCTGCTGCTGCTGGTAGAGCGGAGCTTGGTTTTGCTGTGGCGCCGATGGGTAGCTGATGGTGCTTCCGGAGCCTCCAGACAACGCCTGACTCACTCTGGGGCTCTGAAGCGCCTGCTGGAGGAGGTTCTGCTCTGCGATGGTGGCAAACTGGGGAATGGCGGGCAACTGCAGCAGACCAGCCTGCGACAGTTGGGGTTGCTGCTGCGCCTGGTAGTTGTATCCTTGGGGCACGGCCATCGCCAGGCCCAGAAGGCACGAAACCTAGAAAAATGCAATGGCATAACTCGGCTGTACATTGGGACAGCAGCGGCCCAGGGCTTACAATGAAGACACGCATTTCCGCTCGTGATGAAGAGATGTCTCGGCTCAGGTATCTACCACCTGGACGCTTGGCAATCACGGTTCAACTAAATGCTAATCACTGTCCGCCCAGACTTATAAGCCCCAGACTCGAAAGTGTCGCTCACGAATAGTTTGGCTGCTGAGACGAATGTTTAAATGAAACTGAAACTGAGTCCGAGCCCACAAATGCGGCTAAACCACACGAAGATGAAGACGACGGCGAAGACGAAGAGCTACCACCACCGCTTTTTACAAACTGGCTTGCGTTTTCAAACAACCTTGAGATAGCGGTGACTATTGTGACCAGTTACCGAAAAGCCCAACACTCTCCACACTCCGACACACAAAGCCCTGCGTCATCTTTTGGCTCGGACTCGGTCTCGGACTCAGACTCAGACTTCGACACAAAAGAGCCATCTCGCCGGAAGTCATATACTCGAACGTCTATACATGAGTATACACGAAAGACTTTGTTTGGTTCAGAAATTTTTTGCTAACTTTCATCGTTTTCGTGATTGCAGATACCCATATATCCATATACCCATATAACTATATGTTGGCGGCCGATTATGATTGACGAACCATTGGGATTAACAATTTTCAATAGTCACTGCATAAATCACATGATAATTCCATTAGCAATGGCGTCAACTTGAACGCCTTCGACTGAGGCTGTGCTCTTTTAGCCTGATTTGATTTTCGATGACCCAATTGTCGAGGATCACGGATCATTTTGGTTGGCTCGCAGACTTAATTGGACCAAATATGGTTGCATAATTGGTGGCGATGGGGACTATGATACGGACTACGGAGATATGGATGAGTTTTGCCTTTTTGCAGCCAACAATTAAGGTAATTTTTGGCAAGCAGCCGCCGCTGCCAGTCGCAACTCCAAATCTGAATGGATGTGTGTCCATCATTGGCTATGACGATGTGGGTCATATTTTCAGTAGGCACAGCGTGGCAAGATGAATGATGATGATGCTTTGATCTATGGCTGCAGATTAATCAAAGCCCAAATGGTATCGGGGTATGGTACCAAGATGAAACACAATCCCGTCAAATGACCGCTTGGCGTGCGTCTGTATCCCCTCTCCTCGCACGATACTACTCGTACAATTCCTCTGGAGAGCGATTGCATAAGGGCTTATGGGTTTCTTGGGTGTGAGGGCGTTACCAGCGAGGCTGTGCAGTACGCAAATTATGGCCATCCCCGACTCCTGTTGTCCCCACCTCCCACTATCCACTGCCAGCTATTATTTATAAATATCAAATTTGACGGTCATTGGCTGTGGCATTATGCAATGATGCGAGTATTAGCACTGTCTTCGCTGGATCTGTTGCATAAACTTTGAATACGAGACAAAAGTACTTTGTCTGGAGCGCCTCGCACTTTCGCATTTCGAACCACATCAATTTCTCTTTCGCGGCCCTTCGTGTGCGGGAAATTAACATTAACATGGTCAAGGCTTGGATGCACGAAATGCGAAGTCGAATTAAATAATTAAAATATTATAAAAATGCCAAAGCAAAATGATAATAAATTGGCAAAGCCATTCCAACCGACTCTCTGGCGATGCACCCAATGGCGTGGCTAAGTGTGAAAATGAACTTCTGTTTTCCTAAAAATCAATGCGTAATTTCATTAACTCTGATACTTAGTTTATTAGTTTTTAATTTCAAAATCACGTTGTGTGCATAAATTAACATTCATCGCATTTCCCATTCATCCACCAGACAGACCCCAATCAAAGTGAGACAAAAACTTTCTAGCCACACAAAACCTACCCTTTTTGGTGGACGCGGGCCCAAAGCTCAAAGTTTTTACGGCCATGTTTTGGTTTTGGCCTCGAATAACCACATCGACGAAGCTCTCTGAATGCGAAAAGCTTTCCCCAACGCTAAATTAACTCCATTCGTAGCACGATATTCAGAAACAGAATTGGGGGCTTCTTTAGACCCACATGTACCCAAATGGAGTGTTGTTCTTCCATACAAGATTTGATGTAGATTAGGACGAAAGTGAGTATGTACTCACTTTTGCTACCCACTGTACATATTCGTGGTAAAGAGGTAGCAGAAAGAACGCTGAACGTGATCTCCCATGAGCGCTTAGTGCGACTCGCCTCTGATCGCTTTTACACACGGAAATTGCCTTTGTGTACATATTCTTCATTTCCTTTTAAATCCTTTAAGTAATGGCTTTGTCTAGGGATTATTTGGGTAGTAGTTTCTGCCTTCGGATTTCTCACTAGACTTCAGTGCATCTAAAATGAGAGTAGGAGTGAATTATAGTCGAAATATCGCTCTACGTTCTCTTAAACATCCTGGAAGTGTGAGTTTTTCCGAATAATAGCCATTGACAATGTATGTTACTCGTATTTTTTAGCTTACGTTATACTCGCATTAGAAAGTGTAAGCTAGTCGTTGAAAAGACAAGCAACATCAATTTGCCGCCACTCATCGAAGTATTTCCCAGAACTTGTTAGCTGAAATACACATCTTTGGGTTTCACAATGGCTTGTCGTGTCAGGTGGCTTAAGGCCATGTCCAGCTCCAAGCCATCACATCACCCAATTCGACTGCTTTGACTGCGTCTGATGAAGAATGAATATGGCATATTCATTAGCCTGCCCCTCGAGCCCCTCGAGCCCCTCGAGCAGGGCTCCCATACCCTTACCCTTATCCCTGCTCATTCATGTAAACGCCTCATTACACAAGCCGCAAAGTGTTCAGTGGGCATTGCGCTTGGCCCAGCAGGGCCGCCTCAGTACATGAATATGAACAAAAACGTTTCGAGAAATAATCAAAAGGGTATTTATTTTCAAGAAAGTTGGGGCCAACCGCTAGACATGATAAATGGACTGCGTTGCAGCTGATGAAGAAACGATCGGCAAGAAAAACACAAGCAAATATTCGGCTCGGCGGGTCATTAATTAAGCCTGACAATGCGGCGGCGGCTGAAGCCGAAGATGGGCCAAATGGGGGAGCTGCTATGAAGCTGTTGAGTAGCCCCGACACAGGGACAGGAAACCGAGATTCATGATTGACTCGTCAGTGGTGGGTGAGCGTTACCATTTCTAGCTTTGACTCCATGCTTGACTAAAATTGATTAAATGTTTGTGTGCAATTTCACTTTTAATAACTTTAATCGATGCGCTGTGCAGCGGTTGCCAAAGGCCGGAGCGTAATGGCAATGGCAGCAGTGGGCAGCGTCGGGGCGACGAGGGATCGAGGCATCGAGGGATCGGGGCTAACAATTAAGCTCTCCAACAAAGACCCGGCTAGGGGAACCACGCTAATTGGCCATGTATTTGTATGTATGGCCAGCAACTACAGCAAGTCTCGCCATTTAATGAGGGATCCGACGAGCCACGAAGGTAAATGGCGAACAAGAAGAAGAGCCGTATGGACGATGGAAGATGAAAGATGGAAGATGGGAGGAAAGCGAACTAAGACAAACACAATGAACATGCAACAAATTGATGCTGTGTGCTGTGTGTGCTCTTTTTGGCAGCTTTGGCTCATACCCCGACACCGACCGCGACTCTTTCTGGGGCGCTCTGCCTCGAATCTTTGCTGAACTTCACCTATTAAGTCTTCGAGTGCCGGAGTGGCGTCGGAGCTGCAAATTGCGGGTGATGTATAAAAGCCGAGCGAGCAGCGCATAAGTCATACAGTTCACAGCGAACAACTAAGGAAGCTATACATCCATCCTCCTAGTCCCACTCGACCAGCTCAACCAAGCCCAGAAATGCGTGGATTCATTGTAAGATGCCAGACGGCAGATGGGGATGACACGAAGGACTGCGGCTAATTAACGGACTAAAACCTTTCTTCTCTTGTTACTCATTAGGTTTTGTGCCTTTCCGCCATGGCGCTGGCTGCGCCCCAAGGGTACAACTACAATCCTGGCCCATCCGGCTTCGGCGGAGTCAGCACCGCCAGTGGCGGGGCCGCCTTCTTCCAAGGCAGCGCGCAGGCCGCTCCCGTGCAGCAGCAGACCTTCTTCCAGCAGCCGGCTGTGCACCACCAGCAGCAGGTCCAGCAGGTGCAGCAGGTGCAGCAGCAGCAGCAGCAGCAGGCTATCGTGTCCAAGCGCTTCTACATCCATTCGGCCCCGGAGGAGGCAGAGGACTATAAGGAGCGCCACATCACCGTCGGCGTGCCCAAGCGCAACTACAACGTTGTGTTCATCAAGTCGCCGCAGCGGAACAACAAGAAGACCATCAAGATCAGCCCAGCCTCCAATGAGGAAAAGACCGTCATCTATGTCCTGAGCAAGAAGGGCGAGAGCGACGTCCAGGCCGAAGTCGTTGAGCAGGCCAGCTCGACCAGCAAACCAGAGGTCTTCTTCATCAAGTACAAGACCCAGGAGGAGGCAGCCCATGCGCAGCAGCAGATCCAGGCCCAATACGACGCTTTGGGAGGCAGCAGCCAGCTGACCGACGAGGGTGTGGCCCCCGTGACCTCTGTCATTGGCGCCTTGGGCGGAAACGATGGACACGCCGAGGCCGGCGGTCTTACCGGCACCGGAGCTGGCCAGATAATTTCCTCTGGCTCCACAGGCTCGTCGCACACAGGCAATGCCTATCTGCCGCCCAATTTCTAAGCAGTTGAGCTGAGCAAGGAATTTCAAATCAAACCCTATGCCCTTTCTAAAAATTGTTGTTAATAATAAACTGAAATCGTTGTTGAATTTAGCCGCTGACTTTCAATGGAAAAGAGAACCTACCTCTTAAAGCCTCATCACTCAACCGAATCGAAATTATAATTACTTCAAAAATTGCTTCACTCCAAAAATGTATCCATAGCGAGATTACCTCGAATTCGTCTGTGCAAAAAATACCTTTAGTCATCATGGCGATTGAGGTCATGGCTGGAAGATAATAGTGCATATCCAAGTGGAACTCCGGTAAATGGTGACGTGGAAGACACTTACAAAATGGTACAAGTACGCAGTTTAGTTTATTTCATATTAGGGTATATTAAATTTTTGGTTACAGTGGATGTGTGTAACACCCAGAAGTAAGCGTTTCCGACCCCATAAATTATGTTCTTGATCAGCATCAATAGCCGATTCGATGTAGCCATGTCTGTCTGTCCATTAACCATCATTAGTTTGAGTGTATCTGGTAAGACTTTTTGTGTGATCGACATAATTCAAGCTTAGGATAGTTTGTCGTATTTAGTGGTTGCTTATATGTATATTATTATCCATTTACATTTAGCTGGATCAATCCATACACTCGAGTACCCTATCCCGATAGCGAGAGAACAGATTGGTAGAGTGCGAGAGCGGTCGTAAAAAAGCTGAACTGAACTTTAACAACGAATTTCTCACATGATATTTCTTGTCTTCTTTCAGTTGAATACTTAATACTTAATAATAATAATACTTAAAGCTGAATTAACCGTGTCAAATAGCAAGTATTACCAATAACGTTTGACATCTAAGAAGATAGGAGTGTGATTTACAGCGCTGATGACAAAATGACTGCCGTCAGAGGACCAATTTTTGAATCAAAAGTGGTTGTCACAATTATCATGTCAACATTTCATCGATACTCGTATCGCGGCAATTATAGTTATTAGTTGAAACCTGAGGGAGTCGCTGGCAAAACAAATAATTAATTAGTAAGTAGGGTAATTAAGATATTCCAACGTTCGGTTGGAGTATATATAACATGTACGTATAACGGGGCGAACCATTGACTTATCTAATAGCGCAAGTCATGGCTCATATCTTCAAACTACAGGAATACTGCCTGAGAGCGATGGGACACAGTCACGAGCCGGATAGCTCCGGCTCCGGCTCCGGTTCCGGCGGGGGGGCCTTGAGCCTGAAGCACGTTGTCTCACTGCTCTTTGCAGCATCAGCGCAGTATCCCCTGATCCACAACGTGGTGTACCACCGCAATAACATGGAGCTGGCTACAGCCGGCATGAGTGTTCTCCTCACCAACTTGCTGACGCTCTTCAAAATAGCCACTTTTCTCGTGTACAAGCAGGACTTTTGGCGAATGATCCAGAGCTTCAGGCAAATGCATCAGCAATGTAAATATAATGAGATATTAATTTATGCGCAATCTGCTCCTAATGAAGCCGCAAACTTTTGACAGCGAGTCGGAATATTCGAGACGGAGACGGATACGGCTACGTGGCCGAGGCAAACAAGTTGGCCTCCCTGCTGGGCCGGGCATACTGCACATCCTGTGCCGCCACAGGACTGTACTTCATGGTGTCGCCAATTTTGAAGATTATAGCCAACAGCTGGCGTGGCACAACATATGTAAGGGAGTTGCCCATGCCCTTGAGGTAAGTAGAACCGAGTATGTAGTATGTAGAGTGACTGCTCGGTGGACACTCGGAGGAACTGACTCTATAATTGCATCATGTCCCATTCCCGGCAGGCTCCCATTCAACTATGTGGATAGTCCCGGATACGAAATCGGCTTCGTGTATATTTTGCTGGTTACCATCGTCGTGGTGTCGTACGCTTCTGCCGTAGATGGGCTTTTTATTTCGTTTGCCATTAATCTGCGAGCACACTTTCAGACCTTGCAGCGCGACATCCGAACTACGGACTTTTCTCAGTCGGAACATGAGTTCCAAAAGGCCCTTAAAGACTTGGTGGACTATCATATACGGTTGTTGACCCTATCCAAGCGCCTACGTGTGATGTATATGCCCATAGTGTTCGGACAGTTCTTTATAACATCGCTGCAGGTCGGCGTCATCATATATCAGCTCGTGACGGTAAGTCGAAAGATGTGCACTTCTATATATCGGAGACCATTTCGGAGCTGTCTACTTGCAGAACATGGACTCGATTATGGCCCTCTTGGTGTACCTATCATTTTTGGGGTCCATCATGCTGCAATTATTCATATATTGCTATGGCGGAGAAATCATTAAAGTCGAGGTATCGCAAAGATAGTCTTCCTTCCTGGTTACGTGGTAATAGTAGTCGCTGTATTACAGAGTCATCGGGTCGATGTTGCCGTCCAGCTCTCCAACTGGTATCAGGCAGCCCCGAAGCTGCGCAGATCCTTGGCATTCATCATATTGCGATCCCAGCGGGACCTGCTCATTAAGGCTGGGTTCTATGAGGCTTCCCTGGGAAATTTTCTTGCGGTAATGATTTGAAGTCCGCTGAAGTCAGTTTCATAGTCACTTTCTTCTTTTTACAGATTTGTAGGGCTGCCTTATCGTTTATAACTCTGATCAAATCCATTGAATAATTGCCGGTTAATAAGAACCACGAGGCTATTGTTATTTACGTTTAATCTTCATCTAATAGAACTAATAAGTATTCGAGTGTAACGAACCTGATCCAACCTTATTCCCAATAATTAGATTTATACTTGCATATGGTATAATACGAGTGTGTATAATCGAGCGGTGCACAATCTAGAAAACCGAATGGTTCAGTTCGGAAGCCAATACACTCAGTAGTACATATATGCACAAGGCTCTTATCGGTTGTTGTCGTTTGTAAAATATTAAATGCAACATCTACATACTATAGGGTTATGTAAACGTAATCCAAGGGGGCATTCGACGTTGGTATAAAGAGCTGCGCGTCAGTTCAGAGCCACATTTGAATATCATCCATTGTCAGTCCAGCATTCAGCTCTTCAGATGACCAGCAGTGGGACAGATTTGACCAAGCCCAAGAATCTCTTATAAGCTCCATTGGAATTCTTGCAGATCTCACTCTCGCACTGTTGCAATTGCCCGTGGGCGCTGATGTGTCATTGAACGTACGTCGAGCGGTGGAGGGCATTAGACAGCTGAAGGCGGAAAATCCGGAGCTGCAGCTGGCCATCCTGCCGGAGAGTTTCAACGCGCCGTACGGGGTGGAGTACTTTGCCAAATACGCCGAGTCGGTACCAGATGGGGCCACATGCCGAGCGCTGTCGCGCCTCGCCATGCAGTTGGGTCTCTACATAATTGGGGGCAGCATCGTGGAGCGCGATGCAGGAAAACTGTACAATACCTGCACCGTGTGGGCGCCCAACGGCAGCCTCATCGGCAGGCACCGCAAGGTAAGCCTCCGCGAGCTCTCGTATCTAGACAGCCCAGTGACTTACTGAGACCCTGGCAGATTCATCTGTTCACCATGAACATTGAGGCCGCTCACGGTGGAGGCGTGCAGTTCGATGAAGGGGCTGTCTTAACGGCTGGCTCAGAGCTGACGGTAGTGAAGATTGGCCAGCACAAGGTCGGCATTGGGATTTGCCACGACAAACGCTTCGAGGAACTGGCTCGGATCTACCGCAATTTGGGTGAGACTTTAGTCCATACGCCGTATGGCAGAGGTGCGGGGATGTGATATGCATGCATTTCCCTCAAGGTTGCTCTATGCTGGTCTATCCATCCGCCTTCTGCATATGCCAGGGACCCATGCATTGGGAGCTTCTGCAGCGCGCCAGGGCCACGGACAATCATTGTTCATTGTTCAATTCATTGTTGAGCGAATCGGTGAGTTCGGTCATTACATGCGGAAGGCCTGGCCGCAACACAGCAGAGTATACGTACTTTATCCCCCGTAGACTTTGACATGGTTGAGCAAGTGCGTCGCCAGATTACCATTCACCAGCAGCGCCGAACTGATGTGTACGCTAAGGCCAGAGCGGACTCTTAAAGCTGGACTACACAACGAATTTCAATTAAATAAAGAACAATTAATAGCAGCGGGAGAGCTGTTCACTGATATGACTTGGCTTGCTTATCGCCACATGGTCGCACAAAATTTTGAAAACAAATCGGAACGCTATATTACAGTATTTAATACCGACTTTAAGATACCCGCTATTCAGACTCATGTTGTATTATCTGTATATATTTTCTTGGGTACTCGCGTATACAAAATACCCTTGGTACCGGGCACTCAGAGAAATGTCTCGACGCTTTAGTCTGAGTAATGGCAAGGGACGTAGATGAGTGGTATCAATGCCAGTGGCTCGGATGGGCTTCAGTCCAGAGCTCGATCTCAGTGCCTTCGAGGACGCGATTGAAGAAAGACGCAACAAAGAATGAAGTCGTTGGGGTTGGGAGCTGCATTTGCCCTACTTTTCTGTGTGTGGTGGGGCACAGCGCAAGCGCAGGTTGGCTATGTGCGGCATCTGTCGGAGCTGCGCATAAAGGAGCTCAACGATCTGGCCATTCGGATAGGGGACTCGATCAACCCGGAGATATACGCCTGCGACAGCTATTTCGACTACGTGTGCAGTCGTAATCGACCCCTTTTTTCGATTATGGGTAGGTTGTAGAGCCAAGGTAGTAGATACCAACTTACCCATACCTATCTCCGTAGGGCACATGCCACAGACAAGTGAACTCATCCAGTTGCTGACCCAGCTGCAGAACGACCCCGAGCAGTTCGAGGCGAAGCAGAAGCTGATGGACTTTTTCATCTCTTGCAACACCCTGCGCTCTCTGGAAGACTGCTATCGCGAGACATTTGAGTTTTTCAAGCCGCTCTTCGGATTCATAATAACCAAGAATCTGGCCAACAGCCACGAGCTACGCGACTTCCTGGATGTCCTGGACCACTTTGTCGCCAGGTCGAAGAAGATCTTTCGCTTGGACTCGCATCCCATTCTCGGCAAACTGGCCACGTACAAGGAGAAGTTCCGCACCCCCGGCATCTACTTCCACTCCGGCGACCTCAACCGGGAGTACAAGGCCCTGCGCATCTACCGCGAGAGCTATGAGCACAACATCCGGAACCTGGAGCAGCATCGCAAGAGAAACTCCACCTACGAGCTGGGAGTGCAGAGAACCATGCTGGACTGGAGCCTGTACCTGTTCCAGAGCAGCAACAAGCCCATGTCCTACTTCTACCCCACCTTCACCGTCCACCTCTACATGACACTCTTCAACAGCACCGAGCGGCAGCGCGACTTTACGCGATTCCGCGAGGAAGTTGAGTGCCTCAAGCTGCCGCAGTTCGTCAATGTGCTGGACGAGGCCCGGGTGCTGGCTGTAATCTACCTGAAGAGCTTCCGCTACGCGTGGCATGACTATAGCGACTGGATTACCTCCTTAACGACGCACCGGGAGATCTACGACCACGAGGACACAATACTAAAGAAGTACCACCTAAACAACAAACGTTTGTTCTTCACGCTCTACGCACAAAATTTCTGTGAGTTTGGCAAGAATCTGGCTGAATCGCTCTTCTACTTGGGTCTTAAGCAGAACGAAGACTTCATCAATAGCTACTCGTGTGGCTATCAGACTGAAGTTTCCAGTTGCGTCTGACCAACTAGCCGACTAATTGTAATTATCCCTATTCCGATTCCGAATCAATTGTATCACAAACTCATATTTTCCCATGGCTTTATGCTGCGAGTAGCAGTAAGAAAACTCATGGCTTCTGCCTGTTATAATATACTTTGTAATGATATAGCCTTTTACTCTGCGGGTCTTAAAGCTCTCTCATTAGTCGGTTCTTCCTTCCTACCACTATTCGCGGAAATCCCTTTTTGCAGCTTGTTCGAGGGGCTGTTCCTTTGCCGCCGCTTCTGCGGTCGCGGCTGCCTTTTCCAGCCTAAACTTTTGCACCTTGTCAAAGTAATCCCGTGCCTCCTCCCTGCGATAAAGTTTTGCCAAGTCGCTGCAGGATTTGCCGACGCCATCCAAAGCCGCCAGATCCGCCCCGTGGGTAACAAGCAGTTTGATGAGCTCCAGGCCCGCGTCCATAACCACTGAAACCGAAAACCAAGTTAAAATACCATACCATACCAAAATACCTCTGGACGTACCCCCGTGCATAAGCAGAGTCCAGCCGCAGGAATCCCGAGCCTCCAGGTTTGCCCCCGACTCCAGGGCGAACCTCACCATTTCTATCTGATTAGCGTCGACGGCGCAGTGGGCGGGCGTCATGCCGTTGCAGTCCGTTGCCTCCAGCCGCGCCTTTTTGTTCAGCAGGATGCGCGCCGAGGGCAGGTGTCCGTAAAAAAAGGCCAACTGCAACGAAAACAGGACAAGGCTGTCAGTGTGCGACTGTCGCATAAGAGCACTCTGGCAGGCACCAACGTGGAGCGGCGTCCGTCCGTTGCCCGGGTTGCCCAGATGCACGCTGCAGCCTGCCGAGAGCAGCACATCTATGATGCACATCTCGCCCTGCATGATGGCGTTGGCCAGCGGAAGAAAGCCATTTGGGGCGGGGTATTCTATTAGGCTCGGTCGACGGCGCAGCATGCGCTTCACCAGGAACTGCTGCCCCTTTCGGATAGCACGGTTCAAGCAGTTGGTGGAGGGCAGCGCTGCCTCCGTGCAGGCCTAAAAATAAAAAGCAATAAGAAGCATTAAAGGTATTCGTTACTAAAACGCTTCCGCTATTGACAATTGTTGCGTTTTTCTCATTCTGCAAGTATGCTTTCGCCAAAAAAACATCTTTGCCACGAGCTTCTCAATTTCCGTTTCAGGGAAACACGAGATGGAAATGGAAATGGGAAAACTCCCAGTCCCGACTTTAGTGTATTTACAATCACATCCGTTGAGATGGCTAAAGTCACGTAGCAGCGGCCATCCTCAGAGATTTTCAACGCTCTTATGCGCAGTCGGTGTCCAAAGTTCTCCTCCAGATTGGGTATCTCTGTGGGGGAGCTGCTGCTCCATTGCACCTGCCGCCAGCCGTGCCGCCTGTGGTACTTCTCGACGCTGTAAACCAATGCATTTTGAAGTGGCGCCCAATCCAGAACCACGCTATTGATCGTCTGCTTCAAAATTCGGGGCTCAAAGCCCGGCCACCGTGGCTCTAGACTGGACTCAGTGGCTGGATTGAAGTTCGGAATCGGTCCCAGCTGACTTTCAAAACTTGTATCGCTTTGCTTCTGCGACTGTCTATTGCTGAATGTTTTTTCGGACATGCTGCCTGCCGTTTATACACATTTAGCCAATTTGCCAGCCTTATTGGCTTTGCTTGCCACATGCCGGCTAAGCCTCCTATCCCTTCCACGCCCATAGCAATGGCAGCGCCAACAGCCAACAGCCAACAACCAAAAGCCATGGCAACGGCAATGGTTACGAAAACCCCTTGGTCGGGGGCCAGCTCGGGGAAGAGGATTTGGGATTTTTGTTAAATCAATAAATGGGTGCAATGTCGCTGGTGACGGGATGGGGATGAGGATGGTGATGGGGATGGGGCTGTTGATTGCTGATTGCCTGATCCGGGCCCGTTCGTTCGCCTGTCCCTGGCAGACGACTCTTTTTGTTTGCGTCCGATGTGCTGATATTGCCACTGTGGATGAAGTGGTTGTGCTGGTGCGGTGGATGGCCTGGATCAATGCATGGGTGGGTTCCCTTGGTTACATAGTTTTTGATGTACTGAAACTGAAACTTTTGTGTCCTTGGGTTGGGGCTTGACTGTGTGTTACTTAACGAGCCTTTGACACACTCCGTGCGGTGATGACTCCGGAAATTTTGGTCGGAGACTCGGGTATTTATCTGCCCGGCGCATTGTGCCAACTCATCGACCGCCACAGGGGCACGGACTCCGACCAACACAGAGATACTAGTATCTTACTCGCAGCGGCAGCCGGAGTAGGGGCCCGCCCGAATTGTCAGGCACAGTCTGTGCAAAGGCTGGCACATACACATGCAAAAAATTATCATTTGTCAAAATCAAAACATGAAACCGTTTTAAATTAAGCCACTCTGCCAGTCATACGCCCACGCCCCCACGCCCCCATGCCGCTGTGCCGCCACTTCGTCTCAACTTACTCGCAAAAGCCTCATCTCATCCCGCCGGGCTTGTGCTTGTGCCTTGTGCCTTGTGCTTTTGCCGGGCCTTCGAGCTGGCATTGTCTGTGGGTGAAGTGAAGTTCGGTTGTCATCTTTGCGGCGGCTGCTGTTGAATCCTCATTGATTGAAAACGACCGCAAGAGCCTTCCAAATGAGGGGACGGAGAGGAGAGGGGAGGAGTAGAGTGGAGCGCCCCGGAGCGGAGACGGAGGTATTCAATATCATTATTTCGTGACAGGGGATCAGGGGAAATATAATATTAGCATGGTCCTGTAGTTGGCAACTCGAAATAAGGAGAACGATTCATAATACGCTCGTAATAAAGAGCCGTTTCAAAAGGCCATTTTACGGCCTTTAAAAGCTCGAGACACCCCAATGTATTCAGTCCGACCGAGATAAAGCATCCAATCTCCAAGGCAATACCAAGTTAGCCATCCGGAATAATGTTCAATGAATACATTTGGATCAGGAAAGCCCTATACTCCGATGACGGGCGAGATGAACTATCAATGAAAATGTTTCCTAGTGCATCAGGTGCATATTCCTACATATTCCACCACAGTCCCTGCTGGTGACGCCAAGGTCCAGCAATGCAAACGTTTTACCTCCTTCATTGATCTTGACTTACTGGGCACTCTTTGCCCAGAGATCAAACAACTGCTTGTTCCACCACGTAAAGCTCAGCCGAAAAACGATAAACCCTCTAAAAAGAACACCCCGCCGCTTCAAAGCCAAAGAATATATAGGTATTTGCTGTACATATCTGCAGACTTCATTTCATAAAGCAGTAACGTAACGTTTTACGATTGTCGGAATGTTTTGCACGTGGAGTTAAATGGAAAAATGTTTGATATCAGATACTCGTATGTTCCTTTTGCATTCATTTTGGCTGAGGAATCCGAGTACATACTGTATTATTACTTTTATTGAGATAGTTGTTCCCAGGAACACCTGATGATAGGATGGGACAATTTTTGTCCAATTGTCCCCCAAGGGCATCTCAGTTTCGGTGCTTGTCTCACAAAAAGAATGCGTTCTCTTGCTGTCTACGCTGCGGAAATCTCCAGGCGAATGGGTCTCCCGGCTGTCATTAGGGCCCGAATAAGCTGGAAACGGCTGCCATGCGCCAAATGCGCCCAATTTGCCTGCCGACTGCTGAGGACGGGATGAACAATGGAAAGACGGACGGAAAGAAGAGCGGAAGGCAGTGCCAAAAATAATCATAACCAAACCAATAGACGATGTGGAGCGCCTTAGCGAGCTCTCCGGAATCGAGGAAGACAGGGAGGAGGTAGCGACGGCGACGGCGGAGCACCCAAACAGGTGTCATAAAGCGAAATGGGTTTGATTTTAATCAAAATAATGGGCTCCGGCACCGCATGATGACGTGTATGGCTTAATTAAATAATTTATATATATTACGCATACGCCCTGTGCACGCACACAACCACAAGAATTCGGGAACGTCCCACTCCTGTACAAACGTGTAAATTTTTACGTTCATGTGCAGCAGAGGCGACACAATGGCCCTACGAGCAGCAGGGCGGATTCTCCTTGCGAGTGGCAGCAAGAGGGCATGCTACTAGTCGGCTGCCTTATCAGCGCCCCGCTTACACTCGATATCTTCCGGCTGGTGCGTGAGGTTTACAAGCGGAACAGCCTCATAAGGGCAGCGCACAAGGAGCCAGAAATTAGCGAACCCAACGCCTGTCGCCGGTTCCTGTACGCATATCCGTGCGAGCATCCATCCGTAGTCGACGTACGAGCATGAAGCAATTTGCTTATCAAGCCCCGAGAGCCCCGAGAACCCCTCATATGAGTATGCGGCAGTGGCCCGCATCCAGCAGATACACTTGCAACTACACTTACGTCCACACTTGCAGTTACATGAGGGAAAAGTTTGTTATTAGCTGGCTATTTGGCTGCAAGCTTTTGGCCAGCAAGCTTTCCTTTTTTTGGGGGGTCGGCTGTCAAAACTGACAGAAGTGGGCCCAAATCTTGCTCTCTGCATCTCCGTCCCTTTGTCTCTCTCTCTCTCGCTCGCGCTCTCTATCTCTGCCTCTCTGGTCCCGTATGCTTGGCCTGCTCTCTTTCTCTCTCTCTCGCGCTGTCTCTCTGTCTCTCGTTTTGAATGTTATTGCCACAAAATTTACACTGGCTAACAGTTTGGCATTTCGCTGTACGTTTTCGGCAGTTTCGTGTAGTTTGGCACCAGGAAAAGCGACAGAGCCGAGGCAGAGGCAGCAGCAGCAGCAGCAGAGCAAACATTTTTCGGTATGTATGCCTCGTGGCCGAACTCTCCTTCAGTGTGACGTTGCTGTAGTTCCGCGAGCCTAGTGCCTATTGGAGGAATATACGAAATATTTGTAGTTTTACGGTGCCTTCGACGGTTGTAGGTAAGCCCCCTGGTGCGACGCGTAGTACCGCCAGTAGTTGGAGGTGAAAATTTCTAATCACATTTCCCTGGTGCTATCAGAGGGAAAAAATGATGTTACTTCGAGTGCTGTTTCGCGTTCTGTCGCTTTTCCTGTATATATCCATACCCATACCCATACCCATACCCATACCCTTGACTATGTCCATACCCACAGCCCAATCCGTACCCATTCTCCGCTTCCGATGCCACTCCCGTACTGCCGCACTCCGTGTATTACCCCAGAGACAGCAATGCCGTGGTGGCCAGGACGTGACGTTCATCTTAAGCAGGGAGCGTCCGTCCGTCAGCTCCGTGGGAGCGGGAGTAATAAGCAATTTGTGGAGGAAAAGTTAAATCGCGCAGCGCAGCGCAGCGAGCACTGGCGAGAAATATAATTGATTGGTATATAAAAAGCGGAGCAAATCCAGTTCCAGTTCCACAGCAGAAAGCAACAAAGCCAGAACAATCCACATAAATATATTTAAGTATACATACATCCATACAAACATACATATACATATATGTATCTATAGGTATGTATTGTATATCCACTGCGTTGGGATGAAGATGAAGGCCTGCGAATTGGTAGGAAACTATAATTGTTTGAGTGGAAAACAATATAGTCGAGCCACTGCTGCTGGCACGGGAACGCCTGGATTTGTATCACACTAATTAGAAATGGAGGAAGTACGAGGCTGCTTTGCGAGATCGCTTCAAGGCAATTGATGCACTTGTCACGGCTAAATGCCGACCACAGACCACCGGACGGGCGGAGTGGTGGACGGTTGGACGGGTGGACAGGCGGACGTGGCCAGAACTTTGCAATTTCCTTCTTTCAAGCTGTGCGCTTCCGACGCTCCGCAAAAGTTGTGGATGGATGTCTGCCCAGAGTTGGGCTACAGAGCTCTCCATATGCAAACAAACTATAAAGGCAGCTGACAAACGAACAAAGCCAAAGACGATGGCGTTGGCTGTGGGATGTGGGATGTGGGATGTGTGTGTGTGGGAGTGTGGGAGTTGGGTGTGGGTCTGGTGGTGGCAGCGATGATGATGATGGTCTTCCACAACTCGTTAGCATATGCCCCATACGGGAAAACAGCAGGGAAAACAAAGCGATAACAGGGACAGGCAGCATATTATCAGAGCGTTTTGGCCTCTTGGCCAAACCACGAGCGCAGACGGCCCGACAGCGAGAAAGCGAGAGCAGAAGCATGCCAGAGCAGAACAGAGCCCAGGCACGAATCAATATCGTATTTCCTGTGGCCACTCCGGGCGCAGGCGCCGGCGCACAGATGTGGGCAACGCTGTATTTCAAAGTCAAAAAGTCAAGAGAGTGGGAGAGCAAGAGAGATTGAGATAGGACAGGGGAGTGGGACTGGGGGCTGGGAGAGGATGACAAAATTATGTAATAGACAAAAAGTAAATGCAGATAAATATATTATTAGTCGAACAAAAAGGCAAAAAGTCAGCGCCAGCGGCCATTACATAAAAGCAGGCATGGCATCGAGAACAGCAACAAAAGCAGAGATGTGCTGATGCTCGGAGCGCTTTACCTTTATATGAGCGTACCCGCTTTCCTTGCGTCAGAGCAGGGCGGCGAATGGCTCTCTCTCTCACTCAACAAGAGGAACCAGAAACACGACACAAGAAACGCTCAAACGAGCTCAAAAGCTTCGCTCTGGCGTTGAGTGCTTTCGGCTCAATTATTGGATTCTAGGGAGGCAGAGGGGAACGGCACGGGAACTGGCGCTAGCGCCGACTGCGCTGCCTGCGCCGCAGCAGCCTACAGCTGGTCGCCGCTCTGGGTCTGGCTCTGGCGCCGCATGAGCCGAGTTTTCCATGTAGGGAACACGGCAGTGTGCTGCAGAAGAGTGCGAACATAGCATGAAGTAAGAAGCGCCGAATAAAACATAGTCACGGCCTGCCTGGGCGGAAAGTGGAAAACCAAAAGTATTAAAAAAGCACACACCTATACACAGGCACACACACTCACACACGCACATGTGCGTTCTACCGTGGCTGTGTGAGTGAGCGTGTGCACAAGTGCATTACATACTGGTACATTATGTACGAGTATGTTTGCACATTGTACATATACGTATACGTATACATATACATACAGATGTAGGCCCAGGCTTAACAATAAAATAAAACGCAAATCGGGAGCAAATCGCGAGCCCACTACGCACACATCACAGATCACAGTGGCCCAAAAACCCCCTACCCACCGCCAATCCGTTCTTCCACCGTTCCGACCCCCGAAATGGAAAACTAATTCAATTATAAGCAATAAATTCTTTCGAGCTAATTCAATTACGCTATGAGTTGACTGTGGGAACAGCTTTATGTAATAATCAGTGGCGAAAGGCTGCGCGAGCGAGAGAAAAAAGTTTCGGGCCTCTGGCGCACTCCACTCCGTTCTCAAAAAACGTATTGGATCGAATTTGTTTGCTGTGCGTGTTACGTAAAAATGTTGTTTTCCTGAGGCACCAGCCCCCAGAACACAGCCCGCGACTCGGAAGCCACCCCCCCTAATGGGCACTTACGTGCACGCTCGCATAAAAGAAACCCTAATAAAGAAATATCGATAGGGGCAACAAAGCCAGCGACAACGACAACGGCACCGACAACAACAACAACGACAACGACAACGACGTCACAATAAAGCCACCAACATTGTGGGGTCCTCGGGGTCCTCGGGGTCTCCGGGGTCCTCCGTATCCGTATGAAGTAGCGGGGGCTACTTGTGTGTCCACTATTTTCAACTTAGATGATATGCCAATAGACCGAGTGAATCGAAATCCTGATGCCCCCTTTTGCTTATCTTTGCCTTGCAGAAATCCTGTCTGTCTAACGCTCGCTCTTCTCTGCGGACTTCTTTGAAACAAACACACTTCAGAGCTAACGATTTCCAATCTCTGCTCCTCCTGGCACAGCACCAACAGCAGCATCAACGGCAACGCGCGCAAACACTGGAATCTCCGACGGCAATCTCAAAGGAATACTTTCTGAACTAAAGTCAGGTAAGTGAGTGAGTGAATGGGCGGGCGGCCGCCCAACCTTTCCCAGAAGTGTCCAAAGTATGCGCAAAGTATGCTCCAAACTTATACGCGCTTTACGTCAAATGTTTGCGCCAACTTTTCCACATTTTCACGCGTGAAGTGCCCTACGCGCGCCTAATGCTGGAAAAGTGGTGCAACCTCATTATACAATCTGCTGAGTTCCCAAGGAGATCTGCGATTTCACTTGGACTCGATTCCGTTTGCCCTCAGCTGGCCCTGTTCCCAGCCAACACCGACACCGACAATGACACCGACACCGACACCAAGACCGACAAAGCAAAAGCAAATAGGTTAATGCCAACTCTGCGCATACTTGATATTCTGCTGAACAAGCAGAAAAGCAAAGGGTAGCGCGGCGTATACTTAATATTTACTGACCCTTTTCCAAACGGCTCTCGCCCGTCCCGGCCCGGCCAAGTCAGGCGGTGAAATACTCATAGAACACAGGTCGAACACAGCTTATTTGCGTGTTTATTGGCTTTGACTGTGGCTTTAGCTTTGGCTCCGACTCTCATAGTTGTATCAAAAAACTTCAAACGTAATTGGATAGCCTTCCGGTCGGGGCTGTTCATTTGTTGAGGGAGAAGGAATCGGGCTGTTTTTCTGCTGGGGCCACACCTTGAGCCATCTGCCCATAAAATTCAAAGCACGAATGCCATAAATTTTCGCTTTTATTTACATATATTAAGTCGGGCATGCTCGTCCTTGCAGGAACAAGCTGTCCACACTGTCCGCCCGTCGACCCCTTTCCATTAAATATTTTCAGTTTCTGGGAAGCTGGAGATTAAAGTGAATTTTCCAAACTGCCAACGCTCTGGCCAATAAACAATTCCGTCGTTTGCTGACTGACTGGTGGCCACAGGGCCCGGACTCGGACTCGGAGTCGGAGCCGATCTGGAAATTCCTTGCAGACCCAGCTTAATTCATTAGCTTGAAGTACAGGCAGCGCCAGCCAAGGCCCAGCAGCTGAAACTGCCACACAGATACTGGCTGGAACCAGAAAGTGGAAGAGGAACGGGGCCGGGACCTGGCAAGGCCTGCCAGCTGCCAGCCGTCCGACTTTAGCCCGCTGGCGAATGCTTTTTATGTCAAACTAATTTCGTTGCTCGTTTGCTGGTGTTGTTTTAATTTGCGCAGCTAGCCAGAAAGCAGGCGGCCTCCTGCCTCCTGCCTGCTGCCTGCCGCCTGCTGCCTTCAGCTTAAGTTCGTTAGCCCAATTTGCGCAAATATTAATACATGGTTACAAAGACACAGACACAGACAGCAACAGGACTAGCACCATCACCAGCATCAGCATCAGCAGGATGCTTTGCTGAAGATGAAGCTGAAGCTGATGCTTCCCCGCCAGCGGCGTTAATAAAATTGAAAATTTTTGGCTGGGAGGCACTGAGCCCACATTCATTATGGCATTATTGTGCTAGAGGACCCGGACCCGGACCCGGACCCGGACCGGGACCGAGGCTTGGGATATTAGATTTCCCCGAATTAAGTACAGCATCAGGGGCGGACCGTGCCGAATGACAACCAGGGGGAGGGGAGCACAGCTGCAATTGATGGAGATGTGGCATCAACTGAGTCTCCAACAGAAACTGAAACAGGCACAGACACAGACACAGATACAGACACAGAATGAAGCGAGAAAAAGAGAAAAAAGAAATCAACGGGCGGGAGGGAGTTAAAGATGGTTCTTTACTCATCTCGAAAGCGATTTCAAAGAAAACGTCAGCGGCTGGCTTGCAAAGGCATCCTACCAACGGCATTTAAGCTAAGCGGCTTAAAGTATCAGGCCGGGCCAGGTGACAGGGCAGCTTGGCGGATCGTCGGCGGTGGGCCCGCTCTTGCCCGTCCTGTCACATCACAATTTAATTTGCTTTCTTCTCTTTGCTGCCTTACAGACGCAGAGGCCAGCGCGGACCGCGAGTGCACTCTCCAGCGACCGGCACAGTCCAGGAAGAACAGGACATAACAGGACAGAACAGGACAGGGCAGGACCTCATCAAGACACGCCTGTAAAGCGACAGCCCCAAGATGGCGGCCTTCATAGCCAAGCAAATGGTTGGAAACCAATTAAGTGCCGTTAAAGGTAAGTCAGGCGAAAACGCGCGCGCAGATACTCGCTCGTACATTAGAGTCCACGTTTTATTTTTGGCACCCGATCAATACCGTTCCCTTCTCTATGGGATATCTGGGAAATGTATACATAATTCATTTTCAAGCTGCTGCGCAGCAACAAAAAATTACCACACATGAGCGGGAAAGTGGCCAACGCTTTTAGATACACACCCTGCTCCACTGCCAACTCTTCTTTCTCCTTTCTCCGTTCTCTGTTCTCCGGTGGGGCATTAGGTAATGTCATTCGCTCCCATTGTTGTTCTGTGGCTCCTGCTGCTGCGGCTGCGACTGCCTCCGATGCTGCTGTTTAATCAGCGTCTGTGCAATCGCTCGGAAAATCATTGAATGCTTTCAAGAAGGGGCGAGAAGCAGGACGCCGGATGATGAGGAGGATGAGGCAGGGATGTTCGAGCTAAAATGCTTATCAGCCCACAACATGCGAGCACAGCCGGAGGGAGCCTTAACGGAGCATTTACATAGAGCAGAGCAGCCTTCTGTCCCATAATGTTCTACTCGGCTACTCGTGTCGCCCCTCTATAAGAAGACCCGTTCAATTTGCAAGCGCCGCTGCTGCTCCTGCGCCAAGGCATCGCCATTACGCTCCTGCGGCTGGGGATGCACATTACCGACTCCCTTATCGAGCGCAGAGATTCTGCACGAATGCGCCGACAAGTGGTTTCAACAAATTGATACACTTAATTGTATAGATTGATGTTGCACTCCCCTTTCCTTTCCCTTTCCTCTTTCCCCTGACTCGGGTGGGCTCAATCATTGCCACTGCCTGCCCCCGTCCTCGTCGCCGCCCGCCCGAGCTCCGTTTGTCGAGCTGTCAGCTGCGACTCAGGTCGAGATTGCGGCTAATGCGCCTCGACCGAGCCCGGCCATTGGGCTGTCAGGCCTGGCAGTGACGTGGAGCTACCAAGTTCGTGGAACATGGAAACGCTATTAGCATGGCCGTAAAGTGCAAAAACCCGAATCAATTCGTACATCGAGGTTTGCCTTTTCCTCTGCCTCTGCCTCGGCGTCTCCACGTTTGAGTTGCGTACACGCATTCGTTTTCACTAGTACGCATACTCGTACGTGTGCCAATTACCGAGATACTTGTACTAAGTTGCAGATATCCGTATCCGTGGAGGCTACTTTCGGCGCTCAATGGTGCAGCAAGCAGCCACTTTAAGTTCTCCATAAAACTGCGGATGAGTGATGAAAACGAAATAAAATATCCCCATAAAGCCATACTCAGGGACGCCTCGCCTCGTTCCCCTTAGTTCCTGTGGCAAGAGAGCACACAGAGTTCCGATCCGTACTCTTGGTTCACATAAAGAAACATCTTTTCTGGCTACGAGTTCGATGGAGCGAGTGGGTAGGAGACCGGACGGTCCCGGCTAATGCGTTTCCATTGTCAACCACTGCGCTCGCAATCGGACAATTTATTGAAGCTTGCCTCCAGTTAGCCTTTATTACTATTGCCTGTCTTACATAAGGATAAGTTATGGATTTGTTGTATCCGCCCGTTCCTAGATTTGTTGGACTGCTCGCCTGGGCCTGGTGGCACTAAAAATGTTCGGGCTTCCCGATGAAGCATTGCTTAAGGGACAAAAATGTTCTCCCTGTATGCCCACATACGTATATTGTATGTATGTATCTCTTTGGGTCTATTATTCGTATCAGCAGATACAATCCAACTCCGTCTAATTTCGTTACCCGCTACCCTCGGCTGATGATGCGAATAAGTTCTCGGCTGAAGGAAGCAAAGGAGAGTAAAACCCACAGGGAGCAGGTGCAAACAAAGTGAAACAGAAACAGGATACATTCTACATATTTAAGTGCTTATTATTTATATAACAATACAAGCCTTACACTGCCACGTTTCGCTGTGGGGCACATTAGGGTGGCACGGTTAAGAAATGAGGAACAGAACAACGCTGACCTTTCCCGACACTCAAAATGAGTATTAGATTTGTGGGCGAAATGGATGTGTTGAACGCCCAGAAGGAAGCGTTTCCGACCCCATAAAGTACGTATATTCTCGATCAGCGTCAATAGCCAAGGCGATTGAGCCATGTCTGTCCGTCCGTCCCTATGAGCGCCTAGATCTCAGAGACTATAAGAGGTGGAGAAACCAAATTTGGTATCCACACCGCTGTGGTATCCCACTGTTACAAGTGTACCTCTGGCGGAGATAAGCCACACTGACTGAGTATCGGGTATACATTTAGAGTTGCGGCCACAACGACCCCCCTCGCTTGGTTTGCCGACACGGAAACCCGCTATGTTCCGTTCCCGCCATCTTCAGTGGATCCCCTTCAGTTCTCGCCTTTCCGCCGTTTCCGAGTTCCGGATGCTTAGTCTGTTCTTCTCGATCCTTCCCTGCCACTGTACCCTGGATCCGAACGAAAGGAGGCTAAGCGTATTGAAGCACTGCTCGATACAACTCGTTCCTTGATGCTTCGAATATTATCATGTTTTTGAACTCTACGTTGAGCTCGCACCCGTCGCGATTCTCGTTCGATTTCTCGTTCATTTTCAGTGGATTGATTCCGATGCATAACGGCATTACGGCCTTGTCGGGAAGGATTAGATCTTCTGAGTATTTTCGGCATTTCAAAGACAAATTTCGAACGGCAAAAAAACCACAACAAATACGTCTGATTGATACGGTATCGTGGTTTACGGAGCCCCGGTCACGTTTCCGACGTAATATATAGCATATAAAAATGCTGGGACTGAATTGTCTGATTTTAGACTCAGCTTATCGATTTCTTTACTCATACACAAAACAACAGAGTATTTTTGTCATACAGCTATACATTCTGGCTACGAGTGATATTTTATCCAAATCAAGAGTTTTTACAGCTTTGTTCGCTTTATATTTCTGGTTTTATAGATGTTTTTCTTGAAATAATAATAACCTTATTTTCTTACATTTTCAGGTAAGCGTTCGAAAGAGAAACTCCTATCAGTGCTTCCTATATAAATTCGTAAGTTGCTACCGCTCCAAAGGCCCCCCACCACCACCAAAGCTCCCACCCATTTAACATAACGATCCAACAGAATTGAAAAGTTCCGATAGCATACTCGTACATTAACAATATAATCTAATAATATTTATAATCGAATCATTGTTTTGAATGGCACAACCGTTTAGTTTACAGTTAACAGTTTAAAGTTTACAGTTCACGCTTCTGTTTCAGTTTTGAATGGACGCCCGGTTTCGGTTTCGATTTCGATTCCGTTTCGGTTTCGGTTGATTGGCAGTAGCATGAACACATAGTCGTACATGATTGAAATTTACGAATAGTACCCATAGAGCCGTTCAAGATTGAAACTCCGTGGAAGGTTTTCAATTCGAAACGAATCTGAGTATTTTTAACCTAAGCTTAGCATTGCACAACACAAATAGCCACGTATGTTTTGAATCTACGCATATAGCGAATAATCCAACAGTACCCCATATGCATATGCACTCCCCGCCCTGTACATAACAATTTCCACACCATCGAAATCCGCCCACAATCCTCGAGGCCAAGCTCGAGCATCAGTGCCCTACCTTTCCGCCCTGCCAGCCGCAAAGCCCCCAAGATCATTGGTACTCGTCCTACCCGTCCGTTTGCCCATCCCCTCCACCCAAGCACATACCTCCGAGATTCCCAAAAAACTACGTCTTTCTATGCAGTTATCGTAATTTATGTAAGTTAAGTACACTCACAGATCATATGACGTTAATCCCTACCAGCATAAAAGCCTGCTCTCCGAGACACCAACGGAAAAGAAAAGAAAAGAAAACAAAAAAAGAATGAAATATATTTGTACGCTCCTCCAATGCCTTCACAGCCGAACTTTACCTCATTGTAAAACACACAAACACGAGAGCTTGACAAACACACACCAACCACCTCCGCCCAGCCCACAGTCCAAGCACCTAGAACGACTCCCAAGTGCACAGCAATTCTACCCCCGAAACAACCCCAAGCCACTTCACACCACACCACTTCAGTACACCTCTCTCTTCACTCCACTCCACTCCACTCTGCTCCTCTCCCTCCCTTCAGAGCCCGACACAGTCATGCCACAAATATAGTACAGCAACAATGAGAACACCATGAACAACAAAAGCCAGCAGTGGCATTGAGCCCAGCTGCCATCGTCCCGATAGCAAAAAACCCTACAGAAACACACAATTCAATTTCTTCTATTACACTTTCTTCCTGCCTACCAGAGCTCGTCTCTCTTTACGCTCTTTATTTCGTACTCGAACATTACCATGACTGCCACGCCCATATCCCCATACACCCATGAACCCATGAATCCATGAACCCATGCACCCATATTCCCATGCCCATCTGAAATATAAAGCGGAAATTTAAACCAAAGGAGAGACTGGGCTGCTTGGCCATCCAGGATCTATCCACCCACTCCATATTGGCAGCCTCCTCCACGAGCCCCACCCAGTCACACTCACACAACACTCGTACTCCTATTAACCAGCTCCTTAACTACTTTTTCTACTTATTCAGCTTCTTCTATGATTATGATATGTACCGTACCGCCCACTCGATCCATTGCCCACATTTAACTATTCTCCTATATTATATACTCGTATACTCGTAATCACACATCACACAAATGTCGCAACTTGCAACTCGCCATCCATGAGCGTAGCAACTAATCCAAACAGAGCGGCGAGTGGAATATTAATGGAACTTTACCTTTACTCTCCCGACCACACGCTACACAGATGCTGCAGGCGGCGGTAATTTCTCAACCTTTCGTATTTTTGCATTTTACTTGTACTCGTACTCGTACCCGTACAACATATACTCGAACTTTTAATCGTGCTTGCTCATATCCTGTATGACTTGATGATGGTGCTGATGCTGATGCCATCGCACCTTTCAGCATCCAGCATCGAGCACCCAGCATCCAACATAAAAATTACATCCCCACAATATACCCGAACCAATACAAATTAGCAGAATCTCTGATTCGAACGATATCAATCGCTGAAATTCCAAATTAGAATCCGCTTCATGATCAGCATCAGCTACTTGAGTGGGGAGGGGGTCCCTGAACTCGCGCTTAAGAAAATTCGCAAGCTTTTAAGTTTTACTCGTACTTTGCCATGCCACGCTGCCCCGCTAACTATTGGCTGTGTAGTTCCGATCGATACCAACCCAAGGCACTCCGAACAAGGATACCCGAGCTGGGAGCTTGCATCCCAGCGCTTCCAGGCAGCGATCGAACTCCATTCAAATTGCTCAAGAACAGGACAGAAATGCAAAATGGAAAAGTTTCCAACTCAATTAGCGGGAGGGGGAGAAAACCACTTATAATTTGAATCCGAGCAAAATGCGGTGCCACTTTCAATTCCGTCAAGACACATGCAGCTGGCAAAAGTTCACGGGACAATTATGCACATCTTGAGTTCGGTCTGATTAAAACATCCCATCGCCATAGTACACATACTTCACGAGAACTCTTGTTTCGTCTTCGTTTTCGTTCTCTTGTTTATTTCGTTTAAGAACAGCAATCAAGACAATCTAGTTTGATTTTATACAAGTAAACCCTTTAAGCGTTATATTCGAACTCTTTGTTTCTGCGAAAATTATTTTGTTAAAGTGCTTCTTTATCTACTTCTGCTCCTTCTACTCTACTACTATCGTACTACTACTACTACTGCCACTACTTCTACTACTACTACTACCACTACTACTGCTTTGTACTACCTAAACAAATATGGAACCATACTAACTACAAACCTACTTACATCTTCTACTATTCTACTATAACTACTCTAACTACAACTCAACTACCACCTATATACTACTACTACTACGAATTTACAATGAGGTAAAGTATAAGTATAAAGTATAAGTATCTCATAGCTATAGAACACACCTATCGGTAGAGCACCCTAAGCTAAGTCTGTCAACGGCACATAACATACCATACTCGTACGAATACGATGCGTGCGTTTTGATGAGCAAACATTTTGACACATGGACACAGGACAGCCACACTCCCTGCAGAAGGCAGGCACTGTACTACAGTGCCCGAACAACACTGGCTGTGTACATCGCTCTCGGTGTCCTCGTCCGAGTCCTTTAAACCAGGCAAATATTGCTGATGTCTGCAGGTTTTGAAATTGTCTTGGCACGTGCGTCACTATATGCTTACCACAAGTGGAAAGCCCGTAGATATGCAACACTTTGACACAAGGCGGACGGCTCAAACAAAACTATACACACATGCATCGCATAACGATATCGATCCCAAATCTTGCAGATATTGTAATTTTCACCTTGCTGTGGGGAAGAGGAGGGCTACCCAGTCCCCCAGCGGACATGTGTGCCTCCCTTCGTCCAGATAACAGCCCAATCCGCACAATAGTGCTTTATGTTAATTCACATACTGCAGTCGTTCCACTCTCGTAACGTACCCAGCGCCAGGGCCAGGACCAGAACCAGAACCAGAACCAGAACTAGGACCAGGACGGGGTGGCTCGGCATAAATTATGTATATTAAAAATTCCTCAAATATCCAAGAACAGAACACCGACCGAAATATTTGTGCAGTTGGCGAGTGGGCCTTCTGCTGCAGCATTTTGACAAACTTCCCCGTTTTCCCCGTGCCGACACGGAGTCGCATTCCAAACGTGCCTGGCAAAGGGTCTCCGGCAAAAAGGGACACGGTGGTGGTCCGCTGCCAGATGAGGCATGCAACTAATTGCTGGCGCTACAAGAACGAGCCGTGTGCAACCAGCGAGCTGTCAATGAGATTTTCAGCTTGTCCGCAGACAGGCAGAGGCAGAGTCGCACTGTCTGCATAATTTTAGTACTTGCACACGCCCACGCCCACTTCCCCTTACTTATGCGCCTTCACAGACACACACTCCACCGCCAGCGCCAGTAGGATGGGTGGCACTCGTGCGGGGCAAGTGTGGCCATAAGTAAATATCGCGCTCCTTGAGGCTGTTAAAATGTAATTACGGAGGGGACTCGGGGCACGGGGCACGGGGCACGGGACACGGGACACGGGCAGTTGCTATTAGCGACTGTGACAATGAAAATATTAGCGCGGTGGGGCATATGGCAGGACTAGCCGTATTAAGCCAACCTCTTTGTGGAAGTCGCACGCACTCTCCCACACATAACCATAGCCCTGCTCCTAGTATAAGGCCCTTCGCTAGCTTCCTGTCTTTTGTGCGTTGCCGTCCCTTTGACCCAGATGTGTGCAAGATGGTGGAGGCTTCTCCAGAATCCTAGAATACAACGCTGAGCGGGCTTGAACCGGATTAAGCAAGAAAATAATTTGCCGTTCGTGCCTTTTCAGCAGCTCCTTACAATGGCAGGAGTGAAAAAATGACGGCGGCGGAGTGAGGCGTGGAGCACTTCGCACAAATGAGTGAAGCATCTCTGCTCTTCCACTTCCCTTTCCCCTTCTATTTCAATTTTCTATGTACAAGGGGTGGGTAGGCCTCAGCCTCGGCCTCAGCCGCAATAAAAATGGAAATGGAACTCTAATGTAGTATTCCTTAGTGTGCGCGTATTAAGTCGAATAAGTGTCACCAGGCGAGCATCCGCTCCACTTCCTACACTTCCACTTGCATGCCCCTAGACCGCATATCCATCTCCAACCTTCAGCTACATATGCTATATGCGGATGTGACAATTACGCCGGCTCCGTGGCTCCCAGCTCGGGGTCGGCCACGTTCCATTCTCATCATCGCGTTCCGCTGACGTGTTGGTATTCAAAATAGCAGGCCAAGCAATAAAACGCACTCTAAGACTTATCCGAGCCACGGCTCGTATATCAGACTTATGACTTCGTCCAAATACTTTCTGATATATGTATGTATATATGTACACATCTATGTATGTATGGATGGATGTACATAAATAGATATTGCGGCGCCCACCCAGTCCTTTCCCCAGTCCCAGCTCCACATGCCAGATAGGTATTAAGTACCCTCATTTCACCCATGACACGCAGCGAAGAGTAAAGCTTTTAACGGCAAAGAAAAAAGTGAAATGGACGATAGAAAGAAACCCCAAGAACCAACAACCAAGAACCAACAACCAATTTGTACAGACGGACCGATTTTTCGGGCTGTCAGGAGCATTCCTCATGCAAATTGAAGGCTTCCGCAGGTCTTAAAGGGCCATCAATGCCGTCCGCCAACCCGTTGGCCGTCCGTTTCCATTAGAAGCCGGAACAAAAAAAATGCGAAGAAAAATGAGGAATGAAAAATACCGAACAAAGGGCAGATGGAAAGGGAGACACTCGTAGAGGGACGGAGGGCGAGAAGGAGGGAGGATGCAGGGCGAACATCTTGCTCAAGCGGTGTTAATTATGTTGGCATGATAATTATATTACAATAGGCTTGATTAGTTTTTAATTGAATTGTGCACTCCATTCGGGGCATCTCTCGGATCTGCAACTGGAACCGAGTTTTAAAGAGTTTCCCTATAAGCTCTCCGCTCCATGTACATTCTATGTGTTGTATGTGCCACATGGTACATATACATACATATACCTATTACGTACATACGTACTTCCGTCGATACGCACGTACCGAACAGACCTTTGTTGCAGCCACAAAAAGGACAGGACAGGCCGGGGAGTGGGTGGGCCCGGGTGGGCAGAGTTCGTAAAGTTCATAAAGCAAATTACTAAAGTCCCATAAAAGCGCAACATTTCCAGGGAAAGACTGCCAGCGGGCGACTGGGAGGGGGGTAGTGTGGGATGGGATATGGTCCAGGACACAGCCATGGACCTGGACTTGGCTCGCCAGCCATTTGACACCATTTCGTTGAATCAATTTTTATTATAAAATACTTTGACTAATTTATGAAAACAATAAATGCGTCTGCAAATCAAGTCACAGTCACCCCAAAAAGTTCATTCACAAAGCTATTCAGCAAATTGATGACTATAAATTCAATTTAATGTGCGTTGCCTTTTGCACATAAGTGTAGAGAGCGGGGCAGCGGAAGACAGAGGAAGATGGAGAGCGAGAGCGAGAGCGAGAGAGCAGAGCAGAGACACCCACAACGCAGCAGAGCCTTCGCTTCGCTTTCGAGAATCACTCAAGAGAAGCGCGCATAGAATTTTAGCGTTTGCGCCGGAGGGGACAGAGGAACAACAGCGAAGCTGACGCCGTCGTTGACGCTTCCCGCGAAGCCGAGTGGGACAACAGCAATTAGAGCGAGCGAAAAAGCTGTCTAGCTGCTCTCATCAGAATTCCGACTCAGGGCCGAAATCAACGGCAAATCTGCGCAGGCGCTTCGCCAATACCAGACCATAGTCACCCCCTGTGCTTAGGTCATCATGTGGGGTGCTCAAATCACGACGTGGTCCAGCGCCAGCGACGCGGACCTCGACAGCGGCAGCGACTGCGGCTGCGACTGCTGTAACTGGCACGGCGGCAGGACATAAAAAGCCAAGCGAGTGCTGCCAGTACTCCTACTCCAAGTTTGCACTCCTGCGGCTGAAGTTCAATCACTCTGACTCCGACTCTGACTCGGATTCGGACACGGACTCAGCTTTGACATAAGTGGCTCTGCCCAGCATCAGCCCTCGTCCTCGAGCATCGCTCCGCGCGCCTCAGCGCCCAAAAGTCGGCAGCAGTCAAGTTCAGTTTCTGCATTCAGTTCGTGTGCGCTCGTGGCCGTGTTCGCACTTGCACTTCGTGGTGGCCGCCACAATCGATTGGGATAGCCATGGCAACCATGGGCCGACGAGAGCGCCGACAACGACGACGACGCCAGCGTGACTGTGCCAGAAGTGCAGCTCCTGACTGAGGCGCCAGAGTGTGTGTGAGGCGGCAGCGTCGCAGCATGGACAGTAGTGGCAGCATCGGCCAAGGCAGCGGTTGCACTTGCACTGATTCGTTCGGCCCCGAATTACCAGAAAGCACAACTACGGAGAGGTAGCAGTGGTTAACGGCGCCCAGAAATCATGAATTTCATTGGTATGACACGATTTAATCAGAGATTTAATGAATCTGCAGCCCCTGCGGATCCAAGGTCTTTGTGCATCTTGATTTGTTCTGTTTACCCGTTTATGAACAACACTGATTCGTCTTCTCTCTGAACCACACTGCTACTCAATGCTACTACATATGTACTATGTACTCAACCTCAACCAACACACACCACGCTCTACTCTTACCGTTACCGATACCGTTACCGAACCTCTCTTCAACGTAAGTCTTTGCCACAACTTTCGTTTATTTTTTCCGTTTCCGTTTATATGCCTTACGCTAAGCTCATACGTAACCTAACCTAACCTAAGCGTAAACATATGCTGGCTCTGTCCAGGGAGAGAAAAACCAGAGCAGATGGAAAGCAGCTCGGAAAATCAATCGATTGAAAGGGGTAGACTCGCGCGGGAGCTTCTGACCATGTGACTGAATAATTCCGTGGAGTGCCACACTTCTATCGATTTTCTTCCGCAAGCCAGGGACCAGTCTGAAAAGTTCAAGGTCTGACCGAAATCTGGCCAGGCTCGGCACTCGCAATGCAGGCCGAGAGTTCCTCCTGAGCCTACAGAAGACTGCAGCGCTGGTACTGTCCGGCGAGGGCGTCGCCGGAGTGGCACTGGAAGGCATCGCCGAATTCGCGTGAGTTCCGCATAACGGCGTGCACCAATTGCCGCTTGCGCTCCTGCTGCAGTGGGCCCAGCTCAGACCGACAGTCCACAAGTAGACTTCCGATGAAGTAAAGCCGGAGGAGGGACAATTTCATGCGTCCAACGCCGAGAAGAGAGTCTATCCGTTCCTGCAGCGGAACCCTCTCAGGCTGCCTGAGCCATTGCTTGTAGCAGCTGAGGGCCTGGCGCTGGGCCAACAGACCCAGGAGCAGCTCGTCCGCGTTCACCTGGGTGGGCGAGATCCCGCTGCAGTTCTGAAATGCGGCAAACCTCCTCTCCGAGTCCGTACTGCGCCAGGCCCCCGGTGTCCGGCTGTTGCTTCCCGCTGCCACCAGACTCCTGGCAAAGTACTCCGCAACCAGCAAGTGATTTAGCGGAGTGCTCAGGTTCTGCTTTCCCAGCAGGGCGTTGACGCTGTCGAATATCTGTGCATACTGGCGCAGCTGCTGGCTCGACTCTGAGGGCGGCTGACGTTTGCGCTGGAAGCGCCGCAGCTTCTCGAGATTTCGGTAAAAGCTGCGCCTTCCCAGCACAATTTCGTGGTAGACGGCGTTTAGGCGCTCGTCTCCATTGAGGGTGAGGTGCATGATCCGGCCCAGAAACTGTTTCGAGCTCTGCTGCGAGATTTCATCGACCCACACGCTCTTCGCGAGCTGCTCCGTGTAGGCTTTTCCCAAGGCCGAGTACATCTGGGTGAGCTCCACCCGATCCGCACTAACTCTCTGCACCACATGGGCATATATGTCCCCTGCGTACGTCTCCGCCAGCTGGTGGCAGTCGGAGTCCACAATGTCTGCAAGAAAGGGCCAAGTTTGGCGCGGAGCATGAAAAATAGCTCAACCCTCACTCACCCATCAGATAGTCCGTCCAGATCCAGTTGAGCAGACGGTGCATGCTGGTGTTCTGAAGCAGCACAAAGTAGTCGACCAGCCGCGGAAGCTGCTTTACAACGATCGTGTCGGTGGCCTGTGGCGTCTTCCCGCCCAGCAGCTTCCTGAAGTAACTGTCCCAATCGAGTCTGGCCAAGGAGGAATTACCGAAAGCACTGCGCTTGAAGTTGCCATAGCTGAACTGCACCTCATCCTCTATGTGCTCCGTCTTGACAATGTCCCTGCGACTGCGCTCCAGGCTGAGCACTTCGAGAGCGGCCACATGAGCCCGACTCTGGTCGATGTCGAAGCTCTGAAGAAGCTCGCCCACCCGCTGCTCGAACTTCCTCATGGTGTGCCGTCGGGTGCTGTCAGGCCGGAGCACGACCAGCCGCTTGTTGGACTGCATAGTGAGCTCCACATTGAAGAAATAGGGCGAACCCATTTCGTGAAAATGGCCCAGCAATCCCAGCCAGCTCAGAGTCTGGTTTCTCCGTGCAGTGGCGTTCGGCTTGGCGGTCTCCAACGCAGGCCAGCCCCCGCTGGCCCGGTAGAGCTGCGAGTTCCTCAGTGCATCCGCTCCGCGAGCACTCTCGCAGGACTTGAAGAAGTTGACAAGCTGCAGCTCCATGTCCATTAATTGCTCATCGTCGGCCACCCTAAGGAAGGTTTGGAAGCGCTCTTTTCCCGTCTGGCTGAGATTGGCGCTCCTGCTGCAAACGTAGCCGTAAAAGTCCTGACACGGCAGCTTGTTGGTGTCCAGATACTGCTCCAGCTTGTACGAGAAGTGCAGCAGGTCGTTCTCAACGCTGGCAAAGCTATCAGCACAGCTCACGCACACCGCCGACAGCAGAACAGCCAACACTTTCAGATACATTATCCACGTGCTCTGTCTCTGGCGACTCGAATCGAAATGCACTCGGTTCCTACAGCACCTTTCACTGTCACTGCCAGTGCCAGAAGAGTGGACTGTGGCGCTTATTTCCTCGAAAAAGGTCAGTTTCTCAAAGGTCACAGCTAATTCCCAGGCGCACTTCCGCAAATGAACCGTAATGCGCTCCAGACTGAAGCACTGACCAAAGCTGAGGCGCAATCCCAACTAATCGCGTTTCCAATAGTTTTCCCCTGTCACTGGCAGTGGCACTGGGTCTGGGGCGAGACTGGGAATGGGAATGGGAATTGGACTGGGACTGGGACTGATAGCGATAACCCGATAGCGAGCCTAGCCCAGAAGCGGCGCTGTGTAATCAAATGTGTCAAAGTGTCAAGCATCGATGCTAGCGAGCTAAAATTGGTCATGGCCGATTTTGAATCGAATTGAATGTTGAAAACATTCCAAAATACTGGAATACAAAGACGAACCGCTGCCCAATTCGGCAGTTCGAAGAGATACATATGCGATAGGCCTAGAAATAGCCTTTGTTTTTTTTTGGCCACTTTAACCTTTCTCATCCGTATCCTGTGCTTCGCTTTTAATAGGCGCTGTAGGAGGTGATGGCGGCGATGATGGCGATGACAAGGAAAAGGCAGAGGAGGAGGAGAGGGAGCGTCAGGAGGCCATCCGCGAGGCCGAGGATCGGCGCAAGGAGAAGCACCGGAAAATGGAGGAGGAGCGCGAAAAGATGAGGCAAGACATTCGCGATAAGGTGAGTGTGTGGGATGGGGTGGGAGTGATTAGTAATTGTGATTTGTGGAAGGTGCATGCGCCCGATCCGAAGTGCACGGGATTTCCTGCAGCAGTTCAAATTGACTCTAGTAGGGAGTCCTTTTATTGAGCGACTCCCTAACGGAGTCAGATTGAATTACCAAGGAACAGACAACAGTGGAGCAAAAGACAAAGAACCGAAGTGTAGCTTCTAAGAATACATGAATGTGCCCCTAGCCAATATCCGTATACATGCGGATGTGTATGTGTATTTTTGTATGTATGTATTCTGATCTGCCGATCGTTTCATTTTCATTCTCATTCGACATATCCAGTACAACATCAAGAAGAAAGAGGAAATCGTTGAGGCGGCACCGCAAGAAGAGCCCAATCCTCTGATGCGGAAAAAGAAGACGCCCGAGGAACTGGCCGCCGAGGCGGAGCAGGAGGAGCTCGACGATTTCACAAGTAAGTCATTGTTGTTGATTCCCCAGCTCAGCTACTGGTATCTAACTACTGCTAATCCGACCTACCATCGGTCGGACCGGCACGCCCCGCCCCGCCCCAATAGCTACTTTTGTGTATCTGTATTTGTATGAGCTATTCAGTTGATTTTCTTTTAATTTTCCAACCACTCCCCCAAGCGGCTCGTTCATGAGCCACCTTGGTCCAGACAATACCGAAACATGTTTGACTATCAATCCAATAACCAACAGCTAAATACTCGATTAACCGGCGCTCGTAGTAGCAACTACTTAAGTGTTGTGTGTGTGTATCTGTGTGTCTCTAAATGTACCTAAATGCAAGCGAACTATCCAACTCTAACTATCTGAATCAAACTATCGAGCTACTAACTAATGCTATCCATCTATCTACTATACTCGTATCTGTACTCTGTTTCCTGTGCGTATGACACATATGTAAGCTCTAACCACCTATGCGTATACTGAACTTTAACTCTAACTCTAACTCTAACTCTAACTCTGATTCTAACTCTAAAGCTAACTCTAATCTAACTCTGCAAATCTAACTCTAACTCTAACTGCAACCTTAACTGTCTATGAGCTAAACATCAACTGTAATGCAACGAATGAATATATGAACTACGTCTAGAACTTACATTTACTCGTATAACAAGCGTGCACTCCATTTTCTCATTTCCTTTTCATAAGTTACTCCGTTTCAGTTGCAAGTATATATGTACATACATACATATTTATATGCTATGTATGAATATGTATGCGAGTGGGTCTGGGACATCCATGTGTACATATGCATATGCTCGTACTTAGTTCCTTACAATTGATTTCCTTTGTTTTTCATTCCCACAATTATTTTTTGATATTTATATTCGTATTGGTTGTTCCGTAATTGTATTCAAACGATACTACTGGGTTACAACTGGAATTCTATTCTTGATTCGTTGTTAGAAGGCGGCGCAAGCCTCCGCGTTGTACTAGGTTTCATGTCATTCGATTAATTAGACTAAGGTAAGTGCTACTACCATTCGTAAAACAGTATGTTTCCTTTTGTGTGGTAATCTAATTGTAATACGTTTTTGTATTCATGAACTACTCCAACTACTTCACCACCAACAACAATTTCGACAATCGATTACTCTTGCTCACCTTTTCTCTATCTCTCTCTCTCTGCCCTCTCTGTCCCTCTCTCTCTCTCTATCTCTATCTCTGTAAATGAGTGTGCCCAGAAGCAACTTAGAAAATACCCAGAGAAGACTCCTCAACACACAGCTCCCACACGAATACAATATCCAATAGTAGATATATAGAATATACGGGAAAAGACTGTGGTTAGACCAGAACTTAGTGGTTAGGAACGAGTATGAAGAACTGATTAAAGGCAAAAGGCATGGGGCGCCAATTATTTATATAGTTGTAAGATTACGTTTCGAATGATTTGCAACATTTACGATATTATTTGAATACATCAAACTCACAAACTGCACCTTTAATAACTGATAGCGGCTTGTATTATTTCATATATAACTATAATGTCTCTAAACACTTTAACGGCTTGCGTGCTTAACTGCATCCTGAAACTGAACACTCGTAACAAAGTAAATGTGAACCAAACCAAAAACAAACCGAAACAAACCAAAACAAACATGATGAACTCTACAGCTAAACCCAATTATGATCGAAAAAGGACGAGCAACAAATACAAAACTTTTTCCCTCTCGTTTACTCTTTCCCTTCAATATGTGTACTATATGTATTTTACGCTATCGCCTACCGTATGTAATATATATATAATGCACATATACTGCATATGTATGTGTATTTCCACCGCACTGATCTCTCCCCATCTTGCCATTACCATCTACGATCTACGATCTCCTATCTATCACTCTATGCTCTACCTATAACTCTGAAGCCGACACTGACCTGGACCTCTTACATTCCTACATATATGTATATCCCTACTGCAAACACGACAATAACAATAACTACCTACTCGTACAACTTTATTTCGGTTCGTATTTGATTTTCCTAATTTGGCTTAAGACACACTACGGCTCTGCTAGGCCTCACCAAAACACCCACACCCAATCTTTCAAAATTGAATACTTAGCTATGGCGACTGTACCTACCCTAACACTTACAGCTACCCGTATAGTACCGCTACAGTGAAACAGTTACAGTACATAGTACATGGTACATGGTACATGTACATGCACATGAGCATCCATAAATACCAAATACATATACATAACAGTTAACATGCCTAACATTTGTAGTCTACTCTACAAAATATGCTTATTTATTGCTGTTTCCATACTCAATTTCTTTTACAGAACTGAAAAATCAAATAGAAACGCAAGTAAATGAGCTAAAAACTCAAATAGAGGGAAAATGTGTCATGCAGTGATATGTCAGTCATCATAAAAGCAAAATAAACAAACAAAAATAAAACAAACAAAACGTATAATAGTACCACAAGTAACAATTCAAATAAAACCTAACCGATTAACGATGAACGATAAATGATGAACGATAAACGATGAACGATGAAATTTATTTAACACATCCCGAACTTGAATTTGTTAATACTTATGAGATCCGTTGAGTTTAATCATTGGAACCGCAATCGAAACGAATATAAGTCCTTAGAAAGCTAGCCCAATGCTAGCTCGTAACGTAACCCGGCAGCAATAATCGAGATAAATCGAGCGATGCAATCTACAATTGAGTTTTTGGCAAAGCCTCCAATGCGGTGTACTAAAGCGTACAAATAATATATTAACAGCTAATACATATATTTCGGCTAACGAAATAATGAAGGAGACATGCGAATGCGATTTAAAATGCGAACAGGACGGTGAACTCCTAAGGAACTTTAAGGTAGCTAAAGCATAAACCGAATTATTTAAAACCAAAAATAGTAAACGCCTTTAATAATACATATTCAAATCACTTTGCTTCGATGATAATGTAATATACTCAACCCCAATATACAATACATAACCGTTGTTTAGTTGATAACATACAATAAATTAACGAAACGAAACTAAATGAAACTAACGAAACAGCGGCACTCGTACGATGCAAAACCAAATCGAAACTAAAAGAATAAATCTAAAAACACAAATAAAGAAAATTAAAAATAAAAAAAAATAATAAACAAATAAACACCTAAAATAAGCAAAAAGCTAAAAAAGAAAAGAATATAAATGAAAAAAAACCAAAAACCAATTAAGCGAATGGTGCGACAGAGGAGGTTGCTGAATCATGTCGAACCGTCGAAATACGTTGCTGAAATCACTTTTGGACTTTATTCCATAAATGAGTATGGGAAGATTATGAACTAAATCGGCGCATATGTTGTAATTGCCATTCGAATATATAAGTATATATACATACATATATACACATGTTATGTATATTTCCATGAATTTAACCACAGAAAATTAATCACATTTGCAAACGAATTGACTGCGAAGACGTTGAAATTATTGCTGGTTCTCAAAACTGATCGAAGATCGATTCGATGATCGCCTAAACCCAACCCAGAACTATCCAAACTATCCGAAATATAAAGTTTCAGTCAGTTTGTTTTCGATATTGCCAGAGAAATCTATCTTCTTTAACAGCTTTAACAGTTACATTTCGTTTCTTTCCTATACAAAAATACATACCCACACTACAATTGAGAGTTTAAAATCTTTCGAGACAGTTACTGATCTCACTGATTGATGCTTCTGAAATGTAAGTAAACTACCTAAATATGTACCTATACCTATACTTATACCTATACCTAAACCTACATATGCCTATACCTATACCTATACCTATACCTATACCTATACCTATACCTATACCTATACCTATACCTATACCTATACCTATACCTATACCTATACCTATACCTATACATATATCTATACTTATACCCATATACCTTGCCTATACTAAAACTAATATACATTGAACATTGCCGAACTTGAGTTTCATTTCACATTAGTTTGTATTTACACATCTGTTGCGTTATTGGTTAGGTGACGGCTACGAGTACGTACATATATTCCGTAGGAAATATTGTATAACAATATGATAACTTAAACAAACAAATATTAGCTGTAGTCGTTTAGACAAGGACAATAGCTTATAAGAGACGCTAGGCAGTTCGAGAGCATAATGCTGTGATACATTTAGCAAATTATACATTTTTCACCGATAAGCGCACACGCCGGCCCACAGGTCGGACCCTCCCTCCCACAGAACCCAATACCCAAACGACACCTCAGTAGATGAGAAACCGAACACAACACAGAAACAGAAACCGAAACAGATACCGAAACATGCATGCAAATCTGGTAAATAAAAAACAAAGACATCATACGACTATGACATAGCACACGATTTCTAGCCCTCTGTGGGTCTCTCCGTTCCCGTCGTCCGTTTAATGTATCACATATATATTTACATATTTACATGCCAACTCTCCAACACAGTCTACACACATGCAAGTCGAATCAAAGCCACCAAAATTGTACATACATATAAATGGCGATAAGTACATGTGTTACCAATGATAGTTAACCGATTATATGGCAAAGAATGCAATATTGTGTGCATGGGTGTACGTACATATGTACATATGTACATAGAAAACGAGCTGTCCCCGCTCCGAATCGAGTCATTGCATTGCGTCCGGGTTGCGTAACAGGTTTCGAAGAAGTGGTACAGTCCTATGGTAGAGCTAACGATGGATTTTCGTTTACACTCGATTTGGCCCGTGAATGGCTCGTACTACTTATATGTATGTGTTACCAGCGTTCTACCATCCGTTACATATCATTACTATCACTACTACATGCATCATGCATCATGCAACACCATCAACCGAACAACTGTTTCACATATGTTTGTACTCGAATAATTCCCATCCATGACTGTGTACGCTTTTGGGACATGGTATGGAATGGCTTAAGACGATTACAACGCACACATATGTATGTGCATATATGTGCAATGATACATACTTTTAGGCGTCTATGTACATATCACATGAATTCGAGTGGATGAAACAGTTGGAAGGACATTTGTGATCCGGTTGACCGGAGTTAGATATCCTCTTAATTATCAGTCGAAAACATTATCTTTTAGTCGATATATAAGTACATAAAACTAAACCTAAATATTATACATACATATATGAATAAATGTTTTAATTACACTGCATTCTATATATAAATATCTCTCTCTCTCTTTCTCTGGTGTCTCTCTCTCTCTCTTTCTCTTCTTTTGATTTAAAACACTCTCTTAAATCTTTAATCTGCGCCACTTCTACTCTGCCTAAAATATTTATATCTGAAAAACAACTTGAACAACATTTGCAACAACACGAAACAACAACAACTCTACCAAATCTCCACAACAACGACTCGATGGTCCCTCTCAGACATGTCCTCTCGGTGTTTTATGTATGATATATCATCATCAACAACAACAACAACAACAAGAACAACAACAACAACAGCACAAGAAAACCACTACAGCCAGTACAAGAACAAGAACAACATCAACATCAACATCAACTACATCTACAGCAAAAGTAACTAACAAAAGTAACGTTATACATCATATACATATGTATTGTATATATATATGTACGAGATGAACTACTCGTTATCGAGAAAACTACAACTACAAATGCCCACAGCACAGCCAACAACAACAACAACAATAACATGAACATGATGAACATGAACATCAACTCAACTCAACTCAATTCAACCTACCTATCAGATACTCGTATCAGATCAGATCATGACAGTTTGCTACAAGTTTTTCTTAACATATTTCTGAACGTTGTGAACTTCATTTGTACTATATATGGCTAATCTTTAAAAACAAGCAAACATACACAAATACATATGCACATAAATACATACATACACACATCCACACTAGTCACATGCATTTAAATAGCAAATATGGTGTTGTAAATGCTTAATCTACATACATACATATTATAGTAACATATATACATATGTACAGATCCACAACCAACTACTAACCAACCAACCAACAAGAAATATATGTACAATTCGCATAAAAAGTTACCATTTAATGAAAATACTTATGAAAATGATGTTATGTTATGATGAACAATGAATATATTACTATATACTCGTATAAAGGGGTGCCGAGACCTAGACCGACACCGAGACCCGACCCGCGTCTATCAGTAAAAACATCGCTCTCTCAGATTCTTCTTGACCATTCTTGACTCCATATGTTTCTTGTACACATATTGGCACGGCAGCAATACTACGATGATCGTAGCGCTCCTCAACGCCTCTCTCTGTCAATCTAATAAAGCAATCCCCTAGTGCCCCATGCATCGCTCTATACAAAGTTAGGAACGATCGAACTAATGAAAGAATGCCTTAACGTGGCTCACATGACTAGACCATGAGTAGCGAATAGATGAATATGATGATGATGATGAAGACGATGATGAAGAGATGGTGATTCTACCAAAGGAAATGGAATCCACAATTCTTAACTGTTGCTTTAACCCACTTGTACTAATGTACTACTACGATACTAGAGCTACGATACTACTTATGTAGCTGCGTTTCCCTTCCGCATTCCAATCTAGTTTTACTAAATCCGAATCCAGATACTCGTATCTTAGCTATGCTCCTTTCGAACTCGAAACTCTATAAGCTCTATAAGCGTATAAAATAAATACGTATTGAAAATGTTTACCTAGATTCTACAATATCCATTGCGTTTTTCTCTCAAATACTTATACGATGTATCGATGTATGGACGGTCAGTTGAATTGTTTAATATATTGAATAAACATTAATAAAGAAAGCCAACAGCCAACTTGAACATACAATATTATTCAATCATTATCAAGTTTTAACGTAATCATAAATGTTTAAAATGTTAAATGGTTCAGCCGATTTTGATTTTGTTGATTTTTTTAATATTGTGTTACCGTTAATATTATAGTTATGATAATGTATGTATATGTGTATCAGAAAGTTCATACAAGCAGATGATTATACATTATTATCTATATACAGTATATATATGTATATGTGTAACTTAATAGGGAAATGAATTTAATAGAGAAACAACAGACAAAAATTATAAATAATAATGTTGGAAAGAATACCATTCAAGTCATTATTAGATGTGAAAGCAGTTCTATACACAACAAAGGATAAACAAAAACAAAAATGAAAACCAAAAACGAAAAAAAAAAATCAAAACCTAAGGAAAGCGTTAATAGTTGATTAATTATATTGTTACTTTGAACATTTAATTCAAACCAAACCAAAGAAGAATAATAAAAACAATATATATATATATATATATATATATGTATAAATATATATATGAAAAAACACAACAATACATTGTTTTAATTTTAAAAACAATTCCTAGGCGGCATTACCCTGAAGACCCCCGAAACCTCGATACACAACAAGCGACCCGACCCGACCCCATACATGTCCTACTATCTACACTGTGACTTTCTGCCTGCCCTGCCCGATATCCGATACGTATAGCGATCTTGATTTGGCATGACTGTTAGTCTATATGTTTTTCTATATGTGTGTGCGTGTCTCTCTCTCTCTCTCTCTATCTCTCTCTGTCTCTATCTCTCTATCCACCTGTCTGTCTCTGTCTATCGATCTATCTACCTATCAACCTATCTCTATCTCTGTGTCTGTTTACGTACCTCCAAACTTTCCACCTTCCACTTCCACTGCAGAAGCATCCATACATATTGTACGTGCCTACAGTTACATCCACGTCTTTGTATGTCGGATACACACATGTACAATACGTATATGAATAGGCTGAGGTGCTGGTGGTGGTGCTGGTGCTGCTGTCTGCTGCCTATCCCTATTACAAAACCTACTATTCTATTGCTAAGAACACTGTAAAAAGATTGTGTAATGGAATGTGCTACGTTATCGAATATGTATTAAGCACATGCCATGCCAAAAATAATCTGCGTCTGCATTAGCCTCCAGATCTGCTGGGCCAAGGGCCAAGCAAGGAAGGCCAATGAGGTAAAGGTGAGTTGCGTGTGTCATCTAGGCCCCTCTTCCCGAACGCGCATCAGAGG